TATGATCGGCGACTTTTCTTTCTGAAAAAGAGCGGCTGTTCTACTATTGCATTTCGGGGCTGACCTCCGTCCTACGGTGTAAGCCAAGGTGCGAGCGAACAAACTAGGTAGTTACCAGGGGGGAATTGCATGTACCGGAATGTATATATCAACGTAGCTGCGGCAGGAGGCCAGTCCTCGTTGAATTTGACAGGTATTGTAACGGACGTAGATAGACTGCCAACACCGCGTTATTGGGTGTCATGTTCATGACAGGTTGTACTCCGTTATCTGTCACCCAAACTCATCGTCGAATAGTCGTTCCAGTATGTAAGCTAACTGCATGTAGTTACACGTGCGTTACTTCATAAGGTAGGTAACCAAGGCAGTTCGGCAATTGTTACGATACACTAACTGCATTTATGGCCCCCACACTCTCATCGCAAAGGTTGCATTTTGAGGCGTCCAACCATTTGACAGGGGAGGCGCGTCGCCATAAAAATAGGGAAAACATTCACGGCTGCCTTGGTATCTTACATGTAAGGTCCACAGATCTTACGTTTCAATTTCTTAAGAAAAAGAAACACGGGTTTGATTGGTCAATTACCGGCTCTCATCACTTCGTCTATTTCAAAGGAATCCAGGCTTGAGCCTCGAGCCCCAAAAGCGATGTTGCATTGCGTTGATGCATTGATGTACGGTTCGTGTGCGACCGCTCGGAATCCTGTAGCCTACGATACCCACGTGCCCGAGAAGAATTCAATATTCTGTCGAGGGTCGTCCATTCGCTTTTCTTGATTTTCTTCATTTTCCTTGTCATCATGGCGCCGTCGAGGACTTGCACACCACCTATTGAATTCGATGGCTCATCTAAGGACCCGTTTCTGCCATCCACGGTCATTCACCAACGACATAGCGACATGCAGAGGCTCACCGTGAGGCCTTCCTGGTGGCCTCGAAGAAGACCTCGAACCACGGTTGTCCTGCTTGTCGTCTTGGGTCTGGTTCTCGCTTTGACCGCCTGTTATTTTGTGAAACCCCAAGCTTATCGCTACGACTACCCGACTTTCCGCTTCAACTCGATGCCAGATCGAGCTTGCGACGGCGCCGTCGATGCTGCGAGCCATGCCGGTCAGGAGAGACAGGTCATCCCAAACTTGGTCCACTATGTGTGGCTTTTGAAAAACCCAAACCAGCTCCAGCTCGACTTTCAATTCTTCCTGTCGGTATACTCGGCGCACACCTTCTGGCGCCCGGAGCGCATCTACATCCACACAGACGCCACCCCCGAGGTGATCCAGAAGGCCAGAGACTTAGGAACCCCTTGGACAAAGCGCATCCTCGCGATTCCTGGCGTCACCTTTAACCATGTCAAGGCGCCAAACTTCACAAACAGGGGGATTGAGATAGCAGAGATGGAGCACAAATCCGACTTTCTGCGGCTGGCCGCCCTCCGAGACTTTGGCGGAGTATATCTGGACTCGGACGCAATTCCCCTCCGGGACGTTGCCGATTTGCGCAATAGCGGCTTTGCAAATGTGATCGGGGAGCAACGGGCTCTCAGAATGTGGCATTTCGGATACCTGAATAACGGAGTCATGATGGCGGTTCCGCATAGCAATCTTATGCAAGTGGCACATCCTTCAAATTCAAATCACATTGGCTTGGCTGCTAACAACATACCGACAACAGAACTATCTTCTATCAGGCGGCGCTCGAGTTCTTCGATGGGAAATGGGAGACTGCGAGCATCCACCTTCTCACCGACCTCACCAACCGCCTCGCCGCAATCCCATCAGAGGTGCTCATTCTGCAGCCGCAGGCCTTCAGCCCGACGAGCTGGGAAAAAGAGGACCAGATTCGCCTGTTCAAGGAGGCGCTCGACCCCATCACCGCGGATATCGGGCCGGCAGAGCAGGGCGAACAGCAGGGTAGCCTGGGGACCTGCCGCGACGCGCTCGCGTGGCTTAAGCAGCGCGAAACGAACAGAGGGCCGGATCAGCCGTGGGAGCTTGACTTTTCCAGCACTTACGTGCTGCACGCCTTCGACAAAGCCCTGCCTAGCATCCTTGGCCACGATAGGCAGATCGACGTCCAGTACGTGCTCGCGCGACGCAGCAATTACGCGCGCGCAGTGTTTCCCGCCGTATGGCGGGCGATGCAAGAAGGTTACATCCCACACGAAGATCTCAGCTAGCGGGCGCTATTCGGCTGCCTGATGGACGCCCTTAGCCAGCCCTTGGACCCCTCGGAATCAGAGCCGTTGGTTGGCTTTCTCTGATAAAAGAGTGGGTCACCTAGCTTCGAAAGGAGCACAGCACCGCGGCATCCCAACTTGCTTGGCCGTCCTAGAAACCGCGAGGGGCCAAGGTACTTCATCGTACCTGAGCAGCATCCGACCGAGCTTGGACGCCACTCGCGGACACAGAATTACAGCCGCACGCCATCAAACCCCATGAGGCGGCTGAGACCAATATGATCGGAGCAAGCCCAATAGCAAGATTGACCTCACGAAGCCAGTGCACGAGCTAACAGATATTCGGCTGCGATTGCCTGTGTGGGACGGGCCGTCTTCTTAGTTTACTTAATGGCGCCCTCCCATTAGACAGGGACTCCTGGAGGAAATTGCAGGGCGGGTGACGGCAAAATCCCTCCGAGAGGGGTGAAAAATTCATGTCCGTAATGTAGTACAATACATAGGCGCACATATATATCCGCGGGCTGACTGGATCATGCTATTCCTTCGTCTTCCAGGGCCCACTATCAAGCACAACATACGCCGTCGGCACTGTCGAACAAAAACAAAAAGGCTGAGGCTGCCCCGAATGGCGGCCTAGGCGGCTAGACCCGACGAGGACGGAACTCGTCATAGGTCGCCCTCACCTCCCAAAACCGCCGCTTGAACTCCTCTCTCTCCTTCTCGTCCGAAACCTGCTGAACGAGGCCGTCAATCGACCGAACCGAGAAGAACTTGTTCTCCTTGTTATAGAGTGGACGGGCGGTTAGACTGTCATCCGTGTCGCTCGGCGCCCGCACACGGAAGATCTCCCGGACAATCTCAATGTCGTCGGACATGCCCAAGAGCTCGTCCGTCTCCTCGTAGGTGAAAAGATGGTAGATGATGGGAAATCCGGTCCAGGCAAACGCGCTGAGGCAGAGCGCGCACGGCTCGTGGGTGGCAAAGAAGATGCAGGCCTTGGGTTCCGGGCGGTCCTCGGGCGGTAGCGTGTAGAAATGCCGGATGCAGTTCAGCTCGCCGTGATAAACGGGGCACTCTTCGCTGGCATTGACGGAGACGGCTACGGCCTCGAGATTTGCTCCGTCGAGAATGGCGCCGCCGAACGGATCGCCACCTTTGGCAAACGAATCGCGGGTTATCGGGATGAGCCGGTCTTGGATGGCATTGAGAATGGCCCTGAGAATGTCGGCAGCACCGTGCTGATTGTTTGTCGTGGCGGACATTGCGGCAGCTACTACTTACAGTCGAACGTGAAGCTGCACGTAAGATATGAGTCATAAGAATGAGCTGGTTGTTACATCGAATTCCTAGTCCGTCCCGACTATCGGACTAAGTTTGTATGGGAAAATAGTTAGGAGTAGGGTTGTATATGGAATCATCTTGAAACCCTCGCTTAGTCACCTCCTACAGATACAAATTCTCAAGCCATGTGAGCCCGGCCTAGTATAAGCTCAGTCAATGTCCTTGGAATGTGTTAGACGCAAGTACTAGTTATATGTAGTAGGATAGAAGTGAATATCTTGGGATTGATAACCTGCAGTTACAGGGTCCGTATCTTCCAGGGATGGCTAAACCCTGACATGAAGTTAAGATTGAGACACATCAAACTTGAAGCTTATTGTTGGTATGTGTCGGTGAAGCGTTTTGAGGCTGGTTAACTTTAACTCGACCAGCGGCTACCTTGCACCCTGTGTGGCTATCATCATTTGAGGGCGGGTATTCCATTAGTAAACATTGCTAAAGATACACCTTTCTCCTGCTAGGATAAGTAAATTCTCCAGTCCAGAACTCCCAGATGTCTTGATACACTTGTAGCAAACGTAAGACGCATACTGTAATGTAGATAGGTAGGTAGGCAGGATCAAGGGAGAGTTATGCGTAACACAATTTGTTCATGTGTAAGTTGTTAGCCACCGCCCTATAAAGATGGTAGGTATGCCACTCAATGGTTTGGGCACATATCATGATTGTGACCGATAGGAGTGATTAAGTTCAGTTGAATCAGATGATGATGAAAGCCCGAAAAGTGTTCACAACTTGACAGCACCAGCTCTAGCTGTTGCCACGTTACCTATCATATCCTACTCGAGTCATCCACAGGGCAACAGATAGTTGACTACCTACGGTACTAAGTATATAAACTCACCGAACAGAGGCTCAAGTGCTTGAGCAGTACAGCAGTTAACAATAACCCTCTGCATCAAATCACGTCTTGTTACTCTTGATACATCTCAGCAGAATCACCCATCACAACCTCGGACTTCAACATGGTGATAACCACCGGTGAACTCGTCCTTGGCCTCCTCGTGGCCCTAGGCTGCGGAGCAGGTATCGGCTTTGGGGTCTTTAAAGTTCTTGAAGTTCGAAAAGAGCGTACGCGAAATCAGCTTCCAACGTCCATGCCTAGACAACCACCTCCTAGCCCGGCTGCATCTTCAATAGCTCTCAGTCACATGCCACGACATGGTGTTCCATCACACCATGCCGGGAGCCAACCGGACGCCGGCGTCGCCGGGTACAGACCTTGAGGTATCACAAGTTCATTGGAAACTTCTCCTGGTAGGGCAGAGTTGGAGTTTCAATAGTCGACGAGATGGCGGCACTGAGGTGGCGCTAACGTTCAATAAAAGCAGATACATTAGGACGATTACGGCGTCGTATACAGGACGCTGGCTAATTGAGTGCATGGCCATGGAGATGTATAATGGAACCAGGCGGTGTTTCTGAGCCTCAGGAGTACCATGAAACCAGACGAGGGTAGCGGCGAATACATAGGGTGGAAGTTGATGTCACATATTGATAAACATGCTGGGCGGGATGCCTTGGTTATAGCATAGATTTGGCAATGTTTTCATTGTGTTCTCAAAACCGGCTCATTTTCTCCGTTAAAAGTGATATCAACCCGGCTGGAGGCAGTCGCTCATGGTTCTTTGCCCCTAGATCACTGACACCAGCTCCTGATTTGGACGTTCAACGGGTTCCAGCCTACCGTTCTAGCATCGACACATCCAGTCAATTGATACCGGTCTGTGTTGATAATTGGAAGCTGAGCTATGATTGCCTTTCGAACTCAGTATGATTAGGTAGCACTCCGAGTCATGAAGACATGAACCGGCAGCCCGAGCGACTTGAGAAAGCTAAGGTACAATACTTGGGTGCCTTGCCTAAGTTTCGTAGTACCTCAGTTTTAACAGCACTCCTGTAATTATTTTACCTGCTTGCACCAAGTGGTGGTCTGTATGTGACTGCCCTGTACACTCTGGCACGTTCCCTCAGTGTGACAAAGAACTTACTTGAACCCAAGGCCGGAGACAAACACCATCGTCAGCACGCCAACAGACACATGAACGAGCGACAAAGGATTACTAGTCTGATGAACACCATCAATATGCACATCGATACCAGTCCGTGCTATTACTGCTTAGGTAGCTGGTGGATTATTCGGTGTAGGATCATGATTCAGCGGCAGAGACCACCCGGTCACAGGACATGGAAGGCAGCACCTTGGAGGAAGAGGGAACTGTTTGACTTCAATGTACTACCTAGCAACCGTCTCCGCAAATCGCTTAAGTGTCTAAGCTACTCAGGCCGTATTTACTAATCGTTGTAGCCTATATTCTTGTCTTCAACGCGTAGATCGGCCTCTTGGGACCTAGGTACTTCAGGTTTTGACTCAAGATCATGGTACTTCAAACTTCAGAAACCTAAGGTAGCTTGTTTGTGTCCCGCATCATGTTACGTGATAAGGAAGGGCACATGTAGCAGAGGCAAAGGACAGCAATGTGATTAGTAGCGAACCATACCTTTCAATGATCCAGCATTATCCGGGATCTGGTCATCCAAAGACAATCTCATTGCATTCTAATGTCTACCTTGGATGGGCTGTTTTCTATCTGACCAGAACAAGCTGGATGTGCTCGAACAGCTACGCCGACCTTGACATATTAATGTCGGTGCAACCCCACCAACTTCCTAGTAGCCCCTGCTCCTTCCTTCCTTGCCTCAATTCTGACAAAGCCATCGTCACTGCGCTTGAGTTTGGTTCCTTCACGCAAGGGACTTGTAGGCATGATGGAGAGCAACGAGTTCTCCCCACAGTTCATCCCCATTCTGATCATCGTTCCCCTCGGCATGATCCTCACAATGCTCTACATGAGCCTCTCCGAACATCGGCGACAGAGAATTGTGAATTCACTCCTCTGCTGGAGAAGGAAAAGGCACCAGCTCCCCTTCAGAAGGGGCACAGAGAATGCTATTGCCCTCACGCCAGTTGCCCCCATGACATTTCATGGATGCACTTTGGCCCCGGACTCCATACTGCAGCGTAATGCAGAGCTTGCCGAGCCCCAGCCCGCCACAACGTGTAGACTTTGGGGCCTGACCATTCAAACCCATCTCCCGCGGCGCGAACCTGAGGTCAATGATTCACATCCCACACCGAGCCCAACTCAGGCCGTAACCGGGCCATCTGAGAATCCAGCCGATTGGTTTGAGATAGACCTCGGGTCGCCCATTTCAGATGACGGGGTCGGTCAGGACCGCACCACCGTGAGGTTTTGAACCTGGTGTCCAGGCCACCTGGTGAGAAGGCCGGGAGGTGGGCAATACATAAGATAAGTTGCCTGGCAAAGTAGGAGGAAGAGATTGTTAGGTACCTTAGCAGAATATGAGGACAGGCCGCGGGCTTATGTCAAATATCAGCATATATGGAGAGGTAAGGCCAATTGCTGTTTCGTAGCCATCATCGTTTCCCTGTAGAAACACGGTCAAACACCAAGTCTTGAGTAAGGTAGTGGAACAGATAACATGTCCAGGTAACCTTGAACCTGGAACCTAGGTAGAATTAGAGCATATCGCACTAGGCGCCTCTATACTATTGCAGTGATAATCTCCTCAACCGATGCTTTCCATGAGAACCTGGAATCAGCAGTACAGTTCATACTGGAGGGTCTGTTAAGAGTGGTAGTAGAGAGGATGATCTTTGCATACAAAATTCTGGCTTACACTAACAGATGCCGCCCTTCCAAAGTACAGCGACTGAAACAAGTCACTTGGTGCAGGACTATTGTACTGTACAGGACAATGAAGCCCAGATAAAGATGGCCCTTCAGATACCGTCTTGATACCATTCATGGAAACATCAATATACTCTGTACTTCATTGACAAAGTTGACAATTTGAACCTGAACCACTCGCAACTTACAATCTTGAACATATTATATTTTCCAGGACAGTCCAAATGCCAATACACAACATCAAGATTACAGCACTCTCACCGTATAGCCGTACATCTAATGGATCTTAGATGATAGACTTCCATGTTAGTAACAGTGCAAAGTACACACCTGCTTAGATACTTCCCCTTGCGGCGTTGCCTTATCTGAATGTCCCTCAACACCATGTACCATTGTGTAACATGCCCACACCGTTGATTGCAGTGAAACATGGTGTCGGGTATACCAAGAAGAAATGCCGCACACATGCATGCCGTGGGCTTGTCTCACCTAGCCTTAACCAACCACCCGACATCGCCACCACTTGACATCCCCAAACCCCTCAAAAAGCCTGGAAGCTGAACTACTTTGTCCTACACACGTGCTCCCGATTTGCCTACCGGATCTGGAGCAACGATGTATAGTCTGGAAGAAGGCACGTGGCAACCAACACTTTGGAAAACATGTTGCGACTTTCCCGATTGGTGACCTGGCCGCATTTATACACATCGTCCACCGTCAAGCCTGTTGGCCAAGGTTGGCTAAGGCGAATCCATCCCACAGTAACCTTAAAAGGCGACCGATCCCACAAGCCAAAAAGCCAACGAGGCAGCTAGACAGTTTAATAGCTCACATGGACGGCCAAGGCGATAAAGCACAGCAGCAGAGTATTGTAGGGCAAATGGTTTGATGGGGCTCGGTGCAAAGGGTCCGGAAGCAAAAAACTCACCCAGGTTTGTATTCATCACATGCGGTGTTGTAAAGTTTTCTGTGCTACATAGAAAGTACCCCATCAAAGCTGTTCTCTTTCCTACTCCTCCACCCGTCTCAGCGTCCGCCGTACCATCTGGACTAGACGCTATGCTGTGATGACTGACTGCATTGAATGATGAATGCCAAGTGATAAAGGGAAAAGGAAGAGGAAAAAAACACGTGTACCTCGAGGACCGCCCCTCTCCTGTACGGTGTAACCGCTCAAACTGGTCCCCAAGTGTGATGCTACACCCAGCATCTGATGATTACTACATAATCCGAAGTGTACTCTCAATGTGAATCACGGTACCACGCCACCAGACCAAGGCCCTGATCCGCTGCCCGTTTGCGATCGCAAGTGTTGCCCAGAACGCCATGCAAATGCTTTGACAATCAAACCCAGAGAGAAGAAAAATGCACTAACGCCAAGCCTGTGCGCCCCGTAATTGTTGGCGAGAACCATGGCTGAGATTATATAGAGTACTGAGAACTGGCAGTTCCAGCTGGGTATCATGCGGATTGGTGAGATCTACCTGCGGCAGGTGGTAAATCGGCGTTCTTTGACGCTTCATGTCCGATGACGGCTGTTGATTGCTGGCTGTTGGATTTGGTCGCTGCTGGTTGTGATGAGAGGTCGGCGACCAACTAACTTCCTTCTGGTTGCTCTGTCGATACTTGTACGCGAGGTCCCCAAAGAGACGGAATATCGGGCCAAAGGGGATTTGAGGCGTCGGGAATCCATGTCTGCCTGTTGGTTGGCGCCCTCGGTGACAAACCGCCTCCAGCGCAAGGAAAAACGGGACGTCGCTCAGTTGTTCTGCGTCTCGCTGCGCCAGATGCCGGCGCCCAGCGGCTTGCTGACGCCAAAACCCACGCCTACTGCGATGCCGACGATGAGCACAATGATCAGAATTTTGACAAGGATCCGGTTGCGCTTGCTGAGGCCTGCCAGGCAGTGGCAGTTGTGGCGCTTCTTCTTCGCTGCCTGAGCCTTGCGCTTCCAGTGTTCCCGACCGGGCCACGCTTGACAGTCGCTTCCCCCTTTTGTGCACTCCATCCTGCTGCCGACATGGTCAATGGGCGTAATCATTGCTTCGATATCGGTATCGAACGGATTTGCCCGGACGGTAGCCGGGCTAGATGCGTCTGACGGCCGCGACGCCTTTGTCTCCTTCTCTTCGAGCGGGGGAAAGGCCGCAGGTGCGAGTGATTCCTCCGAGATCTTTTCGTGGAGACGGGGTGTTGTGGTTGCAACCGTCAAGCCTAGCTTGTCGGCTTGGCCCTGGGGAGTGACGGAAGCCATGGTGGGTGTAGTTAGGTGCTGTATAAATGGGCAATGCCTGAATACCGTAACTATACGATCGACAAAATGCTGTGCAGTTTGGCGGCGGGTTGTTGATCGGGGTGCTGGCGAGACTGTCTAGACGAAGAATCTTAAAGCGACCTGGGACTCTTTGTCAGTCGCGGTTCCATTGTTTACAAGAGCGGGAGAGGCTAGCTCGCAAGGAAAGAGTGCCGCTGCTTGAGACATGTCCGGAAACTCCAATGGCACTGACCAGCTGTGTGTGTAGGAGTTTCATCAACAGATTTAGCCACGCATTAGTGGATGGTAGAGGATGAACGGTTGAACACCGGGCCCGTGACCCCTTCCCAGCAGGAGATGGACGGCCCTGGTCGAAAGTAAACAGCGCTCGACAATTGAAGGAATTGACAAATGGCAAGCGAGATGGATCACCGTTTCGCTCACAGCGCCCTCACTGGTCGTCAGTGGAGCGGTGAAGTTTGAGGAAAAGGAATGGAAGGAATCCTGTCGCGAGGAAGAACGGCGACTGCCAGGAGAAATGGGAAATGAGACCACACCATGGGTGCTCAGGGGTACGTACCTTGGATACTTGCATGCAACCAATCTGGGAAAGATCTCGTCGGTTGGAAGGCTGGCCCTGGCCACCCCACTTGTACCACTGTCTTGGCACTGCACCTGCAGTGGCCCCACTCCCTTTTGGTTGACCAATGTCGACCTGAGTGGTCTGCTCTGGATAGCATTTGTGTCTACGCTACTTTAGAGCTCTGGGCAGCAAATATTCCTATGCACACCCCTCTTCAGGTCCTGCCTGCAGTGGCAAAGCTTGGGAAAAGCGTATTATCGACATCAACAGAACATCAACATAGATAGCTACGAAATTCCGGACCTGTCAATCAGCAATCTGTCGGGGATACCGAGCGGGAACATGGCGAACGACAAATCTAATGATACGGATCACCGCAGACCAGGGCGGGGTTACGATGTTGGCAAGACCTGTTGGTCTTGAGTCTATGTATACGCGGGAGTAACTATCTCGGCAATCATGCCTCGGTCAGGAGATTGGCTGTACGAAATAATAGAGCACGACGGGTTGGCTCTCTACAGTATAACCAGTACGTACGAAGTATACTCAGTAGAAGCTTCAATCCTTCTGTACGGTAGTCGCGCAGTCGATCCAGGCGCACTGTCCAGGTTCGTCGCAGACTGTAAACGGTGATACTGCACCCCGTGCTGTCCAGCCGCCGAGGGGGTGGGAGGGAGGGATTCATCACAAGGTCGCGGGCGGTAGGAATTCTTGGATTTTCATGCGGATTTTACAACAAAGATGCAACCGCCGCCAGCATCCAAGGCAAATCATTAATTACATGAACCGCTTTTTCCACGCGTCTCCGTAGTGTACTTGTACGATCCAGGAGAGTTCCCCGATCACTTCCCAGTCCTATCCCTGCTTATCCTTGCTAGAGGAGAGGAGCAGCATGAACAGGGGACGGTCCGAATTCATCAATCGGGGAGGCGTTTTGTGATTTGTGCGTTGGCGCTCCTAGGACTTGACTGACGCGCTCCATGTGTCGACAGAGTACGTACTTTCCATTCTCCAGTCTCCGCAGGCTTATCATTCAAGTTGCTTGCTTGCCCAGTCGAAACGAACAGTGCACAGGATAAATTAGAAGCTTCAAGCGGAGTGATGCCAGTATTCGTACGGTAATATTAGCATAACTTGCTATCCGGTGATTGATGTCGCCGTGGAACCACAGAGCACATGTCAGCTGTGATACGGAGTACAGACAAGTACATACCGGTAGGAGTTATTTTTTTTGGTTTCCAGTTTCGTTCGGCCTCGAGCATCTCAAAAAGTCGGTCCAAGTTGAATGAAATTCTCCTGCCCCAACCGGCTTTCGGCTTCCTTGCCTCTTTCCCGCCCTTGCACCCAGCCACGCGACGATGGTAGCCGCTATGCCTCTTTCGGTTTAGCCTCAGGAGAACCCGGCCCCTTTCTCCAGAAGTCTAGGCCCCGAGCTGGAAGCGGCAGCACGATCACGAACTCTTGACCCTCGCGGTGCTCCAATGCAGAGTTTCCACTGAAGAACTGTCAGTCGATGTACTCCGTATCCGTAACCGTATTACGGATTCCAGGTCCTCCGAAATGGTATATCCCCAATCCTTTAGCAAGTCTACCTGGAACTCGAATGCGAGCAGGGCCTATACCGGCTAATGATGATGGCAGAGCTGTACTACGAAACACTGGAGCTCATAGTGGCTTTGTCGTATTTGAGCGTACAAGCTAGCGTTGGTGTTCGGCAATTCTCTGTGAAGTGCGAACCGTCATCGTCCTAGATTCGATGGATGATTCAAAAGAGGTGTGCACTGCGCCCCTAGTATCACTCATTGGTTTACAGCGAGAACCCTTTGATTTCATCTTCTTTTCTTCAGTCATGGCCTTTTAGTTTCTATCCCGCTGTCTCAGACTATCTCAGGATACTCAAAGTTGAAGAGCATCCGTCAGTCACGTCAGGGCATTGCAACTCTTCAGGTGCCTTCGACGTCGTATAGATATAGATCAACATTGAGTACTCCAACCACCAAAGGGTCGTGCTTTCTACAGGCAGGCATTTCCGTGGCTGGGCGCTTAGAAACCAAGTATATAATGAGGTTGAGCAAATTCGAGTAAGCTGGGTTGTAAAGGGTCTATGGAAATCCAGAGTGGCCCGGGGCTCACAAGGATAGTGAAGCCCATGGAGCTGCAGCGCCATTTGTATGCTGAGAGGGTCATTCTGCGGCAGTGAATCAGGTATAACTCATAAGGGAAATCGCTTCCGTACTTTAGCAGCTTGACGGTGTAAGGCACTTTACTGTCATATTTGATTCCAGGATATCAAGGGACAGGCATATCTCGGAATGGGACTATGGCCCTCAGGAGCTGGCTTTCTTGTCCTCGAACAGAAACTGAACGGAGAGCCAAACATTTAAGAATCAATGGCGACACGGTAGCTCCACCTCAATTAAGACGGCCCTCATCAATCCATAGTTCCCTTGAGCAGGGGAAGCATCGGATGGGCTTCGTCCGCCTCACTGATGATCAAACTCGGAATAAAGTACTAGTACTAGGAGCCCTTATGACGGTCCAAAGAGAAAATCAACAAGCCTTTCACATATTTCTCCTCGGACGATTCTGACAGATAGTAATCAGTGTTACAATATAAAGCGTTACCCGAAAGTCCTCTCTGGCTGTGGACATTGTGGTTAAGGGCCACAATTTAACCACCACAGCAGATGTGTCCTGGACCACCGGTGCTATAAATGGGTGGCCCCACAAGACTTCCCGAAGCCCATATGCTAACTCTCCGTGAGCCGGATGAGGGTTGGATTCCTCTCAGAAGTGCTGGGTCGGTCTTCGGATGGCCTCCCTTTTGCCAACATAAAGGGGATCGGATTGGGAATTGGGATGCCGCTCGTTTATGATACAAGTTACAAAGACTTAAGAAGGCTGTAGCCTTTCATGGGTTTGAGCGAGTTCATTGTGAGAAGGTCACCACTCAGACTATGCACGTACTACATACTGGTGGTACTTATCTACCATCAGGGCAGCAGCTCACACCCGTAGCAACCTTTGTAACTGGTTGCTGAAGTTGTGAGATGGACGTGGACGCCAAGATACCCTAAATTCGTCATCATGAAACATGTTATTCATTGATCAAACAATAATCCGAATAAATGATTCAGCCTCCAATGGATCTCCCACGTTGACTTGAAAGGAAGTCCAAGGAACACATTTAACAACCTCATGGCTCCGGTTTTCCAGTATCCGAGTCGGTCGATTTCCCCCCATATTCTTTTTCTTTCCCTTCCTCGTCAGAGCACTTTGATAACACTGAGCTCAAGCAAGGTCATCCGGCACTTACACCAGTCAATCTCCATTCTCCACCGAGTCTTCGACACGATGTCTTTTGTGCCTTTTTTGCTGGTTGCCTTTCTTCTGGCAACCTTATGCTCGTCAGCAATGACACACGACTGCCGGCATTTAGAACCGGGAGTCAACATGATTGACTGCCACCAAGTCATTGACGTCTTCAGCCGTAAGTACTAGTAGCTCACCAAGCAGGCACTTGAGAAAGAGAATGCAAGGAGCAATGCTAATTGCCAGAATTGGTAGAATATGATCCCAGCGGATACATTACAATCAAGCCCAGGAAGGGTGTGTATGCCTACAGTGGGTCGTGCGCGGGGGAGGTCATCAACCCGAACCATAGACCTGTCAGGGTCAACGAAGCTACGCTTGCAGTGAACATGACAACTTACATTTTCAATACCTGTATTCTCAAGGGCATGTATGGGAAATACGTGACCAGTGAGATAGCTGCTCTCCTCTATCCCACGCCCTCATCAGATGCCGGCAAACTCAAGATTGAAGACAAAGGACAGTGAGGACACTCCTCCATCTGAGTCATTGATGGGGTGATGAGTAGGTACCTACCTTAGGTTGTGAAAGTAAGGCATCGATTTTTGAGCTGTGGCTCATCAGCAAGATTAAACGAGTTTCGAGTCGGCGGACCGAGTGAGGTTGCTATGGCTGAGTGTTCGAACTTTCCGAAGCAACAATTGGATTTCTGTGTCAAGCATTCACAATGAGTCCATTGATTCGTCCCTGCGATAGCGGGTTCATATCATGAGACGATGAGAACGACTTGCACTCACTCTGAAATACCAATCTTTCTGCTGGCTTCAATCCAAGAGTGGTCAGGAACCTGCCTTACCACTAGACAGCAATCCCATCGTCGAGCCTCGAGAGGTACAAGTACCTTCCAAAAGTTACTTGACGTTATCTCTCGGGTTAGGGGTTTGAAGCAGTTCTCAGTCGCACCGCCACCTTTCCTCCCATTCAGCCACAATCACGCTTGCCAAGCTTTGCAGACGTCAAGAGCTTATGCACAGACAGGCACAGAATGGATCGCCCCACCAACTCCTCGTCCAGCAACTCACCAGCTCCCCCGCAAACCCGCATCCCACTCAGCTCCAGCATCGGTGTAACAGGACAGGCGACTGAGGCGCACAATGCCCTTGCTCTGAAACTGCCAGCTTCTTTCACGCGTGGCCCCATTCCACTTGCAATGGTAATTACTTTTGCCCAGCAATCTGTCCTCGTTGATCCATCGCTTGTGCTCTAACACCTCATGCAGAACAAAGACGCGTGTTACACGTACATTCACATGCAGCGTCCGCGCGATGCCGACCTGTTTGAAGACTTCTGCAAGGACAAACTCCCTGCAGACGACATCTACGTACCGCCTCACTTGCAGCCCATCAACCCGGAAGATGAGGACGACGTGGTTCCCGATCAGCATGCCGCATTTGGAATCCAGAAGGCTACGCAAAAGGTCCGCGAGCCCGCGTGGAGGGATCTGGGACTGGGAGAGCTGATGACCCGCGGTCCGGCCATAGGATCGGCGCCGAAGGGACGTGCCAGGGGAAAGCGGAGGGGAGGCGCGGCTAGCCAGTTCAAAGGCCTGCCACGTTGAGGGGGATCCGACGGCAGCGTTTTCTTTTCCTTTTCGGGTATTTTTACACATCGCATTGCTAGGCGTCGGTCGGGAAAGGTAGAATGGCGATTCCCAGGGATGGCGTTACGGACAATTTCACAATATGACAAGCATGCTCAACCCTCAACCTTGTCTAGCCACCCCCTCCGCAACCGTGACAGTGGATATCAATGCTCTACTTGATCCTCGCCCATGAACCACAATCAATCCCAGAAAAAGACAAACCGACCCCCCAAGCGCCTCAAAACCCCAAGATGAACAAGTAACCCAGCAGCCCAGCTCCCGTAATACCACCCAAAGTTTCCCCTTGATTTTACCCCTTGCCAATCAACGCCTCCCTCTCCAAAACCTCGGGCTCAAACTTGACCAAAAACACCGTCTTGCCAGGCCACATCTCGCCCTCCTCCTTACCACCGACGGTGTGGGCCGTGACTTTGGCAGGAAACACAGCGCCGTCGCAGACGCCCTCAACGATGCCCGCGACGAAGGCGGCGCAGTTGAGCTGGCTCATTTCGCGGGGCACGCTGATGTAGGCATTGACGAGGGGCTCGTTGTCGATGATCATGTACTCGTCGGGCGTGTCGCGGCTCGAGCTCTTTTCGAGCCGGTCGGCCTGCCGCCCAAACAGGTGCGTCCACACGTTGATCTTGATGAAGTGCAGCAGCGCAATGATGGTCAAGGGCCGCGTCTGCGACCGGGGCGGCTCGCGGATCAGGAGCAGGTCGAGCAGCTTCAGGCCGATTGGGTGGCCTTGGAGGTTAAGGCTGTTAAAAAGGGTTTGGTCAGCAAAGAGGTATGGGAGAAAAAGGAACGCCAAAGACGCAGAGGCGGAGGGACGCCCATACCGCTTCTCCAAATCTTGGATTCCCGTTACCCTCCTCTGCGCGTAGCTGACCATTTCGGAAAACAGGTAGGCAAAGCTCGCCTGGCTGAGCTCGGCCGTCTTGCTGCGGTTCAGCGGCCGGTGGTAGATGGTCTTGCCGTTGGACGGGTACCGGAGACCCGCCTGCTCCTTGGCCGTCGACGCCTTGCCTGACGCCATGTGCGCGATTGTTCTGTCGGTCGTTATAAGGCCACGGATTTACGGCAAGCGGTCCAATATCGTATTCGCAATTCTTTTACCGGTCGATATTCCGCTCTTCAACCCATTGGCGCTGAGTTAGTGTTTATTGTCGTTGACGACCTAGAGAAGCTCCATGTGGGCGATCAGATGCCAGATGCAATTCGAGGACCCACTTGCGGTGGCTTGAACTTGGCTTTATGGAACCCATTCGGTCATATTCAACCCTAACCCCCAAAGCCTTCTAGAACTACAACCGCATGAACTGCTACACGAATCACGAAAGCATCTCTTTTGCCAGTAAGGTAAAGTGCAACAACAGACGTTTCTGTGTCTACAATGTCACGTGGACTCCCTATGTGGACCACTAGTGAACTCGCCCTTTTGCTCCTCTCTCCTCGTTCTCTTTAGGCAAGCGAGTCTGCTGGAGAACTTGTCATCTTGCTAAAGAGTGCTAGACCCCAGGTCCTTACTCTCGTCCTGGATACTCTTCAGCTGGCCCGCGAAATCTCTGTTAACCCACTCCCAGTAGCTAGTCCACACTTGACCGGAAGCACCCGCGCCGCCACCCATGTTGGCTCCAACCTTCAGCTTGTCGCTCAGCAGAAGAGTGACCCGCAAAACCGCTTTGTTGGCTTCTTCCTGTTTCTCAATTTCCTGCTTGACGGCATTGTCCTTGAGCTTATGAGACAGCGTCTTCCTGAATGCCTCTGCAATGGAATCAAGCCGCCGCCCGGTCTCGTCAGGATCCAGGTAGATCAGTTTTGACACCATGAAATTACAGAGTGCCCGGATGTCATTGTCGTCTGAGAGGCCGGCGACGATCCTGTCGTAGAGATCAATGATACTGACACGTGAGAAGGCAGTCTCCATGAGAGCGTATAGCGTCTCGTATGCCGCCTAAAAATTGCCACGTGTCAGAAGACTCAGGTCAACGCAAAGTTTAGAGTGCCCACGTACCTTTCTCACTTCCAGGCCATCATCAATGATATGCTTGAATGGACCCATTTGCACCTCACGGACGAGCTCCCGCTTGATGACCGTCTCCTCCATGACTCGCGGCACCAGTTGATTGAGATGCTCGAGAATCAGCTCAGGCTTGTTGTTCGCCGCCGAAGTCAGCGTGGACATGGCATGGCGCCGGATCTCCATCTCAGAATCGCTTAAAGCGGTTTTGAGCATGCCAACTAGGGAATTCCTGAGTACCGCATCGAATGCCTCGTTCTCATCGGGGAGAGTGTATCGAAGAGCCTGGACGGCGATGGCCCTCAGGACGGCGGATTCGTTTCTCAACAAAATCTACGGATGGATCAGCCATCTGGAATCACAATATGGACACGGGATATGACCTACCTCCAGTTTTGGCATGTAAGTCTTCGGGTCAATTATTACCATGCGCCCTATGCATTCTGCGCAGACGGCTTTGTTGTCCTCAGCGTCGGTGGCGGCAAGAATCTCATCCCAAATGGCAGCGGAATACTTCCCAATGTCGGTGGACGAGAGTGCAACCTGTTGGAGGACCTCCTTAATTGACTGCAGCAACAGATACTGCGTGCTGCCTTTCCGCTTCATCGACTGCAGGATTACTGGCAGATATAGCGAGACATTCCCGGCTCCAGCTCGTCCGAGAGCAGTCGCCGCTGCAACTGACACCTTTCCATACTCATTCGTGAATTGCTCCAGGAAGAGAGTTGGCGGGACTGGAGACTTGCTGCCAAGCCGCAATCCGGCTTCGCCGATCACGGCAAGAGCAAGACTCGCCCTGGCCTGGTCTGCCGCATTTGTCTTGACTTCCTGAATGAAGCTGTCCAATGTCACGCCGGCCGAATTTCCACTCGCGACAAGAAGTGTACCTATGACTTTGCCAACAACGGAAGGGTCGCCACCAACACCGACGTCTTTCAGCAATGCGGCCATGAGCGGTTTCCCTTGGCCCATTTGGCCCGCGTGCGTCACAAGAACGAGGAGAGAATCGAGGACGGTTCCTGCAACGGTGGTTTGAAGCAGGGTGCAGAGGGCCCCAATCACTTCCGTCGTGACCACGATGTCCGGCGCCTCTCGGGTGAGAGACGCAAGTACAAGAAGCCCCGGGCCAAGGAGCTGGGCATCGTTATTAGCGATGGCGGGAATCAACGCGGCAACGATGCTTTGAATGGTTGTCTTATCCAGCGCGCCCTTGGTGGCAGGGGTCAGAATGAGGTGCTTCAGCGCCACGATGCTTGACCCTCTCAGTGCACGATTCGACTTCCGCAACTGGGCGGCCAGCTCAACGACAACTTGGCGAGTCCATTGGGGCTCAAATTGAACGGCACCGAGTGACATGGCAGCTGCAGTATCCACAGCCCTAACTGCTGCCAGCCTTGTTGTCTCGTTCTTGAGCCTATCGAGAAGGCAACTGAGTGCAGCCTGACGCTTGGCGTCAGGCAGAAGATTCGATCCCTCCGATCCAGTTGTTCGGGCCAGAAGGGTACCGAGAGCGTGGATAGACTTCTGCCGGACTTCAGCATCGGCGTCGTTGGCGCTTGCTCGGTCGATAAGTACATCATAGAGCTTGTGTAGCTCTCCCTGAAATTTCTGAGCTGTCATACGGGACCTCGGGGGAGTGATGGCTTTGACAATCTCCTCAGCCGTCTGAATAGCCTCACTCGAGATCTTGTAGAATCGATCATGGGCAACGGCAACCACGCTCGCAACGAGCTTTGGCAAGTGGGGTTGGAGGACGGCCGAGGGGTGGTTTTTCGCAATATTGCTGGTCAGGCGAAGTGCAGCCATCCTCAGCGTGGTGCCTGTGGCGGACGCGCTGCCCCCAGCAGACGAAAGCGATGCTGCCGTAGAAGCATTACTCGATGACTTGATAGCCTCTATTATTGGACCAACAATCTGTTCAAAGTACGGCGCTAACCCGCCCCTTTGTACAGACACCATGTCGTCCAGCAAAGTAATGGAGGCCTGCTTGGTTGGAATGAGTTTTCCCTTGAGCAGCTTGGCTACGGATTTGATGATTGTCGGGGTGAGGTTGGCAAGGTCGGCACGCGGCCCGGTCGGGGGTACCTTCTCCAAGGTCGGCGAAGTGAGGCCGGTGCCTGACAAATCTGACGAGCTGATGGTAAGGGCGTACGAGGAAGAGCCGCCAGCACTGCTCTGGCGTCTTCTCTTCCTACTCGGAGGCAGTTGGTTTAGATAATCGCCCTGGGTACTGTCAATGGACAATTCCGGAATCACGCCTTCCCCAGTCTTCCGCACGAGAAGAGCCATCGCTGCCAAGACCTCAAGGCGCACATTTTCCTCGCGCTCATCAAACCGCTTGACAAGAGCTGGGGCCACCGTCCCGTACAGAACGCCGCTATCAAGAAGATCGCCGCTGCTCCTCGTCGAGATGATGGTGTACAACGCTTTTGCTGCGCAGCGCCGGACCTTCCAGCTGGCATCATCATCATCATCGAAGCCTCCACCGCCTTCAAATTCATCGTCTTCCTCCATCTCATCTTCGTCCTCTTCTTCGGTTTCCATGTCCTCATCGTCGTCAACGGCATAGTTTGGGTCGAACTTCAGGTATCGAAGACACGCCCCGATAGAGTCATCAGTAAAGGGGCGCATCTGTGTTGGGCATGCCGCCAGGAAAGCCTCTAACGCGACTAGCGCCGCCTCTCTAACTTCGCTGAATTCGAGGGAAGCCTCAGCCCCCTCGTTGACCTCTTCAATGGAGGCTTGAAGTTCTTCATCGCCTAGGGCCCGGAGAATGACAGGTGCCAACACGGAAAGATGGCGACCAAATCTGTAAGGGATTGAGCGTGCCATTGAGCCCAGGATTGTTATGTATAGTCGACGAGTTGGCGGCTTCAACTGTGGATCATTCAACACCGTGACGGTACGGTCGATGAAGGCGGTAAGCAGATCGTCGGAGAGGTAGTGGGCCAGCATGGAGATTGCAACGACGGCTCTCTTCTTGACTACGGAATTCCCCTTGTCCTTCTCCAAGAGAGTAACAACCGCGCTCTGAAGTGCCTCGATCTCGAATGGCTGAAGCATGGGGCCGAAGCATCTGACGACTTCGATAAGGACATCAACAGAATCCGAGTTCGGGTCCTCCGTGTCTAGCATGCCCGGGATAAATTTGCCAGCAGAGTTCGTTCGCCCAATAAACCGGGGAATGAGCACTCTGCTAACGTTATTGTATGCCTCGCTGACATCTTTTGTGGGCGTGATACCGGGGATAGGTCGGGGAAGCGCCTCCACCACAGCTCGGATGGCCAAGGAGGGGACTGAGTTGTCGACGGAGTTTTTGAGTTTCAAGCTGCAGAGCTTCTCTATCAACGTTACGATTAATTGGGAACTGATCTTTTTGACCAAAGGTCCAAGGCTGCACAGAAAGCGTCAGAGCAAAACCTCCAGGGAAACGGCCGAGACACTTTGACGGTACCATTTGATCGCCTGGTTCTGGACCTCTCCATTCTGATCGTCCAAAGCCCGCACAATGTGATCGACAGTCCGCGATGCTGTGTTGTAGTCATGGTTCAGGAAGTCGTTCTTTGCGATGGTGAACACAGCAAGGAGATCGCTGAGTGCCATAAACCGGAAATCGGGGTCTGGATCGGAGATCTTCGTCAGGAGTTGACTGACCGTCTGCGGAGTCGGATTCGTCGGAATAGTCGTCGCCATGGTAAGTTGCCGCTGTGGTTACTGTGAGGGTGTCTGTGTCTTGTTGCGGTGTTGAGATGTATCGGTTGAACTAGGTCGTGAGGAAATCAGCATTGCAGACAAGAAAGCCAAACCAATATGGCGACGTGGGGCAGACCGAGGTCAGAGAGAGGGAGAATGGACTCACGATAAACCAGAGCTACCTTATCATTGAGATGTCGAGAAGCCGATTGCTAGCTGCTCAGGCTCGGCTCTGTCCTCGGTGAACAGAATTTCCTCGGTTGTGTCTCTAACGGATTCACTTGCTCTCCAGCTCAGGCAGCTTCAAGTCCAGTTCAAGGTTGTGGAGGAGAGGTAATCGTTGGTGGGGCAAAATTGAGCCAGTCGCGGGGTTAAGCACGAGCCACTGATGATGCCAAGAGAGCGCTGGGCTGACTGTGGGGCATGTCCCCGCCCCGCAATCAACTACACTAGCGCATGCCGCAGTGCTTGTTAACTAGCGTTAGCTTCTGGAGCATTCCCAGTCTAGGAACAACCTTGACACTTGCCCTGGACGGAGAACTGGCAGAAAAAGAGCAATGGGCTATCCTACTATCTATACATACGCGCATTGAGACATATGTGTAAGTTGCCTTGTCTGCCTCCGGTAAAATCGATCAGGAAAGGCTATGCAAGAGAGCTTTCGCGTCAAGGGAGCTTGGGCCTTTCCCGCCCCTGTTTGAGCCGCTGCATGTAATTGACTTTGTGTACGTCAGCCAGTCATACATGCAAGCCGGCAAAAGGACACAAAGCTTGAAGCTCCCGGTTGTGTGAGGGAAACTGCCCGCAAACACCACGGGCGCCCCGTCGTCAACTTGCCTTATTTCAGTCCAATTCGGAGTTCCCACCCAACATTGGGGAACAATATGGCCGCAAGCAGAGCCCTGCTGTTCCGTCCGGGTGTCCGGACGACTTGGCTTGGGCATCTCCGGTCCCAATTGACTCGGCCGCTCGGTCGAAGAGGTTATGCCAGCATCCAAGACCGCGCCGCCCAGTCCAGTGATAGGCCATGGTAAGCCTGTGTCGGTCCCGTTATGGCAGCAAGAAGCCTCCAGGCCCACCACATTTCCACGGCAAGAACTGACAGTTGCTCTCTATCGCACTGTTTCAGGCAGATTGCTGCCGTAGCCGTCACAATCCCTGGTCTCCTCTACCTGCGGCGAAGCAGCGCTCCGAAATCAGACCATGATAGCCATGCAAGTCACGGAACTGGGCATGAAGAGCATGCCGAACCAGCGAAAGAGGTTTCCGGGACTGAGGTTTCCACGACGAGCACACCAGAAGAACCGAGGGAGGAAACCTCTGAACAGCCAGGCGAGCAGCAAGGCGAGCCCAGCGAGCCCAAGAGAGATGAGGCTTCCGAGCAGCAAGGTGATCAGCAGGGCGAGACTGGCCGCTCAGATATCTCAAGCGGCGAAGCTGGTGCGGGCTCGACATCATCTAGCTCTGGGAGTGCTCAGTCCAAGGCGACGGACGACACTTAGTAAAAAGTAAGTGTCAATCCGATTCAGTGTCTCCACAAATCACTTATAGATCATAGCATGCCTGGGAGAGAACAGACCGGCCTGGTTCCAGGGAGTTAATCTCGCTCAGAAGGACGTGTCTTAACCAAATGAGAGGAAGTTAGGGACGAAAATTGGGTTGTCATGTGCTCCATTCACGCTGCTGAGCTTTGAAGCTGCTGAAAAAGAGACTTTCGTACAGCGTGTATATTTCCTCGGCGGGCTAATAGCGTTAATGGGACTTCAAATACTGGAGCTCCCGCTTTCTCTAATCCGCTGTCGAGTTGTCTGAACAGCAAAGCTCAATCATACCTAGGTAGATAGGTACCATGGTAAGGTGAGTGGAATCAACGGACTTGTCCTGGGGCACCTGCCACTTTGACATTGCTTTAAGTTGGCTTGGTCCCATCCGGGTGATGGTACTCTGACTTATGGCCGGGGCAGGAGCATTGGGCTTGTCTGCCCAATTTCATGCCGCTGGCAACTCAAGACGGAGCAGACGGATGCATCCTCCACATCCATACATTTGACCCGCCGTTCGCCAGGCCCTCCATCCCGATATATATCTGTGAATCGCTTCAGTACCAGGCTTCAGCAGCATTCATTGTTGATTACCACATCCTATCACCGTCACCATTGGGCTTTGCGAGCGACATAATGGCGCCTAGAACAACGCAGTCCGAGGACTAGGAGATCGGCCTGTGTGATGCGTGTGCCGCTGCCGAGTGCGCGAGGTCATTCTTCTCCAGTTGCGCCGAATTCAGTCGCACAGAGTACCGTCTGCAGCAAATTGAGCTACACGCAGACCCTTCTGATTTCTCAAACTATTCGAAGTTCAACCAAGACTGCTTGCAGTATTTGGCCGCTTGCCTCGGAGGTGTTTGTAAGCTCCTTCGAATTCGCATCGATGTATGGGCTGAGACGTTTGCTGACAGGCGCTGAAGTGATCGGAAGTGGTGTTCTCACTGCTCAACAAAACAGGCGCATACGAGAAAGATACGGCATCAAGGGTACCTATCCCCAAGATTTGATCGAGGGAATCTTTTGCCCGTGCTGCTCGCTAAATCGGAACGAGCACGAGCTCCTTTACCGGGAGGGTGAGAAAGCCAAGCAGCAGGGACCGCGTGCCTCTGTGGCCTTTGGCGAGAACACGGACAACGCATATAGATTGGAGCCTCGCATGACAGCTTCCGGTCCGAGAGGAGAGGGCAGCGATCGCGGAATATCTATGTCCTTTGTCCGGCTACCTCAGACACCACGCATCACAATCCCAGACCAGTCGAATGAGTTTTCAGACCGTGCGGTCCAAGTCCTCACACCAATCAGTGAGTCGGATAGCTTAGAAGACGCAGAGCCCCAGCAAATGGGAATCCATGGTGCCGACCATGCCGCAGATGAGACTCAGCGTCAGCAGAAGAGATGCCTGGAAGGATGTCCTGAATCTACGGATAAGCTCGATCGGGATAGGATCCGTTCAGAGTCCTCAACATCTAAGCAGGCACCTCCGGGGGTCAATGTCCCGGGGAATAATGTCCGGTCGTGCAACTTATCTCCGGAACAACTTGTGGTCATACCTACGCCAACGACTCCTGTCTATCATGACTTCAACGCTGGGAATGAAATTAGCGCCTCTGAGCCTCTCGCGATGCTTTCAAGTGGATATCCCGACATTGAGGTTCATATTCACAATGCCGATGGCCAAGATGAGATCCCGGGGCGGATGCCGCTTCAATATTCCCCTGCTCAACAACCTGGAAGGCGTCCATAGACTCGAATAGACGGCGGAGGGGGCTAGACAACGGAGGCAAGCTGATGGCTGTTCCATGGAGAGGCTACTAGGTTGCTCAGTGGTGGGATGAAGTGTCGATGACAAAAGGAAACCACTGATAAGCAGTCATTACAGTAGTCAGTATTTGCATATCCTAAGTTAGCATTGCACACTGCATAGGTACAAAGCATTAATATTCCGGTAACCCTATAGGGACTTCTCGACTTATTGTACACACCTTCATCCGTGATCGTACCTTCGCATCAGGGGAAAGGTATGAAGTACGTACCATACCAGTCAGGGGTACCAGCAGGGATGTGCTCTCACCCCGCCCCCGCATGTCTAAAACTCTGGCCCGCCACAACTTCACAACACTCGGAATTTGCCATCCCTTCTTTAGTGATTCTAGTGCGGGGTGATTAGACCCTCGATGCAGAACATTATCTTGGGCTGTGGCTTTCCAAGTTCAAGCCGTTTACCCAACTCAGCCGTCAAAATCTGCTTCTCAAGACGGGCCAATTCCCTCCACGATTTTACCACTCTCCAGAACCGCTCCCCCCTCCCTTCCTCATACGCACCACGACACAACCGCACGCCCTACGACAATGTCCTCCCCGAAGCCATTCACGGTGCGCATCGGCACGCGGCGCTCTGCCCTGGCGCTGCGGCAAACGGACCTGATCATGGAGGCGCTCAAGCGGGCGCATCCGCATCTCACCTTTGAGGTGCACGCGATGGCGACCATGGGGGACCGCGACAAGACGACGCCCCTGCCGGCGCTCGGCAAGGGCCTGTGGACGTCGGAGCTGGAAGCCAAGCTCGCCTCGCGCGAGGTCGACGTTATTGTGCACTGCCTCAAGGACATGCCGACGACCCTGCCCGAGGGGATGGTGCTCGGCGTCGTGACGGAGCGCGAGGACCCGCGCGACGTGGTTGTCTTCAGCGCGCGCCATGCCGGCAGGTACGAGAGGCTGGCGGACCTGCCCGACGGCGCCATCATAGGCACCAGCAGCGTCCGGCGTGCCGCGCAGCTGAGAAGGAGATACCCCCGGCTGGTCTTCCGGGACGTGCGCGGCAACATCGAGACGAGGCTTAGGAAGTGCGACGAGGAGGACTACGATGCTATCATCCTCGCCGCGGCCGGGTTGCTGAGGATGAATTATGGGGAAAGGATTGCGCAGTTCCTCGACTCGGGCACCGAGGGAGGCGGCTTGTTGCATGCGGTGGGGCAGGGCGCGCTGGGGTTGGAGGTGCGCGAGGGGGATCAAACCATGCTGGAGCTGTTGGAGGCGGTCAGGCATGTTCCGACCGAGATAGCGTGCTATGCGGAGCGGAGCGTCATGCGCACTTTGGAAGGCGGCTGCAGTGTGCCGATAGGTGTCGAGACGGCGTGGGTGGAGGAAGATGGAAAGAAGAAATTAAGGTTAAGGGCGGTGGTCGTCAGCTTGGATGGTAACAGTGCTGTTGACGGGGAGAGTGTTCAGGAAGTCACGTCCCTGAGGGAAGCAGAGGACATGGGCAAGAGGCTGGCTGAGAAGCTTGCGTCTATAGGGGCGCAGAAGATTTTGGACGAGATTAACAAGGGGAGAGAATCAGGGGCGGCTCTTAAGGTTAGCGACGCCTAAGGTATGAGGAGGATCGGTATACGATATGACCTAGAGAATAGACGAATAGACCTGCGATGAATTGGCCTTTAACAAGCAGCGTTAGCAGCAATATATGATCACGCGCTTGAAAGCTGCCTATATCATTACCCTAGGCCCGACGGGTTCCCACCTGTTGAATCTATCTCTCATACAAGCGGTCGTTGCCAGCCACTTGTTGCTTCCTGCAGTTGATTGCATCACGGGTCTGTAATTCTCCGCGCCTGGTGAACGCCTGTTCGAATTCGAGATGCGCAAAGGAAACCAAACACCGTTATGTCCCAATGGCCCATAGTATGGTACAGATCCAGGGCCCTTGTATCTATCAGGTTGAGCTGTCCGAAGAGGAAAATGGAATGATGGATGGAAGCGCGGCTCCTCCTGCCCGGCTACCCCCCGTAGCACTGGCGTCACTCTACACCTCCGCCAGGTTTAATCTTCTCAATGTTCGTCCTCCGTCGCGGTAAATTCTTCATATGCAGCCTGATCCATCAACTTCTCAAAGTCGTTGAGGCCCTGGTCGGTAAGCTGCACCTTTGCGATCCAGCCACCGCCGTGTGAGTCGTCCTCGGCGACTTGATTGATGGTGCCGGGTTTCTCCTCCAACAGGAGGTTGACCTGGGTGATTTTGCAAGAGACGGGGGAGTTGATGTCGGCCGCACTCTTGACAGACTCGACAGCGCCGATGGTGTCACCGGCATTCACCTCCTTGCCCTCGTCAGGAAGCTCGACGTAGACGATATCGCCCAGCGCCTTAGCGGCGTACTCGCTGATGCCCATGATTCCCGTCTTCTTGTCGGCAGAGAGGTCGATCCATTCATGCTCCTTGGTGTATCTCCTTATCGCATCTATATAACGTGGTACCAGCGGTTAGCAGAGCGGTGGCAGCGTTCGACACAGAGTCAGGAGAGCTCACTTGCTGCCGTGACAGAGAAGGGTCGGACGGCGATTGTGCGATAAGCAGAGCCCTTGATAACGGCAGAAAGACCGGAGGGCCGGGCAACCCTCAAGCACCGTGCAATTGAAGCCATTGCGGATGGGGCGGGAAGATTGTGATAGCTGCGGTGAGCTTGTCGACTGTCGGAGGGGGCCACAAGATAAATCGAATGACGCCGATTAAAGGAGAACGAGCGGTTGGACCCGGCAATCGCTCGCCAGCTGGCAGCAGGCGAATCCCAAGCACGAGTACGGTATTGTATTGTACAGTGCATACAAGTAATTTACATACCACTCACCGATATAATTTTCCTATCGTTACGTTACAAGCGTGCATAGTTTCAGTTTGGCGTTTTCGTCGGCGAAGGTGAACACACATTCGCGCGGAGCCTATGACAACGAGTCTCGGAATGTCGAGACCACCCCGTGTTTCCGGTGCGGAACGAGGCCGGGAAATTTGATAGTGATGCGAATATAGCAAGCTATGCCACACAAGCCGTTCGTTCAATAGGCTGTCCAGTCAAGCGCCTGCAGGCGTCCGGGGACGTTCATTTCTGTTATGGCCTTCATTGTTTACATTGATGCCCAAAGTGATCCTGTCAAAGACATCGACTCATTGCGCCATTTCGTATTTCTTCGTCGAACTGTCGTCGGCCAGATCGCGTCGCGTAATCTGCATGACGGCGCGTCGGTGACGTGCGGCAGCATTTCAGCTACTACGTAACGTTAACGTTAAAACTGAAAACGCTTGAAGTGGGTGCAGCTGCCCTGTGGCTGCCGCTGCGAGCACTGTCCCGGTGTCCCCCTGCCGTGGCGCCTAACCTCAGCAGAGAGTGGGTTCGCGCCCACTTTGGCCTTGCAACTGGAACCACCTCACCTTCCGGATTGTGGCGCTTTCGATTAGGTTCCCTTCTCCTGCTCTCCAATTCACCCGAACCCGGGACTCCGAGCTTCAGCATCCATTACCCGACCACCGTCAGCCGAGTCGCCTGTCACTACAGTAGTCAACCTGTGCACTTTGAGCTTCCTGGCCATCCTGCGCATCGGGCCGGGACGACCGAGCTCTCTTGCACTGACAAGAGTGACGGGCAGATCGATCCGACCCGGCTCCGCATCCGAACTCCCAACTGCGTTTGACGATCTGACGAACGGATTCACTTGTCATCGGCCCGCTACTGCTACGGCTTGTCTGGGAGGTTTTGGTTGCGCTACTCCGATTTCTCGCCGCTCGTAAACCAAAGTTTCCGTCCCCCTCCCTCATCAGACGAACGTCATCCGAACCTCGACTTTAAGGTTCCCGGGCGCTTCGGTTACCACTCACCCACCGTGTTTGCACGTTAAATCAGCACCACAATCTTCTCAATCACTGCCCACCATGGATTCCTCAATCTTGTCCGACGGGTCACCGGCCCATTTTCACGACGCTCCCGACTCCGTGGAGCACCAGGGTCAGCCTGTACCTCCGACTCATGAACCCATCCCGACCGATGCCCCTAACGACACGTTTGGCGGAATCGATGACTCTCCCAATGCTGTCTCCACGCATGCAGTCCCCGAACAGGAAGTGCCCGATCAGAACGGATTTCAAGAGCAGCACCCTGTTCAGTCACAGCCCCTCGACCAGACCTACCCTCCTGAAAATGTAGTAGACGGTGACCCGACTGCGCGGTACGCAACCCCGCCCATTCCAGCCCCGGCAATATCCCGACCGCCGTCCGGTCTTTCGGGGCAGGGGGCTGCTTACGGAGCCGATCAGGCTTCTAGGGCAGGCAGCAACGGAGCACCAGCTGCCGAGACGCAGAACAATGGGCGCAATCACGTCGTTATCAAAGTCGGCATGGTGGGCGATGCGCAGATCGGCAAGACTAGTCTGATGGTCAAGTACGTCGAGGGTAGCTGGGACGAGGATTACATCCAGACACTGGGTGTCAACTTCATGGAGAAGACGATCAGCATCCGCAACACTGAGATCACATTCAGTATCTGGGATTTGGGCGGTCAGCGCGAGTTTGTCAACATGCTACCGCTGGTGTGCAATGATGCGGTGGCCATTCTATTCATGTTCGACCTGACACGGAAGAGCACCCTAAACAGTATCAAGGAATGGTATCGGCAAGGACGGGGCTTCAACAAGACAGCCATCCCAGTTCTTGTGGGGACTAAATATGACCACTTCGTCAACTTGTCGCGTGAGGAGCAGGAAGAGATTTCCAACCAGGTATGACTCTATCAACTAGGGAAACCTGAGGCATTCTCATGGCCACGTTGACTGACGTGCCGTAGGCCCGGCGGTTTGCAAAGGCGATGCGTGCAGCGTTGATCTTCAGCAGCACTAGCCACAGCATCAATGTCCAAAAGGTAATGCACCATGTCCCCAGTTCTGAACCAGGTCTGACCTGTCGTCGCAGATTTTCAAGATTGTACTATCAAAGGCATTTGACTTGAAATGCACCATCCCCGAAATCACCAACGTCGGCGAGCCCCTGCTCATCTACCAGTCGTGCTGAGATGGGAGCCAACGTCGGCCGTTTGTCCGAATGTTTACTTTTGTACCCGATCACTGTTTTTATGGGTTGTTGAGCGAACCCCCTGATACATTAACCGCAACCCCAAAACGCTCACCACTACGATGATTGAAACTTCATCATCGAGAAACCCCCACCTATTCACGAGTCGGACGAGCCTTTCAGGACGGTCAGAGATACTGACCAGCGGCAACACCACCAGCCTCCAAAACGGGCTTAAGAATGCGTCGAGACTCGCCTCTCATTTTTCCCTTCTTCTTTGTATGTTGAAGTCACGGAGATGCAGGGCATGGCTGTTGACAAAAAGATGTCGACACGCATCGAATGTACTGCACAAACTTGGAGCGAAACGGGGGAAGCTGCATTTTGAGGATACATTTGTCCTGTGGTTCTGGGAAGAGGGAAAGGGCATACCACATCGAGACGGGCGACATCGGACTCTCCTGCGTTACTGGCAGTTCCGGCGTGAACCACCACCAGGAAGAGAGGGCTGTCACTGTCTGTATTCCATTTTCCCCTGTTTGATACTGGATTATCGTTGCCCAGAAACATGTTCCCAAGGATTGGTGCCGCAAGGGGGTTGTGGTGAGACAACAGATGAGGGACAGTTGTATAGCAGAATCCGCCTACAGTAACATTCCTTGTTACTTCGGCCACTGAGACAATCGATTCTAATTCATAGGCGGAATCGCCCTTTGAGCAGAAGCCAGTGTAGGCGAGTCGGACCTTTGCTAGACTCCATTGAAGGGTGTCCCGTCCCTCACACCTTACCGCCCTCTCCCCCTCCGAGTTGGTTGATGCCTGAGCAGCATCCCCACCCATATCAGCTTGATTAGTGCGTCGGACTGCAGTCTCAAGGAACAGATTGCTCTTTACGATGCAGGCCTTTTACCTGTCGTGGCTTCCCCTTTGTAAAAGCAGTGAAATTATGCCAAATCCCCTTACTCCTAGCCCAAGAATCACCTGGAAGAGAAATCAGGCAAGCTCTAACGAAAAGTGGAAACATATCTGTTCCAGTTGCTGTAAGCCTTTACGATCCGTCTGGTGCGTCCTGCTACACCCTCACCTGTTGGCGCAGCCTGAGCGGCCAAGCCCAACAGACGGAAACATAAAGCGGGAGAAAGGCAGGGACACTATGTGGATTCATGCACATGGATGCCTAACCCAACTGATGCCGACCCGAGCATCCTTACGACAAGATCCCCTTCGCCGCCAACAGTACCAGAATCTGTCTGATCTAGCTGTAACCACACACCGACCCCAACTCCATGCTGCAGATACACCTTGACCCTTTCCCCTTGTCCAATGACCCTGCATTGTTCCCCAACCACCATTCCCAACCACCATTCCCAAATGCTTGCATGGTATCGTACAGAGTAAAGAAAAGGGTTTAAAAAGTAGAACATGTTCACTCCTGCAATTCCCCCTCCTCAAGGAGCCGACCGAGAATCAGGCTCTGAACGACCCATTCATGAGTTAGCGTCCGAACCCTCTTCACCGGACGCTCATCAGCAGTAGCAGCAGCAGCGACGGCGGCTCCCGCCTTACTCGTCCTCTTCCTCTTCTTCCCGCCAACGGGAGGCTTGGGGGAAAACAGCGCCTCCTCGTTCGGTTTCCCGTCCACATAGACCCAATCAAACGGACGGCCCGCCTGCTCGGCAGCTTTCAGCTCCGCCCTTGCTTCCTCAAAGCTGCACACCCGCGAGACCGACGCGCCCAGCACACGCACAAGAAAGATGTACGCCTTCTTCCTGTCCTCCAAGGCCTTCTTCACCACCGCAAGGATCCTGCTGCCCTCCAAGAGCTTCGCCCGCTGGCCCAGGACGTCGACCAACCTGGCGGTGGTGACGTCGTAGGGTATCAGAGTCCGGGAGCGAATGGCATCGCCGAGAAATGTCGATTGGCCGGCGCAGAGGAGATACGGGGCCCAATCGACGAGCTCGTTCCGCTCCAGACAGGTCGTGACCCAGCGAGGGGCTATACACGGCAAACCGAGGGCCAGCGCCTGCATGTACTTGACCTTGCGCGAGTGGCCGTCTGCAATTAGTGCGGTGAAGCCGGTCGAGCGGGCCTCGGCAGTCAGGCTGATCTTCCCTTCCGGGTCTGTGCCTGAGCTTGATGCAGGGCTGCTTGTTGAGGCCCCAGTGGGCAGAACCTCAAACAGCTCGTTGAAGCCATCTTCAAGAATCCTGCCGCCGGCTTGTTTGATTCGGGTCTCCACTGTAGCCGCGAAGTCCATCCGCGTGTTGTACTGGTCACTGCTCTCACCTGGCTTTTTTGCCTGAAAAGATATTGCAAAGGCCATGCTGTCAAATAGTCTCCTGCCTCTTTGAGGCGGTGGAGGCTTGATGACTGTGCGTCCAGATCGTGATGCCGACCTGGAAGCGGCAAGGCGTGAGATACGCAGACTCTGTTCAAAAGTAGGTGTTGCTGACATGGACCTGGAGAGCTCGTCGGTTGAGCTTGAAGCTCGCCTATCCAGTCTTGCAGAATGCCTCAGATTTTCCGCCGAGCCGGTTTTGAGCTTTGGCAAACTCGCTCGTGCCTGACGTTTTCCTGTTTGATGAACGGAGGGAGAAGACGTAGCGACGATCGTAGAAGCAGCCGGAGACATGTCGGGGCCTATGTTCCCATTTTCCTGAGCCTTGCTGGACGGTACGGGCGGCGTGGAAGCTAAATCGCTCAAAGTTGAGGTCGAACTTGGGGCACGTTCATGCCCTTCTATAGTCCTACCTCTTCTGGACCTCGTATTGAACGCCGGCGGGGAAGATCGAAAATCAGGGGTTGACTCGGCCTCCATCACAGGCAGTTCAGAAGGCAGCACAACCTCTGAGCGACCCCCAAGCCCTCTCCTAGCTGGACTCGTCTCGGGGATCGCATCAGCGTTGGATGTGCCTTCGGTACGACTATCCCGACGCGCCACTTGACTATCCGACCTCGGAAGCTCGGGGACTGCACTTGGCATTGGCTCTGTTGCCGGCTCTAGTTCGCCGTTCACTTCCGCCCTTCCAGGGTGTTGATCTTCGAGATGGTGTGAAACGGCAGACGGGCGTTGCGCCTGAGACTCTACGACGACATCCGCGCCTCTCGAGTCATGACCGGCCGTATCTCCGTTGTGGCATTGAGCAGTAGAGGTCCCTGGCTGCCTCGGCTGTCTCTTTCGCCTCCCCTGGTTTGTTGACGGCACTTCAATATCATCTGACTTTATGGGGAGGTTGATGGCCGTTAACTGCTTGAGCGCAGCTTTTTTCTTTAGCTTTGCTCTTCTCCTCCTGGCAATCGAGTCGTCATCGTCCTCCTCCTCTTGGGCAGGACTGATAGGATCAGACCGCACTTCGGAAGTTGCGCGTCTCTCTTGAGATTTATGCATGGGCTCGTACGTGCCCATTGGTTCCGGCAGTGATTTCTTCCTGAAGGGCTCGCCATGAGATGAATCCGGAACAACAGGGTTTTGGGTTGAAGCAGGATTGGTGGGACTTCTAAGGGCATTATCGAGCCTCGAAGAAGTCGTGCCAGGAAGTATCTCTGAGCTCGATGTAGGGCCTAGATTGGGCGAAGAGCGGAGACCACGCGTCTTCAGGGGAGACGAGATAACCGGGTTTGGTGAAATCGAGTTGGGAAAATTGGCGGGCGATGGCCTGGAGGACGTCGGGGTAGCATGTTTCGCTGGGGATGAGAGTTGAGTCCCTCGGAATAACTGTGACGTCGGCAGCAGTTGGGACCGGCTGTGCCGGAAAGGGTTTTGTGGTGGTGCAGGCGTCTCCGGGAGGGGTTGAGCAGGTGAATCAGCGGCGCTCTCACAGCGGGTGGGGCGAAGATGAGCGAGACTTCCAAAGTCGACGAAGCCGGAATCGTCTTGACCCGGCGAGACCGTCTTAGTGGTGTCTCCGGCATTGGCAAAGTCAAAGCGAACAGCCCCGATGTCATCCTCCTCCAAGAACTCGCGTCTCGGACTGCTGCTCCTTATTGATTTATCAACCCTCGCATCCGCGGAAGTAGGCAGTGAATGCCCGGGAGATGATCCATGGCAGTACTTGTCATAACTCCTGCCGGTGTTTGACTGGGTTGACTCTATCGAGTCCATTTTCCCTTCGGGCGGCTCAACATGGAGTACACTGGCGGGGTCAAGAGTCTGTGGCAGGCTGTCGGTCTTGTGCAGACCGCGTCCCCCACCATCTTCGTCAAGGGCAGGCCAGTCCTGCCGGGTCGCCACTGGCCGCTCTTCTCGCTGGAGTTCGGATCGCCGACTGCTGGAGCTGGGTTGGCGAGACGTTTGTCTCTGCCTAATGGCGTTGGCACCACGCGTTACGCGTGTCTGGGACTGGTCAGTGCAATCCAGGGTTGAGGCAGGGGTTGTTCAGTTAAAGTCACGGTTCTCTGCAGGCCGTGCGAGCAGGGCGTCTAGTTAAAGTCAATCATTGCATAGTTACCTCTTCCCCCGAGTTGCCAACTTGCGCCGAGTCTGGATGCAGGAGTGAGCAATCTCAGCGAAAACGTAAAGTTTACATGGTGCAGCTCAGGAGGTTATGCGGCTACTCACTATTCCTGCTGCTTCTCTGATTTCGGGCCGTGCTTCGATCGGGAGATGGGAGTGATGTAACTGCTGCGCCTGAAGATGGTGAAGTGCTTCTCTGCGACATGCCTCTGAGTGGTTAGCCAGGCCACTTTTCTACAACTTGGATGCTTTTGTACTGTGACCAGTGACTGTAATACTGAGCACAGTACCATAAGCAGCATTGCCACACGTACCAAGCCGACACCGTATTCCATCATGAGGCAATTGGCAGTGACCAGGGTATCTTGAGATCCATTGGCTTCAAGAACCTGATTTGCAGCTTGGCGAACCGTTTGCACCGGCATTCTGAATGCTGAGCAATCAAATGATTATTTGTCGAGTCCCGGCATCCAGCACGCAAAGGAACAAATTGAGTTTGTCGTTTTGTCGTATGGCAGAACGAAAAGTTGCCGAAATCAGAAGTCTGGAAAGTAAGCAGACCAAGCCATGATTGTACAATGCCCTACTAGACCATGACCGAGGCGTGTGAATTGGTTAATCGCTTTAACCTTGCACGGCAGGCGCGACACACGCGCGTCGTCACGTGCCAACCAGCTGTGTTGAATGCTTAATTAATTCGTGTTGCCCCTTATCGTTACCTCCGTAATTATCCACCTTCCAACCCCAGATCTGCAGGGCCAGCCTCATAAATTGCATGCAGCAGCCCAGCTTGCCCAGCTCTTAGGGTCTTTACCTCTTTATGTACATACGAAGCATGTACGGACGTATGTACTGTACCTTCGTACAAAGTATGAACATACCTGTACTCCGTATGATTGTTCAAAATCGAAGTCTAAGCGACGAAGTAACTTTCTGGGCATTTCAACAGGAATCCCTTTGGGTACATTAACCTCAAAGCAGTTACGGCGCTGTATGTATGTGACTTGTCGGGCTCTCAACGTCGAAGCCCCCTGTGGCCCCTGCGGGTTACCATGGCAAGACGGGGGACAGCTGAAATAAAGATCCCACATTCACCTCCTGGAATCTCCGTGCAACGTTCCCGTCAACTTCATCCACCAATCTCTCATCCACACACCCACCGTTTGTTCGCTCTTTTGCTGCATCACGTTACCCTTTGCGCAACCAAGGTTGAACGGCCTTGTTCCAACTGCTGCTACATCATTCATTTTGGATTCGTTAAATATCCCGTTGCAGTCAATTGACCTCTGCCGCTTCGGCGTGACCAAATGGTCGATATCTGAGGCCAGCATCGGAAGCAGGAAACATCAACAAGCTCCGCATCAGAAACAAAACATTGAGGAACCACCCAGCGGGGCCTTACAACGTAAGCGACCCACGCAAACCGGGTTGGCGAATCCCTTCAACCCTGTTCTCCCGCCGAGCTCACCCTAGTCCAGTAAAGCGGTCAGGGTGCGTTGCCAAGAAAAGTCAGGGGCTGCATGAATGGGGCGAGATGAGGTTTCCACCTACCCTCGTCTTATCCTGACCGGCTCCCCTTCTTTTTTCCCATGACCTCCGCCGTCCTGCTCCGGACTTGCTTTGTCTCGGCTTGCGCCAACGCTCTTTTCAACAAACGTGACAACCATCCGCTAAGCGTCCACAGGGCTGTTGTCGTCGCCAGAAGAACGGCCCGCCCTTCAACCCACTCTTGCAGGCGCCGCTCCTTGCGCCACCGCCTTGCAACCTTGACTACCAGCTCCTGGCTCCGGCGAAGGACTTGGCGATTGGCTTGTCGCATTGATATCTGGCGCAAACCCCTACATTCGTTCAGGCAAAATATGCCTGCCTCAAAGAGGGCCGAGGCAGCCAGCTGCGAACCGAACATGCGAGACAACATTATTCAGACGACTTCTCAGCAGCAAAGTCTAATGGGAACTATGCTCAACGGCGTACCGGCTGTTCAAGAGCGGCGCCGTCCAGAGCGTGGAGGGAGCCGCGATGAAACCAAACCGCGGCGATTGCCTGATGAGCCCCTTGGGTCGCCCGCTTCCCTCACGGACGACCTGACGGAGACGCGCTCCACAAGGTCCGCTTCTACAGCCTCGCGGACCACCAACAGGCTATCATTGACTCTTCCAATTGCACCCCCAACCGCCTACCCTTCGCGGCCTACGCCTGGCTCGGCGACAGTGCCAGCGTTTCCCCCGACACCGCTCGACACGCCTTCGGTACTGTCTCCCGTTGACCCTAACGACTTCATCACTGCCATAGCAGCGCAGGAGCGTCGAGTTCTGGAACTACGGGAAGACCTTAGTCGTGCAGAGTCAGAGCTTGCAAGGCTAAAGAAGCAATATGCTACGTATGAGGCCTACAAGAAGCGGGCCGAGCGGCGCAACGTGGAGCCCCTCCGCGGCCTCGGTCCGGCTGTGGAGTTGTATGATGAGACAGCGATCCGCCGCAGCGTTGAGCTTGACCGGAGGAAGGCGCTACTTGGCCAACAAAACCAGCAGGCAACTCCCGAGCGGAGCCGGAGGCGCGTTTTTACCGGCAGCCATACGCGGACCCTCTCGCTGCTCTCCCCGACGAAGCCGACTGGAGGATCTGAGGACGGACCCGAGAGCCGCAAAAGTGAGCCCACCGGTCGCTATGCTCCCGTCACACCAGAGCTGCTAGCTAAGCGGGCATCCTGGGCTCCACGGTCGACGCAAACGAGCGGAGTGAAGCAGATCGCCCAGGACCTGAAAGCCGGGCTCTGGACATTCATGGAGGATCTCCGACAAGCCACGGTGGGCGATGAGCCGATTACTGGACAAGGATTGTATCTGAGGGATGGAGACGGTAACATGAGGCAAACCTTGAATGGAAGTCTCGGCAGGTCGAGCAGCGCTGGCGACCAGGATACCATCCGCGCAACAGGCGCCAACTCGAGGCCAAGAGTGACATCTGCCTTCGAGGGAACGGCCGCCTCAGAACCGCCAGCTAATGTCACCAATAAAGACGACAAGGAGACGAGAGAAGAGGAGGGAAAGGACCGCGAAGCTGCCCCTTCGAGACCGAGGACCCTCCAAAGATCCAAAACCGACGCCGCAAAGCCGTCAAAGCGCTTCTCGTGGACCCCATTGACGGTTGATTCATATGATGACAACGACTGGTCCAACTGGGACAGCCCCAACGTCTCCTCGCCGAGGTGGAGCGGCACCACCGTGAATGGGGATATCATTCCCACAATCCCCGAAAAGCGGGACGGCACGGAGACTCCTCAGTAAGCTCTCTTCTTGGCGCGCGCGCAGCTGGTCACTAACCGCCGACAATAACAGGAAACAGAAGTCATCCAAAGCCCCCGACTCCTCCTCCTCGGCCCCCTCCCCTTCCGCGGCGTCGTCCATATCCATGCCCATGATGTCCGCCACCAACAAGCTCGAGGAGCTCCTCCCACCCGTCCTGAACCGCCTCACACCAAGCAACATCAAACGCACCGCCGCCGACTTCATGAAGGAGTGGGAGAGGAGTCTCTCACCGCCCGACCTCTACACGCCAGTTGCTGCTGCTGCTACGGGAGGCAAGGAAAAGGGCGTGTGAAAGCGCGCCTTGCCTGCCTCCCGTCTGCTTGTTGTTATCGGTGCAAAGTACATATCCCATGTTTGGATGTACTGTACTTTGTCCACCCTGGATTCGAAGTGATACCCCCGCTACCTACCCTGTTGGAACTGAACCGTTGGCTGGTCTTCAACTAGCTTATTTTGGGCTCGTGAAGGCGAGTGTTGAATGAGCTATATGATGTGATGAGGATATATGTGCGGTTTAGGTGCAGATAGGGCTACCGTCACCGGGTTGGTGAGGTGGCATCTGATGCGCTGTTGTTGTGATAAAGGAGGATGTTTGGGCAGCGTCGTGGACCAACAATCATGATTCATGACTAGACGACTGTATGCATGATATGAATCAAATCATTCAATCTCAACACTAGGAGCCTTTGGGAAGGTAACCATGTCGGCGACATCAAGTTTTGTAGTCCTTTTGATATAGCACAGTCCTGTTTTGATGCCATCGTTCATAAGCGATCCATCAACACCCCAAATGCACTCATGACACCACTGTTATGGACAGATGATGGATAGGCGGGTTCCTCAGAGGGACAGAACCGAATGGCCAAGCAAGACAACTTACCTAGAGGGCAATCGGATATAGGAGCTCCAGAGTCAAGGCAAGAATTCTAATGTCAAAAATTCCTCCCCATCTTGCTACATACATGCATGCATACAAAGCCAGCACCTCCCCTATTCCTACCGAGCCGACCGTTGGAATTGGCAATGGACCAGACAGACACGCCATGTCCTTCTATATACGGATACTCATGTCTCTTTTTACTCATCCACCACCGACGCAAACTTGTCCAGCATAGCCTGCTGTATCGCCTCGTACTGTTTTCCCCCAAACAATCCACCGTCAGCAAAAGAGAACTTTCAAATAACAGGGGCTGGAGGTGCATTCACATACCTTCTTGCAAATCTTGTCCTCCCCCTCGCTGGGCACCTCAAACTTGAGGCTGCGCAGCTGGGCCTGCAGCTGCTGGGTGGCCTCGCGGACGCGAGCCCAGCTCTGGCCCTGGGCGATGGCCTTTTGGGCCTCGTCGTAGAAGCCCACCATGAGCTTCATCATCCACTCCGTCTTCCAGATGGGACAGAATTGGTCATAGTCCGAGTAGCCGTTCTGCTGCAGAAAATCTTCCTTGATGAGTGTCGCCATGTCGAGCGTAATCTTGTCCGGGTCCGAGAGCGCCGACTTGCCCACCAGCTGCACCACCTGATCCAGCTCCTCGCTGTCCGACAGGAGCTGCCGGATGCGGTCGCGCAAGCGGGGGAAGTCCGGGTAGTTCTTCTCGTACCACTTGTCCAGCGTCATGGTATACTTGCTGTAGCTGAGCGACGTGTTGATGGACGGGAAGTGCTTGCGCTGCGCGAGCTTCTTGTCCAGACCCCAGAACACCTGCACGATACCCAGCGTGGCCGACGTGACCGGGTCCGAGAAGTCGCCACCGGGCGGGGAGACGGCGCCGACAATGCTGACGCTCCCTTCGCGCGGAGGGCTGCCGAGCGACTGCACCTTACCGGCACGCTCGTAGAAGGATGCCAATTTGGCCGAGAGGTAGGCGGGGAAGCCCTGGTCCGCCGGCATCTCTCCCAGACGGCCCGAAATTTCTCTCAGCGCTTCCGCCCACCGCGAAGATGAGTCCGCCATCATGGCAACGTTCATTCCCTGGTCCCTAAAATATTCAGCTACTGTAATTCCAGTGTAAATGGAGGCCTCGCGCGCAGCAACAGGCATGTTGGAAGTGTTGGCGATGAGGGTCGTCCGCTTCATGATGGGCTCCTTGCGACCCTCCACCTCGATGGTGAGCTCGGGGAAGTCCTTCAGAACCTCAGCCATCTCGTTACCACGCTCACCACAGCTGCAGCCGGGGTCAGTCCAGGGCCTTGAGTATGAGGGGAAGGGTACAGACCCGACATAGACAATGACGTCGCTGTTGGAAAACTTGGAGACAGACTGGCTGATGACGGTCTTGCCGCAGCCAAAAGCGCCAGGGATGGCAACGGTTCCGCCCTGGACCGAGGGGAAGAGAGCATCGAGCACGCGCTGGCCGACAAGGAACGGCTTGTCGGCCGAAAGCTTTTCGGATGTTGGCCGCGGCACACGGACCGGCCAAGTCTGCATCATGCCATACTCGGTCTTCTTGCCGTCAAACTCGACCTCAAGGATCTTCTCGTCGACCGTGTAGCTGCCCTTATCAGCGATCCTCGTGATGATACCGCGGGCTCTCGGAGGGAGCAGAATCTTGTGCACAGAAATGAAAGAGTTCTCGAAGACGGTACCCCAAACATCCCCGCCGGCGATGTGGTCCCCGACCTTCTTGGTCGGTGTGAAGTCCCACTTCTTGGTCCGGTCTAACGCAGGGGCAACGACACCCCGAGGGATGTAAATGCTCTTAGACATGTCGGAGATCTTCTCGAGGGGTCGCTGGATACCGTCGTAGATGTTGTTCAAGAGACCGGGGCCCAGCTCGACGGACAGGGGCTTGAAGGTCCGCAATACAGGGTCGCCGACCTTCACACCGGCTGTGGAACGAGTGTTAGCTCCCCTGGCAGAGGGCGTCGGGCCGCCGGGCAGAAAAGCCTACCGGTTTCTTCGTATACTTGAATGGTCGCTTGGTCGCCATTGATTCGGATAACCTCGCCAATGAGCTGGAAATGGCCCACTTTTACCTGTGGCCGAGTCAGCCGTTAGACCCTCGCAATCCTAGGACAGGCCGTGAGGACCCGAAACTCATACCATCTCATACATAGCAACACCGATCATGTCCTCTGCGACGACGACGGGCCTGTCGGTTGCGCCTGTTAGTGATCGCTGGCAGTGGAGTGCGCGGGGCGAAGTTTGGTTTCGACTAACCCAGAGACCGAGTAGATCTTGCCTAAGAGAGTCTGTCAGTAGGGAGGCAACCATAGCGAGGGGGAAAGGAGCATGCGCAGAGCTGTGCTTACCAGCGTTGGGTTCATCTTGGCTACTGTCCGTCCGCGACTGGATCCAAGTTAGAGAATAAGCTCGATACCATATGCCAGTAGCTGGGTAGGGGGACGACGACGACGACGACAGGATTGACGCTTTGATCGAGTTGCGAGGGGTTGCAGGTGTTGAGAGAAGCTTACAGGGGCCATGCTGGGCGAAGTGATTGCAGCGGGCGCGAGCTTCGGCGGGGCGTGCGGAGGAGTAGAAGTTATGACGACTTGGGGGGTGCTCGGTGACGGGGTCGGCGATGGCGTGGGCGATGCTGAGCGTGGTGGTGTTTCTGGCGACTGTGGAAGTGGGAGGGTTGAAGCTTGTTCCAAGATGGCGGCGCCTGGGACAAGCTCAAGGTCGGATCCCGGGGCGGTGCTTGCCGATAATAGTGGAGGCGATGATGCAGGCGGGCCCTCCTGCGCTTGGCTGGTGCTGCTGCTGCTGCTGAAGCTGCCGGCTCTAACCAACAGGTCGACAAGCGACGGCCGGGCCTTCAATCGCGGTCGTAATCCCACGTGCATTCAAGACAGCTCTGTGTAACAACGTGGCATTTGACAGGTATTGGCACGTTAGCTTTTTTCGTTGATTGATGGAGACTGAAGAGCGTCGCGCTTTACGGAGGTAATGATGGTAGCTCATAAGTTGGCTACCAGGCTCACTGGAAATTGGTCCGATCAACTGCTTCGGTCAGCATGTGTCGGGTATTGTAGTGTACCGGTACGAAGTATAGAGAGTGCAACCGAAATAGGAGCTTACCACGCCTCTCGGTTGGTTGCAAGTCAGAGTCCCAGAACATCCACGTTATCACCCTCGAGCCACCCTACATTCACCCGCAGCAGCGTCGTGCCGCAAGGCACTTGCTTACCTGTGTCGAAATTGGCCCTGGTGGGATTGTTCACGATTAAGCTGGGTAAGATTGACGCCGGTTCGGAAGGGCCAAGGGCCAGTCTCGGAAGTGTTAAACACTGGTAGTGTTTCGTACTGAGGCATTGTATGTACTGTACAGTATGAACATGTTGCTGGATCCCATCTACTCCAGCGATTAGGACTACCTTCACTTGACCAAGTATGCAGAGGATGAAGATTCTACCCCTAGGGATGAGGAAACCCATGACAGTCAGCCACTAACCCCTAGATGTGTCGATGCCACATCCAAGCGACATCTATCTGCCGCATCGAAACTCTTGGTTTACCTAGTTAAGTACGGAGTACACACTCATAGTCTTGTCAGAAACACTCATCCATGTACCTGAATCTTCACCGCTACAGACGCAGACCTGCCGTACACCCTTCTAGGTTCAGTCCGATCGAGAAGATACCATGGAAGTCATTTTCTATGACCTTTCTGTCCCCAAGTCCACTGGAAGTCCCTGACACCGCCCCTGTATCATGAGACTAGATTGTACATATAATGCAAGCACGATAATTCCTGACAGACACCACAACACTCATGCACCACTGCCAAAGCATGGCTTGGTGAGAGAAGGGAGAGAGCATAAGGAAGAGAGAAATCTGTGAATTCGCTCTGCAAATGCTCCAAATATAAATAACCTCGTCGAGAACGGACGTAAACGCCTGGTCGCCGTCTCGTAAAAATCACCAGCTACCAATGACTGGCCAACCGAACCACCGATCACCATGATCCCCTTTTCCGTCCGCCACAGAGGCATCACCATAGTATCCACTAACCGGGCACCCAGCCGGTCCTCCCCAAGGCATTAAGAGGGCACTGTATTAGTTGAGAAAGCCCTTGCACGCTGCCGTTCCGCACAAGCAGGGTATCCGGTCCGTGCTACCGAGCTCACGCTCAAACTTGTAGTCGTATGTTAACTCCTCGTCTGTGGTACGATCACGTCAGTCCATGTCTTGACCAGGTTCAGATAATGCTGCGCGTAGACTTAAACTTACTCTGCGCAATGTCCCGAAGGGCATATATAACGATGCGCTTGCTGCCTTCCACCTTGATGATCTTGGCCGTGCAGTTGGGCATGCAGCTGTGGTTGATGAACCGCGCGATGCCGCCCTTCTTGGTCGCATCAATCACCGTGTTATCGTCTATGCGGAAGAGGTAGCTGCTGCCGATGCCGCTCTTGAGATACCGGTTCTCCCGTATCTCGGCGATTTGCTGCCGGACTTCCTCGCCCACGTACTCAATGATCATGTCGTCCTTGGGTATGTTTTCCATGGCATACAGTCCCCAGTTGTGGATGGCTGACCTCGCAAACTTGACCGGTTTCTTGCGCTTCTTGAGCTGGTTGAACCGCAAGACATCCGAGTCCTGCCCAAGCGTCTTCCTCTGATCGTTGAGATCGGCCACGAACCGACGGTTGTTGGCACGATTAGCCCGGGAATTGCCCCTGGCCACAAGGCTCTCAGCAGCGAGCCTGGCAGCTTCGGCAGCGGCGGCAGCTGCATCTTTGGCGTTCTTGCCCGTCTGCGCTTGCCGCTCTTCTCTGGCCTTCTGGACCTTGATATGATGCGGAAGATACTTGGATTTTTCCGAGTTAAGGATCTTCTTCACCCCCTCGGTCCTGGCGCAGCCGCTGGGGTTCGGAACATAGTAGCCCTCAATCGACACTGGATTCCTCGCGGTCCCGTCAACCGAGTTCAGTTCACGAATGCGATTCCGCTTCCACAGCCAAAGCTCGGGATCCTCAATGTTGCCGGGGCCGAATTTCTTGCGAAGCCTGCCAATGTCCGGCTGATCAGTATCCCCGAGCGCCAACTCCTGCAGGGCTAGCACATCAAGGCTGAAATCGGGTGGAAGCTTAAGCGCCGAGATCTTCTCTGGCGGATACAGATTCTCGTCGAGATCTGGCTTTTCATCTTCCGGGCCAGTCTCTGGTGCCCCCGCTTCTTTCTTCGATTCGACATCACCGTCTGGCGTCGGCTTGATCTCGTTCTCTTCGGGCTGTAGCGCCTCCTTTTCAAATATCTCCAGCTGCTGACGTTTGAAGGCTTCTCTTTCCTCAAACAGCTGCTTTTTAGATTTCTTCTTCGCCTTTGAAGGCTTCTTCTTGGCTTTGTCTCCAGGCGGTAGAGGCGTGGGCATCCGGGAGCTGTCTGTGTCCTTTTCCTCAGGGCGTTCAAAGTCAGGTAAAACGACATCATCAGGAGAAGGCTCTCTCGAAGGAAACTCCGTCTCAATCCGATCAATGGCCACCCCGAAAAGCTCTTCGTCTGTCTTCTTCTGCCGCTTGATGGCCGTTTCCACCTGGAGATCCAGCTTCCTCTTCTTGGGCAATAGCGAGCCATCGTTGAGGGCGAAACTCGCCTCTGTCATGGAATCATCATCGCCAGGGCCCCATGATGTGTAGTCTTCCTTGGTCGCGTCATCGTCCGTGCTCATACGGCTCCGAGGTCGAGACTCGGGCTCCTCTGTATCCCTGCCAAGTGACGCGCGATTCTCGAATTCATCCTCAGACTCAACGTCGCTATCGGTTCTGAGACGGTAGTGGAGAGATCGGAAAGCGCTGCGCCTAGCCGGCTGACGGTTGCGCGCAAAAGGATCGTTGAACCCATGCTTGCGAATGTTCAGTCCGGCGTTCTTGACTTTGCGAATACGAGGCAATGCAGTGACATCAAGCCGAGCTGTTCGTCTCTCAATCGGGTCCGCCCTAGAGTTAGGCGTGCCAACCGGAGACTTGTCTTCCCATTCGTCCAAGACGATCGGCGGAAGTCCCGCACTACGGGGGTCCTCGATACCGAGTCTCTGGCGCCTGGCAACGTGGTTGGCAGGATTCAGGTATTCAAACAAAGCCGGGGCTGCGATCTTCGTCCGGATGTGTTTGATCAACTGTTCTTTCATCTCCCGGAGTACCACATCCGTGGCCTCCAAGACCGGGTCGAAGTTTTTCGCTCTCTGCCTCTTCTCTTCTTCCAAGTCTGCCTCTTCTTCCCGCCTGCGCCGGTCTTGTTCTTCACGCCGCAATCTATCTTCATCATGTCGGCTGCGATGGTGAAGCCTGGTGTCGTCTACCCGTCTCTGGTCCGGCGTCCGACTACGCTGCCGGGCTCCAGACGGGTGGGCAGCCTTTCCTATAGTGCCATACAGGTGCAGCTTCATGACCATTGTGTAGGTAAAGAAGGCTGTGCGGTCTACGGCTCGGTAACATCGCTCGGCCTCGGCACGCCCATAGCCCGAATCGCGGAATATAATATAGTAGCCGGTTCTGTCGGCGCGGACATCCTCAAACAAGTACATCTTCAGGCGCCTCTTCATATGAGCAACCGTGGTAGGCATGACGGGGACGTGCTCGTGCGCAACAAAGATGTACGGCTCGCTCTTTATACGCGATACGACGGGTTCAGCTTCAATCAAGGCCTCGGGTTTGGGCTTCGGCATCCACACGCCCGGAACGGGTGCTATGCCGCGATGCGCCGCTGGCGCTTTCGGTGCAGTCGGCGGGGGTCCCGGGGGTATCTCCTTGGATTTTGGGCCTGTCGGTATCTTTGGCTCGCCCCGTGTCTGTTCCCATTCCTTACCCTTCTTCAGCACCTCTTCTAGCATGCGCGAACTCTTTCTGCCCTCGGGATCGTACTCGACGCGAACAGAGTTCGCCTCGATCCGTTTCCCGTTCATTGCGCGGATGGCGCGCCTTGCAGCGTCTGCTGCTGTGACAGGCACGGGGCGTGAGCGGCTTGGTTTTGAGTCCCTGTAGCGGAATGTAGCAAAGCCTAGATAGCTCCCGGTCTCAGGGTGCATCTTGTTGCTGCTCTCGGCGATGTCTCCGAAAGAGGCAAACACGGCGGTCACCTTGGAGAAGGTAATCAAAGGATTGAAGCCGATGACCACGATCTGAGTCGGGGGTCCAGGGCCACAGGAGGTTTTAGGGTCATACTTGTACGGCCTGAGGTTGTAGGGAGCTTGTCGTAACCGGGCTCGGGGAAGATGGAAATCGACATTAATGTAGTTCAACCTCCCGCCTTTGGATAGGCGAGGGTCTGAGGGGGGAGCGTCATCTTGTTCATCCTACACGCAGTATTAGCCAATTGAACTCATCCTCAAGATGACGCTCCCCCCTCAGTGTAAGTGTATCAGGTCTACATACCACGCCATACTCCTTGTATATCGGTTTTGTCTTCCTCTTCTCGGAGCTCGACAACGAAGTATCCAGGGCGGGGTCATATGTGCACTTGATGCATATGATCGAGCGGGTGGGATCTCGGACAGGCACGCGATCGGCGACGCCGGACAGAGCAGCCGTGGTGTCACGGAGAGATCCGTTGGGTATCGAGATTGATCCGTCTATTGCGTCGGCATGATGGGGGGTGGTCGAGTGCGCCTTTTTAGGGGCGGCCGTAGATAAACATGAAGACGGGGATCCGATGGTGGTGGGAGGGGTAAGTTGGCTGGTTGAGAGTCTTACGGCAGCCGAGGCGCTCGGTCGCGTCGGAGCACTGAATATGGAGGAATTTGAGCTGCCACGAGAGCTGGCAGATCCGCCGCCCACATTGGGTGTGTCGCCGGTTAGTGACTCGGTATCATCCGCCGACGGATGCGCCACGTCAGGACCGGTTCCATTGGGCTGTGGTCTCGATGCGAAGCCGTTAACGAGCGTACCGTCCGGATTTGAGAAGGCTGAAGCTTCCACCGGGGGGAGGCGGCCATTGGCGCTGACTGCTTGCAAAGACGGAGACTCGAGTGCTTTCAATCGTGCCCTCTCGCGCTCCATTGCCCTGTCCCTTGCGGCTCGCGGCGCTGCAGGGAAGAACTGGGCGAAGCCCGCACCAGCAGGGCGAGTCATGGCGAGAAGGGGCTGCTATTACCGCTTCCTCCGCCCTCCGACCATCATATCTGTCGCTGGTGATGTTATGAGACACCATGCATGAGTATTGATGGGTTGGATCTGCAATACTTTGGTCGAACTACGCGCGATGTTCCGGCCACGCGACCGAGGTTGGCCGGGCAAGGGAGAAGGCGTTGCCTGACTGCGCCGTAGAGAACGGAAATCGCTCGAAGGAGAGAGAAATCAACGAGCAAAAATCTCTATTAGTATGTGCGACAACTTTCGGTCGGTTTCGATCAGCGAAAATGGTGGTTTTCGTGAGTTGCTGTGAGTTTGAGCGTGAGATGGGCCAAGAATGAAGTTGAAAGTTTAGGAGTTTCTCCAGGGCGTGTGAAGTCGCGAAGCCATTGTGTCGCTAAACCGAAGTTGGTTGGCGTTCTTAGCGTCTTTGCCAGTTGGCCCGAGCACGAACTCTGACAAAGAGTGTGGCGGTGTTGTGGCTTGCTCCAATGGTGGGGTGATGATGCTTGCGTCCATTTCTGACAAGGAGCCCGGGCAGAAGATAACATGTGTTACCTGTATTGACATCGCGCTATCATCCCAGAGCTTGTACAGATTATGTTATGTTAACTATGTCACCACAGGAGTATGGAACGACACAGATAGTGGGTGAAAATTGAATTCAGAGTTTCTCATCATTGACATTCAAAACACCTTACTGCATCATTATGAATGCCTTTCACTTCCGATGGAATATCCATCAGTAATCCCCGTATTGTACAACATATGAAAAGCAAACCCGCCGCTACAATCAAGAGTCACTCGTATCCCGGTATCCCTCTGTAACACCACTCCAAGCCCCTTTCCAGCCGTGAGCTGGTTGGGCTACTGCTGCGGGATGTAAAACAATGTCAATAGTACTCCACCTAACCTAGCAGACATAGCAAATAAACGTCGAGGTTTCTCTCCTCAAGCACCTTAACCAAACGCCGGCCGGATATTATTAACAGCTTGTGTGCGCAGCTAAAAGTTGGTAGAGAGCTGAAAGTCATCGTCAAAGTCGTCCAATGGCGGCATACCGCCGCCTAGATCACCGTCGTCCTCATCAGCATCGAAGATGTGGAGGAAATCGGGCTTCTTCGACTCCTGGGATGATTGCGCGAAGCGAGCTGGTGTGATAGTGACATCCGAACCTGTGGAAGCTGTGCTGACTGATCGCATCAACGTACGAGTCTTGGGAGCCACCTCAGACTGTCGGCTGCTTGAATCGTTCTCTCGGTGCACAGCTGATAAGGCGGACCGACCCTTGCTGTAACCCAAAGTGCTTCTCGAGGCAGTTACGGCAGCTCCTCGACTCCGTGCTGAGACGCTGGCCTGGGAAAGAGGCTGCGTTGGCTTCCGCTTGGGCAACATAAAGCCCCTAGATGGCACTTTGGTTGTTGCGGATGCGACCGATTTGTTGGTCTCGCCCTCTGCTGTGCTCGAGGCCTTCACAGTCATGGCCAGAGCCGATGCTGCCTTTCGAGATGCGATGGTGCTTGGCTGTTTGAGACCCGGGCGTGTGGTTTTCTTGACAGCCGTAGCTTTAGCAACCGTACTTGCCGTAGCTACATCGGCCTTCTTCTTGAAGAGATTCTTGCTCTCCGGAATATCACCGATACTCCAGTCAAACTCTTCCATGTCTCTCCGGATCTGCTCTTCACCACGCTCGAAGCTGCGCTGCTGCCGCTCCTCCATCTCGCGCTCAATTCGCGACTTGCCATCGTCGTCCACGGGGTTAAAGTAGTATTGGTAATATCCCTTGAACAAGTTCTCCGGTTTCAGGCCCTCTAACGTGAACAGATGCTCAGGGAGGATATCAGACTCGTAAGGAATATCCTTCGGCTTCGGTGGAGCGTATTCGACCTCTTCCTCCTTGTCGAGAGGACTTTTGTCCGTGTGCACCTCCAGTTTTGATGATTCGGTACGAGGTCCTGCATGTTTGGGCCTAAGACCTGTGGTTGGTCTGATGCTAGTCTTCTCAAAGTCCTGCACAAGCTGCTTCACTCCAGGGGTCTGCTGCGTCCTGGCTTTCGCGTTGGTAGTCTTGTTTCCAAGAGGTGCTCGAGCAGTCCGGGGCTCTACAAATCGTCAGCTGCTTATCCGAGGAAGCCATGCAGTAGCCGGCCATGGTACGGCACGCACCTCCAGGCGTCACCAAGGCAGCCCTGCCAGATTCTCCAATACCGTTTCCCCCTTTCCCCGTCGTAGCAATGTTCTCATTATTTCCCTTGGTTCGCAGAACGCTCTTTCCAGCAAAGCCGTGATTGGTGTTTTCATCGTTTAGGGGCACCTTCAGAGGCGTCTTTGGAAAGCGTGCAGCGGGTGTCTTGGCCTGCAGCTGCTGTTTAGCGGTGCTCGCCTGGTGAGCAAAGAGGTTTTCCTGGTCGTGGTGAGCTGCAAACATTGCGGAGAAAAGCCGGAATAGCCTCCAGGCGGGCGATGTTCGAGGATTTCCAGGCTGCTCGTAATCAGTGTCGTGGATTGGTGTTCTGTGTGCAACGAACTATCGGGATTCATGGCTCAGTTGGAAGTAGGTACGTTTCAGTGGGCTCTTCCTGTTTCCAGAACGGAAACGAGACATGTTGGCACAGCAACGGCGCAGCTGCACCCTGCCTTTCCCCCCCACCATTAAGCCGGGGGGCCGATCAGACAAGTGACGGCACCCGCCGCAGCAAATGGAAACGCGGGAAGCCTTAAGAGGGGCAGTTGCTGGTCTTCATTTCCACATCCACCATCTCCTCCACCGACATCTCTCTCCCAACTTCGTCCAACGTTCGCGATATCCCTGTTGCGTTTTCTCCGCCTTCTCCGAACCCATTCTGAATCTCCTCGAATTTAATATTCGCCGACATGGATCGCATCAAGGAGGTAAGTCTGCGAAATCCATAGAAGCTCAACCCCTGTTTGTTAGCCCCACCATCGAGCTGGCAAAAGTCCCCTGAACTACGATGACGGTGACCGCCAGTCTCGGTCTACGCTCAGTGCATGCTTGGAATCGAACTTCAGCAGTGCTGGTACTTTTCAGTTTTCCATGACAGAATCTGTCTACTAACGGGACAATGCGCACTCTAGAAAATGAACCAGCTCCGGCTGGAGGCTGAGGAGTCAGCGTCCAAGGTCGAAGAACTCCAATCCAAGGTCAAGGTCCTGGAGCAGGAGAACCTTCAGAAAGAGCAAGAGATCATCTCCCTGACGCACAAGAATAGCGTGCTGGAGGCAGAGGTAGAGAAACTCGAGGACAAAGTCAAAGAGCTCAAGGCTGCCGCCAGCGAAGGCGCGCAGCACGGCACTCAGAACGAAGCGCTGACTCGAAGACTGCAACTTCTCGAGGAAGAGGCCGAGGAAGCTGATAAGACTTTGCGCGAGGCCAACGAGAAGTAAGAGCGCACAGCAAATCGTTTCCCTGGCAAGCACGGGTGTGTTTACTGATCTTCGCGTCTATAGGCTGCGGCAGACCGATGTTAAGGCCGGACACTTTGAGCGGAAAGTCCAGGCTCTCGAACAGGAACGCGACCAGTGGGAGGCCAAGTACGAGGAGATGGCCAAGAAGTACGCCGCCGTGCAGAAGGAACTCGAGGACTTCCAAGCCGAGATTGGCACCCTCTAAATGTCGGGGTTTGGTTCGGGTCAGATGGCGGATTTCGATGTCTATGCAGCCCCCTATGGCTGCAAATGCCAGGTTCGGATTTGTACGCGCGGAACATGGTCGCACGGACGGAGGAGGATTAGAGACGGACCGGTCATTGTCATTGCCCAAGTACCTAAGTAATGCGACCTCACAATCACCCTATTCTCGGACGCCCAAACACCAAACCCGTGCAAGTAGCTCTTTTTCTTCGACAATATGCTCAGGCTAACGCTTCTTCCGCTTTGCCCTCTGCTTCTTCGCTGTAAAGTCCCTCTCAAACTTCGTTTCGTACCGGAACTTTTTCTTCTTCCGGGTCGAGTCCTTCACCCGTTTAGGGGGGCCGTTTCCATTCTCCTCCTTCTCTGTGCTTTCTTCTTGCTCTGGAGGGGAGCCATCCTCGGAGGAAGATTCATCCAGCTTCGGTTTATGGAGGCCATCTCGGTCCACACTCACTGCTTCGACAGTGACCGTCGTGTACTTGTCCTCGTCGATGTATTCCTCTTCCAGGTCAATAGGCGCCTCGGGTACATCTGTATCTGACAGCCCATCCCACTCCTCTGAGCTGTCCGCGTTCTGGCCGGTAGTGCCAGCGCTTTCGGCCTCGCGGAGGATTTTGTTGACTGCCTGCACATGCTCCTCAACGGCTTGCCTTCGCTGCTCCCTGATCTGTAACCAGCCGGTCAGTGCGATTACGCCGATATCCAAAGGGTGAAACACACCTGTTTCCGCATTTCGATCCTCTCTTCGCGCGCTTTTTGCTGGGCTACCTCCTGGGCATGCTTGATCCGCGCCTGCTTGCGCTTGTGAAATCCGGTAAGGTATTCAGCCCGAGCATCTTTGTCAAACGTAATCTCCTCAATTGCATGAGATGCCTTTCTCTTCTTCGGCGGCGGAAGGGGCGTCTTCTTTATCCTGGGCTGAGCAAACATGTTTGATGCAGACTCTTGCCCCTCTGAACTTGTCTCTGAAAGGGCCTGGAAATTTAGCGATAAGCCCCCTGTAAGCAGCCACCAAGGTACGTTATCGTAGATTCTGCCCCTCCTCACCGCTCTCAATACCCGCGACCGTTGGCTCCAACCTGCTGCATCATCAACCGGGGAGCTTGAAGCCTTCCGTGGACGGCAACTCCCCCCCAACGCCGACCCAGAATAGGAGCTCGGCACCATCACCACAACAATAGGCATAACCACAACAAGAATGCAGCTCCCAAAAGCAGCCACATTGCTGGCCTGCACAGCAGCAGTCCAGGTGCAGGCCTTTTCCAACTCGTCGCCATTTGTACTCTTCTCCACAGCCAGGTCCGTCTTGCTCTCCCCAGGTCCCTTAACTTTTCCACGCGGGAACACCATAACTAACTAGCGCTGTCCCTCCGCAGCCTCCCGCAAATTCCGGAGTCGGCGCAAGGCCAGCTCCAAACTAGCGCCCAGGTTCTCGCCTCGGCAAAGCAGCTCCTCGCGTCGTGTCCGACCGAGCGGTACATACTGGTATCGCAACCGAACCTGCACGCGGCTGACATTCGCGACGATGATGGGCCGGACCGAGGCGACTGCCGCATGCCGTTCCTGTGCCGCGCCGTGGCCGGCGAAGGAATCTCGCACTTCAGCGTCGCCGAGGTGGTTGGCCAGGTCTCCGGGCGGCCGCTGGACGAGTTCATCAAGACGGTGTGCGCGGAAAAGGGAAAGCAGGTCCATGTCGATCGGGTTGAGTTGAAGCATCTCCCTCCCGCCTCGCTCATTGAGGGGAGGGATAGGAGGGAGGTCTTGGAGGATAACGGTACGTTTGGTCTCTTATCCTCCGTCCCGAATTGGCGTCGGGTTGGACAAGGTGCTCATTTTCGGGTGGGAACGAACAGATTTCGAGCTCGACCGGTTGCTTGAAACCCTGGATGGCGACTACACTGTCTTTATGTTCTCAGATCCGAATGAGTTCAAGGCGTACGAGCCCGAATTTATCGAGGCGGTGCATGTAGACCTCAAGCGCTGGGCCGAAGAGGACGAGATGGTCGCCAAGAGGAAGTCGAACTCGACGAGTAACTTGCCTCTGTTCGAGAAATATCAGTTCTTTACGCCCGGTGAGTTTTCGTTCTCCTGTGAATCAACCCCAGGCGCCGTTGTTCACTAATACAGAAATCAGGTGTCTTCATGTCTCTTTTTGTCCTGGTTATCCTACTTTCTATTTTGGCTGTTGGTCTGAAGGCACTTTCAAGCCTGGAGGTCTCTTATGGGGCGTTCGACAAGGAAATGGGGCCTGCTGCCCAGAAGAAGCAGATGTAAAACAGGTAACAACTGTATGTGATGGCTGGCGAATACGGCCTGGCTTGTAAGGATCTGTAGCATACCTACTTGGGTTGGAGTTGGGAGGTTTGGTTTAGAGCAGGGTATCAATATCTAGAATTTCAGTGATGCCGTTCCCCAAGAGCCAGTTACTCAGCGTGATCGCTCTGAGGCCGCATGCTGAAGTGGAACTTCGCTTCGATATGCCGTCGTATACAGAGTAAAATTCAGGTAGGCAACGAACCCCTGGTGTTAAGACTCGAACTCGAAAGATGTAGAGAACACCTTGTCTATTACCCGAGTGATGATTTTCTGACCTAACGCCGTGAACAACCCAGTCAATGCTTTCCCATGGCCGACCGATCATGATCGCCTCTCGTTTCTTGCATGATAGCCCTCATACTAGGTGACTGGGCAAGAGAAAGTTTGCAATCCCTTCTCGTACTGCGTACTCGTGCCCACAGTGCCCACAAACCAGCTTGCCCTCCATGAGTTGCGTCTCCATCAGGAGCGTATGTAGGTCCTTGAGCATCTTCTCATCGGCTTGTAGCTCCTCGGCAGTTGGTGGCTGCTCGGGCAGCTGAGGGAAGCCCAGCTGATGTAATGTCAGTGAATCGTGAGTGAAGAGAGGACATATATGTGACAGGAAAGGTTCGGGCAGGATAAGGGGCAGTCGAAGACGAGACAACCTGAATGGGAAGAAACTTGTAGATATCTGCCACCTCGTATCCACCCCCCTGATCACAACGCCCTTGAGAACTGTGATAGCCTAACGAGGAAGGTACTTGCCTCCGTCGATGTTGTTCGCAGCGCATTCCAGTCAATGCGGGGCAATAGATTGACTAACAACTGCGGGTTGAGCTCGACATCATCGCTAGCGAGCTCTGCGTCTTTGGGGTGCAGCGGAAATGAGTCGGACGAGGCCTTGCACGTCTTGACCGCGCAGGTCAGAAAATTTAATGTAAGAACCTTCATCTTCGGTTGTATGTATATTGGTGAACATCGAGTTGTTGATCCGCTCGATTTGAGTATTTCATGAAATTTTAAGAGATGCTCGAAACGGGGCCACGTGATGCATGTATCGAAGTCCATACAGTACTTTCACGACACAAGCAGATTCCAGAGTTCTTGTTGTACAGATCAAGTCCTCTCATTACAGGATACAGTTTATGCCAGTGTTTTTTCGTACCCAACGTCGTCCCGAGCCTGACGGCCCCTCGAAACGCGAACCCACCCAGCAAACACCATGACAATGAGACCGAAGACAGCCAGTTTGCCCAGAATTTGGTAGCTTTCGCCAGTTTCAACGAGGGGAATGGTCTTGAGGGGAGTGGTCTTAGGTGTGCCGACCACGGATTCTTCGGGCTCGTCTAGGTCTGAATGGGAGCAGAACAGCCAGGCAGTCATCAGCACATCTTCTTTGAGCTAGTCGAAGTTTGGCGAGAGGAATTGCACTTTTAGATTGTCCATAGCCGATCCCTAGGAAGACAAAAGGGGTGGACGGGCACACATTGTAGAAGGAGCCACTAAAGTTCCACGTGAATACCTTCAGGGGGTACCTCCAACTCGCCACTCTTGACGATCTTGACCGTCTTGACCGGTTTGTCGCCAGGCTGCGTCGGCACGTTCTCAATCTTCTCCACGATGTCGTAGCCCTCGAGGACCTCCCCGAAAACAACGTGACGGCCATCAAGCCAGCTATAGCAGCACCCATCAGCAAGATCCATTCCGCAGGCGGCTCCCGTGCCATTTGCGGACGACTTACGAGGTGACGACGGTCGTAATGAAGAACTGAGAGCCGTTGGTGTCCTTCCCGGCGTTGGCCATGGACAGAATGCCCGGCTTGGTATGCTTGAGCTTGAAGTTCTCGTCGGCGAACTTCTCACCATAGACTGGAACCAATGATGTCAGCTCCCAGTCGCCGGTTCAGACTAGGGGAAGAAATTCTGGGGAATACGCACTCGACTTCCCACCAGTACCATCGCCCTTGGTGAAGTCGCCGCCCTGGATCATGAACTGCTTGATGACACGGTGGAAAGTGGAACCCTCGTAGCCAAAGCCCTTCTCGCCAGTGGCCAGAGCCCGGAAGTTCTCGACCGTCTTGGGCACCGTCTTGCCATAGAGACCCATGACGATACGCCCAAGCGGCTCATCGCCGTGCTGGATGTCGAAGTAGACCTTATGAGTGATCTTGGGGCCCTTGGCAGCAGCGGCAGGCTGTGCGAATGCGATCAGGCCAACGCCCGCCAGGAGCGAGGCTGTCAACACAATCCTACGGAGGTTGAACATGGTTGCAGTTTGATATCCAGCAGCGTGATGGGAAGAAAAGGTAAAGGCCACGTCCAAATCAATTGAACAGATGGGCGGGGAATATCACAGGATAAAGGGTGCTGTTGAAGCTACGTTTCAAATGCGCAATTGATGAGCTTCAACCCCCAGCTTACAGGGGTCCTTGCTCCGGCCTGGCAGGTATTAATTACGTACTGTACCTTCCTCGACAAGGGTATGGTATTAGTGAAATGCTCGTAAGTTACACAGCGCGTAAGTTACGATAAACTCGACGTCAATACATTTGATACACGTTCAACGGCCGTGTAAATACAGTAGTACCATACAATGTCGTTACACCATTCGAACATTGTACGATACAAGCTCAGGTCTCCGGCTTCGTGGCAGCTGATCGCGAAACCGGGCTCGGTAGAAACGTCACCATCCATCCAGGTCAAGACTGCATTCACAGACACTTTAGACTCCCTAGAGACGGTATTTGACGCTATGCTCAGATACTGGCTGTCTAATGACAGAACTGAGCTCATAACGTGACCCATCACGGCGCGGGATGATGTCGTCGACGAACGAGGAGGATCCGTTCCTCCAGGTTCAACAGTAAGCCGCAAACGCAATCCCCTGCTCCGGCTAGTTTAGTCGGTACCCGGCCCAGAACTGATGTGAAATACCTCCAGGGATGTTCTCGCGCAACTCCAATCCACCCGATCCCTCTTCACCTCGTACCTGCGCATCCGCTCCCTCACCAGCACCGCCACAGGCGGCCCATCGCCCGAGCTCGCCTCGGCCCGCGCGGACCTCGAATCGTCTCTGACCTCGCTCGCGGAGGACCTCGCCGACCTCGTCGAGTCAGTCAAGGCCGTCGAGTCGGCGCCCGCCCAGTATGGCCTCGACGCGGGCGAGGTTGCGCGGCGCAAGCGCCTCGTGCAAGAAGTCGGCGGCGAGATTGAGGACATGCGCGAGGAGCTCGCCAAGGCTACCTCCTCCACCACCAGTACAAAGAAAAGCAACAACAACAGCGACCTGCCCGACCCGTCGGCGTTTGAGACCGCGGGGGAAGGGGGGGAGGATTATGTTGCCGAGTTTGAGCGGCAGCAGCAGTTGGTCATGATGCGGGAGCAGGACGAGCATCTCGACGGGGTGTTCCAGACGGTCGGGAACCTGCGGCGCCAGGGGGAGGACATGGGCCGCGAGCTGGAGGAGCAGCTCGACATGCTTGACACTGTGGACCGGATGGCGGATCGGGTGGGCGGTCGGCTGCAGACGGGCATGGAGAAGCTCCGCTATGTGATGCGGCGGAATGAGGATCGGCTGAATAGCTGCTGCATCGGGGTCTTGATTGTTGTCTTGATTATTTTATTGATCTTGCTCTTGGTGTTGTGAGGTTTGGGATTCCGGTGTTGGGCTGGTTATCAAGGCGCGTTCTGTGAGTGCAGACAATTCGTGAAATCCTATAGATAGACGGAGGACTTTGGTCATCGGGCGTTTTGGGGTCCTTTTATTATTTTCTTCGGGATCTTTTGCTTGAGTACCTAGGCCGAAATCCACGAGGCAGCTCTGCCCCTGACCTCTTGCGAAAGGCAAATGTGGCCCCCTTTCCCTGAGATTCTGCCCTCTATGCTAAACCCACAAGACCGACCGCCGTAGCACATGCATACCACCATATCCCGTAACACTATGATATACAAGTTTATCGGAGAACCAAGCCAGTATCCCTCTTAAGCACCTGCGCTAGGACCTCCACTGAATTGACCGCTGCCGATTTCTGCGGTGCTTTTGCTGGAAACTCGACTAGTGCCGTCCTGAGGGCCGCGATCGCCGCAGAGCCGTAAAATTCAATGAACTTCTGTTCGTAGTTCTGAATCATTGACTTTAACACGACGCACTGCGTGTTCGAAATCTCGTCTGGCGGCGTATTGACAATCCTTGCCATGGCCGTCCAGTAATTCCGCGCAGGGTAAGGGTTGTCTTTCTTTGATTGTCCGAACTTCCGGAGCGATATTGAGGCGAAGCCTGCTCCAAGGCCAGTCATGCGGTCCATGTGCTGTTGCTCCGTAACCCACTGGCCGTTATCCTTCCACCAGCCTAACCTTTCTCTTCCCTGCTGCGTCTTCTCACTGCCCCGGTAGCCAAAAAGAACTGGGCAGACGATCCTGAACTTGGCGAGCAGAATGTCGATCATCGACTTGCCGCGCCAAAGGAAGTCAAACTCTGAAAAGGTTGCGGCGACGCAGACACCCACCGGATCGGCGGTCTCTGGTCTAGCTCCCGCCTCGTTGATGAACTGAGAGATAGCCGCTTTTGCGAAAATGTTCAGAAGATAAATGAATATTGAAGGCAACAAGGGGTCGTTGTGCACTGCGCCCTCCACAGGCTCTCGAGGCTCAAGGACATAATCCTTGGGGTCCACCAGATTGGATTGTACCTGGTTTGAGAGGGCCTCACGCAGCAGGCCAAGAATTTTTTGTTGCTGTATGCCTTGTTAGAAAATAAACTGCAGTGAGCTCAATGACAACATATCCATACCTGTGTCTTATTCGTCCCCGGAGCTCCGGAGGAGACGGTAAGTTGCCCGACAGATTTCCTGATCTCTCGTCTCATGTCGCCCATTCGTGCTTTCACTGCTGCGTTTGCTTTGCTCTGGTCCATCATGGACTTCCGCAAGTGCTTGAGATTCTTGTGTATCTCAGTGTATCGATCAGGAACTGAATCGGCAGGTGGAGGGGCGAGCGGACGCGACGCCCCAGAGTCTGTCTTGATGCCATTCGTCTGGGGTGCACCATTGAGCAGGTTGCCAATCCCCAAGGCCGAACTTGACGGTTTCACCGGTTCCGGTGCTTTGTTAGGAGCAGCAGAGGAAGCCGGGAATAAAGATTGTGTGCCTGATGTGGCACCCAGTTGCGGCTTGGTGCCGAATAGACTTGATGAAGCCTGGGCTACGGGCTCCGTCGGTTGCTGAATCTTGACACCGTTGGTCTGTCCTGGCGCAGGTGGAACGGCATCGCCTTTGGCAGCCGGAAAGGCAGTTACGGCTGCAGCTGTCTTTCCATTGACTGTCGGTGCGGTAGGGGGCTTAGGGTCAGGTAAGGCAGGCGGAATAACGATCTGTTTCGATTTGATCTCATTCAACCTCACACGCTCTGCGGCAAGTTCTTCCTCGCGTCTGACTCTTTCTTCCTCCTCCCGTATCTTGTCGAGAAGCCGTTGCCTCTCTTCCTTTTGCAGTTGCTGACGATATACTCTCTCCGCATCCTCCCTGACACGGTCGTGCTCCTTCTTCGCGGCCTCAAGGAGTTGTTTATGCCGCGCTTCTGAATTCCTGTCGTCGGCTAGAATCTCTTCGATGACTGAGGACCGGTGCGGACTTGACCAGCGGGAGCTCGGCGGCTGGGAAGAGGAAGGCGATGCCATTGTGGTTTGTTTGCAATTTGAGCGGATACACCTATCGAGCCATGATCTCGTGGAGGCTACCTTGGGACGTCGCGTCTTCTCGGTGACCGAATACACTGGATCGCGTTGTTAAAAATTCGTCGTTTGACAGCGGTCGAAGCAGTTCGAGTTGTTCCAGGTTAAAACCAGGCGGCTTCACATTATCTATCCCTAGGTCGGGACTTGCTGTTGGTTTGTATTAAATAGAGAACAGATGCAAGTCAACTCAATACTCTTGTAATCATAGCCTGCAATGCCGGACTGAGCTAACGTTACCCTAACCCTGCTAACGTTTCACGAGGTCAAACCGAACTCTTTCCGGAAGTTGAGTTCCTTTCTTCGCCGCAGACAAGAGTCCAGCAGACAGTTGATTGTATGTACATATGTTTCCTCTTTCCAAGACTACCTACGTCTGGTGGTATGAATGCTTGGAAACTGGTCGCCAACCCCGCGATCCATACTAGGCACTTTCTCGGGATTGAACATCGCTTCAGAAGTCAGGAGAGCTACTTGCCTCGTATATAAGAGGGGTCCACAAAGTTAAGTTACCAAGCCTCCTCACCATTACCAGTACTAATATAGAGTTAATACCTACCTTACGTCCTTTTATCTCGTTGCTCTATGTGGTCCAAACCATGGCTCGAAAATCATAGGGCATGTCTATCATTACTGAGTCACATAGATCTATTCCTTGGTGCTTGATGTTTCGCACTACGTTGTGCCATGCGCACTTGCTGCGGCGCAACTTTTCTCGACAGCTGAGGAGCAAGGCTGTAGCCTCCCGTCTTGTTGGAACATCAGCATTGTGCCGCGCCAGCCTACCGGTATACGTTGGAGCCGGTAATCATGACTGGGGCCCTGTTGAGGTACTTAACCTGACCCGACATTAGAGTGCCCCGTTTGCTTTTCCAGCATATAAACATTCCCGTATCTCGGCTTGCGCAAAGCCAAACTTGGTACTGTGAGAGCCATTCGTTTGTCCTCGGGACATGATAGTTAAAATCAAGCTGCAATGTAGCTGCATCAAAACTCAGGGTCCAACTGGGATACATTACGGAGTACCGTATCCGTATTGTAGTGGATGGTGATGGTGCAGCCTCGGTGGCCAAGCCTCCCCCTATCGGCCCCTCACAACTACGCTAACGTTAGGCAAAGCAGCGGCTCCACTTTCCTAACCCTTTCACTGTTTTAACCCTTTCGGTAGCTAGGAGCATGGGGACCCAGCGCACGGTGTCCTGAACCAAGATCAGGCCTGGAGCATCCTTCCTGCTGAGCTGCATATCTACCTTCACTCCATCGTCATCAACAACGTTTTGGGTTCCTCTTCGCTCGCACCCTCCTTCAACACATTCCCCCCTTCCAGGCTCCAGGCTTCTGGCCTATCAGCCATTTCCCATCAAGCCCGTTCATCTCTCCTTCACAGTCTCTTTTGGCATTTCCAATCTTTTCGTTTGACTACCTTCCTTGGGCTCGAAATCTTGCAGAAGCACGCCTCCGCAAAATCCATACCCAAAGCACAATAATTGCCAACTCCATCCGGCTGCTGAACACAAACCGACGACTTTCTGTCCACTGCCGCGTGCGAACGCATCTGAATCATCGTGCCTAGCACTCCACGTGCATTTAGAGACCCGTCTCTATCAGCAATTGCCGCCGCTCCAAAACCGCAGCAATGGAGCAGCAGCAGCAGCAGCAGGCACAGCAGCAGCAACAGGGTCAGCCTCAACCTGGAGGTGTTCCTGGTCCTGCTGGCCGCCGGCTGCACATTGCCCATCGCCGAAGCCCATCAGAGCTCACACCATTGATGAGCATGTTTGCGAATCCCGGCAGTAAGTTGATTATTTTCTTATTTACTTTTTGCCCCCTTTTGCTTGCTCCCAGCCAGTCGATCCCCGCTCCGCCATCGGACAAGCGCGTGAGCTCCTGCGAAAAGAGTATTGTGGCTGATCCGGCTTCTCTTCCAGTGGATCAGGTCGCCATCCAGCAACAGATTGAGCTGTTGCAGCAGCAGCAGCAGACGCTCCAAGCCTACCAGCAGATGGCCATGCTTCCCGGGCAGACCCTCGGTGCTGGCGGCTTCAACCCTCTACAGCAGGTCGCCATGACCAACATGCCGCAAGCCGGCTTCCAATTTCCAGCTCAGATTCCCCAGCAGACGGTGTCTCTGGCGCCACCAACACAGCCCCTATCACATCGCCGTAATCAGTCAGCTCTTCCCAACATGGGCATGGGCCCGCCGCCCGCTCCCTCCTCTGGCGCGTCTGGCTCCGCGTTTGGCAGCTTCGATAACTCGCAAGCCCAGGCCAGGGAGAACACTGGCAGCCGTGGAGGTCGCGGCGGCGGCGGATCCGGAGGTGGTCATCAGAGACGTCACTCGCTGGCCCTGGCCGACGCCAAGAAGGCCGCCGAGCTCGCGCAGCAGAAGCGCACTACATCCGGCTTCCAGTTCCCTGGCCCTGGCGCTTCGGGCTCTGCTGAAAAGCAAGAGGACGAAGCAAAGGGCGCAGCGACCACGCAGGCTCCACCAGAAAGCCAGACGGCGCCAGCCCCGTCTTTCCGCGGTGGTCGTGGCGGCGGCCACGGCCGGAGCCAGAGCATGGCTGTCGGCGCGAACGGCCGTGGCGGCCTAGGTGGTGATTTCTCGCGTCGTGGCGGCGGTGGTGGCCATGCACGCACTTCCTCTCGAAATTTTGACAGCAACTGGCGCAACCAAAGCCAGAACCAAAGCCAGGATCAGACTGGCGCTGCCAACCAGAGCCAAGGATTCCAGCCAGGCCACCGTAATCGTAGTTCCGTCAGCCATCAGTCCATGGCTTCTCTTGGGGCTTTCCAATACCCCACCCAGTCACCGCAGTTGATGCAGATCCCAGGCCAGATGATGATCCCCATTTACCCGGGGCAGCAGCTCAACCCCATGCAACTCAACCAGCTGCAGGCACTGCAGGTTGCCCAGATGAACGGCCAGCACATGGCCGGACTCCAAGCCAGCCAGCATGCCCCTCAACTGGCAGCTCAGCAACCTCAGCAGCAACAACAACAGCAACGCAAGACTCTCTTTACCCCCTATCTCCCGCAAGCAACCCTTCCCGCCCTCCTGGGAGATGGGCAGCTCGTCTCCGGCATACTCCGCGTCAACAAGAAAAACAGAAGCGATGCATATGTCGCCACTCAGGATGGCCTCCTCGATGCTGACATTTTCATCTGCGGGAGCAAAGACCGAAACCGTGCGCTTGAAGGCGATCTCGTCGCAGTCGAGCTCCTTGATGTGGATGAGGTATGGTCCCAGAAGCGGGAAAAGGAAGAGAAGAAGAAACGCAAGGATATCACCGACACCCGTTCCGGATCCACAGCCGGCACCGGACAAGCCAACGGCAACGGAGATGATAACGGCGGCGATGGCAGTATCCGCCGGCGCGGCAGTCTCAGGCAACGGCCTACTCAAAAGAAGAACGATGATGTTGAAGTTGAAGGCCAGAGCCTTCTTCTTGTAGAAGAGGAGGAGATCAGTGATGAGCAGAAACCGCTTTACGCCGGTCACATTGTTGCTGTCATCGAGCGAGTGGCAGGGCAGATGTTCTCCGGCACACTGGGTCTTCTCCGGCCCAGCAGTCAGGCGACCAGGGAGAAGCAAGAGGCGGAGCGAGCTGCGCGGGATGGGAGCATGTCTCGGCAACAGGACACCCGACCTCAGGAGAAGCCAAAGATTGTGTGGTTCAAGCCGACCGACAAGCGTGTTCCGCTGATTGCTATACCAACCGAGCAGGCTCCCCGCGACTTTGTTGAGAAGCATCAAGAATATGCCGATCAGATCTTCGTGGCCTGCATCAAGCGCTGGCCCATCACCTCACTACATCCGTTTGGTACCCTGGTTGAGAAGCTCGGTAAGATGGGCGATCTGAAGGTTGAGACAGACGCACTGCTCCGAGATAACAATTTCTCGTCCGACGAATTCTCAGACGCCGTCTTACGCAGTGTCGGTCTTCAGGACTGGACGATTGCGAAAGAAGATGAGGCTGCTATTGCCTCTCGCCGCGACTTCCGCAACGACAAGGTTTTCACTCTTGATTTGGACGGCTCCGCCGAACTTGGAAACGGCGTGCATGTCAAGTCACTGCCTGATGGCAAGGTTGAGATCGGCATCCACATCCCGGATGTCACCCATTTTGTAAAGCCCAACTCCCTTGTTGACAGAGAGGCGAAGAAACGCGGCACTGCCGTCCATCTGGTGAACAGATTTTGTGCCATGCTTCCGCCGAAGCTGTCCAGCGAGGTTTGTTCGATTACACCCAACCAGGATCGCCTAACTGTCAGCATTGTCTTCCATGTCAATCCACATACTGGTGCTGTCGCCGAAAGCGATATTTGGATTGGGAAAGGCATAGTCAAGAGCGCCGGCAAGGTTTCCCTCGCTCAGCTTGATGAGGCCTTGTCGGGTGGTGCTGGCTTCTCGCACGAAGCCGCTGATGTCAAAGACATTCAGATGCTCCACGTAAGTCTGCTTTGTGAGACCAAGTCTATGACCCATGCTAACAGCGGTTGCTTGTAGATGATCACCCAGAAGTTCCGCGAGGCGCGGCTTGGAGCGGGCGGTGAGCCCATTGCGCCGCTTCGCCTCCTCCAGCAACTGGACGATGAGAATATTCCTGTCAAGCACAACATCTTCGACACAACCCCGGCAACGGAACTTGCCGAGGAGCTCATGCACAAGGCCAATGCTTACGTTGCCCAGCGTTTGGCCCGGGGCCTTCCTGACAAAGCCCTCCTGCGTCGTCACCCTGCGCCCAATTCCCGCCGCCTACAGACCTTTGTTGAACGCATGACGGCTCTTGGCTACGAGATTGACCCCTCCAGCAGTGGATCGCTGCAAAACAGCCTCTTCAAGGTTGAAGATGCCGAAATCAGAAAGGGCATGGAGACACTACTCCTCAAGTCAATGCAGCGGGCCAAGTACTTCATTGCGGGCAAGACAGCCAAGCACCTTTGGGCTCACTACTCGCTGAACTTGCCGTTGTACACTCACTTCACAAGCCCTACCAGACGCTATGCCGACATCCTCGTCCACCGCCAGCTAGAATCTGTTCTTTCGGAAGGCAAGGTTGAGTACAACGAAGATCTGGAGAATTTGGTTAAGACGGTCGAGTCCTGCAACACCAAGAAGGACTCGGCACAGAACGCCCAGGAGCAAAGCATCCACATTGAATCCTGCCGCAATATGGACAAGAAGCGCCAGGAGGTCAATGGCGATTTGATTAGTGAAGGCATTGTCATTTGCGTGTACGAGTCAGCCTTTGATGTGCTCATTCCCGAGTGGGGCTTCGAGAAGCGTGTGCATTGCGACCAGCTGCCGTTGAAGAAGGCCGAGTTCAGGAAGGAGAAGAGAATCTTGGAGCTCTACTGGGAGAAGGGCGTTCCAAGCTCGGCCTACGTGCCGGAAGATGAGCGCCCCAAGGCTGCGGCGTCGCAAAGGATTTCCAACGCATTAGCTGCTGCTCGTCAGGCCGAAGAAGCTGAGAGGGCCAAAAAGGAGCGTGAAGAGGCAGCTAGGAAGCAAACAGAAACGGGCACCATCTCGACGGACGACGTCGATGCCCTCTTCGATGACGAGGAGGATAACGCGTCTGATATTACTGAAGCTATGGCAGGCGCCTCGCTGGCGGAGCGACCGACACAAAGCGTTCCCGGCTCGCCAACCAGGTCCTCGGCAGAGGCAGCCGGGACCCTCCACCGCACTCGGTCGGATTCGAAGGTGCCTACCACTGACGTTCCGGAGACGAGACTGACGAATAAGGAGAAGTACTTGAAGCTGTTCAAGTTGAGAGAAGAAGGCGGTGAATACATCCAGGATGTGACGGAGATGACGCGGGTGCCGGTAATTCTGAAGACGGATCTCACCAAGAGCCCACCGTAAGTATCTGGCGTGGTTTATTTTCCCCCTTTGCACGGCTAACAAAGATGGCAGGTGTTTGACCATCCGGTCGCTCAACCCATACGCACTGTAGATGGCAGGGCGACAATGTACTACCATGAGCCCGAGCATATCTTTTCAACATGGGATGGAATCGGATACGGATCCGAGCATGTACGTGGCTTCTTCGAGCAAGGAAGGTGACAGGAGACAGACGAAGATTGATAAAGCGGATTACCTCTCCGAGGTATCTCCAAGATGGTATAAGTTTCCTCTGGATTATTGTAGGTTGGTGCATTTATGGAGGTCTTGTCGGATACACAGCAGCATTACAGATGCAGTAGGCTGGAGCTGTAAGAGATGCTGCTGAGGAGGTTAAAAGAGGGGACAGGGGCAGAAGGATGAAAGCAGAGGCAGAACACACAAGCCAGCCCGTCTAATAGTTCAGTACCACGACCTCATTCGTGCGCTTTAGCGGATGTGGCATTTCCCAGCTCGAGTCTGATTGGTGCAGCAGCTGTTTCATTGAGTGGACGGCATGAAGAGCGACAAATGCGCTCCATGAGGCGGCATGAGGTGTACCGACTACATCTTGACTCTACAGCGGTCGGAACTTGGATAGATCGCCATCGAAGCAGCTCGGAAGGATGTCTGATCTGCAGGGCAGACAGAAGAGATGAAGCTTGGCTAGATCTCTTCCGGCGTTGGGCATTTTGCCTACCAGGACAAAACGGTAAAAACCCGCACACCTTTGCCCAATGCTCATCGAATTCACTAGGCATCGAGGCCGGTGAGTCGACAGGCGATAACCGTCGGCACAGGAGATGCCAACGAATGAAGTATGCACTTAATATTATAAACACCAGTCTCTTTTTACGTCCCCACTGAATGACCAATGACTCCAACCTCCAGGGGTAAGCTCTGTCCACCTCGCAGGGCCGCAGTGCCTGGCCCGGCCTGCCTGACGGGCGGATCAGCAAGCGGACCATTTCTAGGATGACTCGACTTCAGATAAGGCTGAAGTGACAGTGATCTTGGACGTTTTGAGCGTGCACCTAAATCTTGAGAAGCTAGAGAAGATTTATCCACCCTATGTTTTGGAGTGTTTGGAGCTTGGCTATCTCTGGGAAGAGAATCGGCTGGTCTCAAAACACATGTACATACAATAGGTAGGACAACGAAGTTTCGAGCCTGGAACCTTGGAAAGGCCCCCAACCTAGTACAATGAGTCCTTCCCGTCGAGCCGTTTACTACAGCAGGAAACCGCGACATGATTGTCCAGCCAGAGACAGAAGTCGCCATCAGCCGGCAGATGCTCGACGTCACAGAATGCGTGGGAGGGGAAAAGGTCCGAGCTGCCTGACTCGAGAAGGCGACACCTGCGCAAGGAAACCCGGTTGTCCATGCGGATGGCCAATCTAGCCAATGTTTCGAAGAACCCAAGGCAGCTTTCAGCTTGCCATTAAGGAAGTTCACTTTTAACCCTTGACGAACTTTATGCTGTTCCATACATACCATCGCAGCCGTCAGATTAGCTTGGTCGAGGCCGACGGGGTCAATCCAGCGTGCTGGACCAATGCTCCGACCATTCCTCGAATCGCCTAGCACGTGCTCGAGCAATCCAGCCATTCAGTACGGCCCAAGAAGTGATGAATAGGCTTGCAAAGAAACAGACGAGGACCGCATCCTCCATCGACATGATCAAGCAGATACGGATACACTTGGTGTCACTTGGCAATTCAGTGTCAGTGACAGCAGCAAGCATTAACGCACTCGGAAGCAGATTGAGGCGGTTGCAGTTGAGGCTCGGGTAACGCTGCGGTCCGTCTGATTGAAACGTGTCTGAGACGTGCATCGCAGTCGTCGCGGGCGCCACTGTCGCAAATCCCTCCAGCGTTGTACTGTACGTACCCAAGCAACCCCCTAGCTTAGCCTTGGCGCTCACTTTGATTGGCCACATTAGGCCTGTAGCGTGGCGCTGCCGCTAAGTTTCCCCAGGGACCCCACTGACCCCGTCTGCGACCCGAGTCCCGAAGCGGGGGTAAAGAGACTTCATCCCAACCTTAAACATGATCCCGTCTGTCTGATTGGCCGATTTATGCCTCGAGCCTCAAAGACCGACCCTGCGCAACCGCGAAGAGGTGGACGAGGGTCGCGCTTACATACCACAGTACACTATCACACCTGTACGCAATACGGAGTATCTTCCAGGGGTTGTAAACGACGAAACGAAACATGAACATGTCTCTTCCCTCAGTCCTTCCATCTGGACACATGCAGTAGCTTCGTTCCCCCCGCCGCCTCGATTGGAACACGAGAGCTTGACGGAGATGGAGGAGGATTGGAGCTACCAACGTCATCTTGCTCGGCAGTCTGGGCAAGTTCCGAGCGCTACAAGGGGGGCGAGTCTCGACTCCCACGACGCCTCCCATCCTGATCCGATCCCGTGCAGGGTTTCTACTTTCTAGTTTCTACACTAGGATCTCTGCTGCCGCTTGTCCCTGCCCCCCCGCTCCCCCTGCCCTGTCTGGGCGCTCTGTTCCACGAGTGTGATTACGGGTCCCGGAAGAGTCAGCAGCCGCTGGCTCGGAATAGGGATCATCTTGGCAACAGATTCGTCTTTATTCAGACCGTTTCCCACCTTGATGCTGGGATCTCGCTTCTTCCTTCCCTCCTTTCTCCATCCCAAAGCGCCTGTCTTCAAGTTCGTTTCCCCCGCCCAAAGCGCTGGTCTGCTTTCACTCTCCTTCAAGCAGCTCAGTCTGTCCCTCTTTCTGTCCTGTGGCTTCTCGGTTCTAGCGGCCTTTATATCTTAATATCTTCTTCGTAATAGACGCCCTCAGGCAGGCATTCCATTCTACAGCCAGGCTGGTCTTTGCTCTTTTACCCGCAACGCACTCGCTCTTTCGAACCGGACGCACAGGAAAAGGGGTCGAATCGAGATAGAGGAACACTCGTGTGGTCTGATCAGCCAAGATGCCTTCAATCACAAAAGCCATTGGTACGGTTGTCGCGGGGTTGGCGGCTGTCACGTCGGCGCTACCAGCGGTCCCAAAGTTGAACGAGGGTCAGATGAAGATGCTTGAGCTTGCAAAGCGCCAAAACGCTGCTGCTGCCGCGCTTGGCTTGACCGATATTGACATCCTGCAATTGTATGAGCTCGCTCTCTTGGGAAAGCATAGGTTACCGCTAACCGTTCTTCAGCGCTCTCACACTGGAGTGGCTCGAGGCGACATTCTACCAGCAGGGGTTCGCGCAGTTTCCGGCGACCGACTTCCAGGCCTTAGGGCTTGAGCAAAGAGAGATTGACGACCTCCTCCAAATCGGCAAGACAGAAGAGGAGCACGTCGTCCTATTGCAAAGCGCCATTGCCCAGGCAGGTGTGCAGCCAGTGCAGCCGTGCACCTACAACTTTGGCTTCACCGATGCCGCGGGCATGGTCGCAACAGCCGCCGTGCTCGAAAACGTCGGTGTCTCGGCCTATCTCGGCGCCGCCGCCCTTGTTTCCGACGGCTCCATCCTGACGACAGCCGGCACCATCCTCACCATCGAGGCGCGCCATCAGACCTTTGTCCGCGCCGCCAGCCGAGGCATCGCGGTGCCCCAGGCTTTTGACACGCCGCTGTCGCCCAAGCAGGTCTTCTCGCTCGCCGCGCCCTTCATCGCGAGCTGCCCCGAGGGAAGCAACCTGATTCTGACGGCATTCCCTACTCTCGCCATGGCGGCCGGCCAGAACCCGCAGGCCGTTGCCGCGGGCGCCACCATCCAGCTGCAGTCCGACGCGGCCGCCACGGCCACGCACTGCGCTTTCACCACGGGCGGCGTCATCCCCGGCGGCACCGTCTTCACCGAGTTCAACCCCCAGACGGGCTGCGTCGTGCCCCAGGGCCTGGCCGGCGTCACCTACGTCAACCTGGCCAGCGCTGGGCCCCTGACGGGCGTGCTCACGGACGACATCATTGTGGCTGGGCCCATGGTGATGCAGGTCTCGTAGAGAAAAACCGAGGTGGTCAACCGTTTCTTGTTAGCTGGTTACTGAGCTCCGCCCACTCTATGCTATCTACCGCCATGGTGTTGTTGGTAGCAACCGTCTTGTCTTGGAAAGGGCACTGTCAAGAGTTGAGTGGCTGAGCGGGCAGTCTTATTAGACCAATCCAGTCAGCCAGACAAAACAAACAAAAAAAACACCAGAGACAATCTTGTCTTCAATTTTTCTTTTTCCCTCTGTTTACTACTTCGCTTCTCTGGGCCACATTGTCTAGCAAGATTATTACATAGCCCGTATATAATCAGGGCCTATATATTACATATTTTGACCCTGGTTGGGAAAAGGTGTTGGGAGCTCGTCTGTCTATATCTCTTTCTGTCTTCTCTCATGTGAACCTTAATTCTGTTGTGTTTTGCCAGTTTGGACTGATGTCACTTGTTCAAATAAGACGATTCTGGGGTTGACAGTGGACAAGAGGAAAGGAGATACCCGCCCATGCAGATGCTGGGACCGACGGAGCATGGCTGACGATTCAGCTGCTGTGTTTGTTTAAGAGGTACTATTCTAGACCATGAAATCTTAGAAAGACGACATGAACAACCCCTCTCGCATGTTGCTATGTGTATATGTACATACATACGGAGTATGCTTGCCGGGAGGGTTAGTGCATACGGAGGTCCAAGATCCGCAACAGGGCGCCGAGAACGTATGCGGATTGAAGAGACAGCGAAGTCGGAGTTCTGGGCGAAAAAGGCTCGGGTTTGAACTTGCCGTGGAGCTACCTTGACCTTTCAGATTTATTCAGCTCTTCAAGGCGGCCAATCGATTTCCGCGGATAACGTCGTCAAGAAATCTCCTGGAAATGCGGTTTGACAGGGAATTTGGCGGTCTAAGAAAAAGTTCTTACAGGGACAAGAACATCGAAGTTCTTCCCGCACCCACACGCGATGCGGTCCTGGCGGAGTTGCCGAACCATCGTTGACTCGTTGACATGCGACAGCGCGCCACCAATCATGTCCCAGCAATGCCAGGCATCGCGGTTATCGATAAGCAACGATAGCAGCGACGAGGCTGCGTCACTTTGGTTTTCTATGAATGCACCATTTCCCTGAAAATGTCTCGTTTCTACTCGCCGATATCGCGGGCTGACGGTGAGAAGAGAACTACACTACCGAACAGAGGGAATTCCAACCCATATTACAAGCCCGTTCATGATTGTCCCATGTCAGCTAGAGGCGTGGGATGGTTTGCGCTTCTCTTCAGATAGGGCGAGCGAGCGAAAACCGGCGCGGCAATGAAGCACTCGTCGCCACTCCCACGCAGGGAAATCTCCTCAAGTGGGTATAGGAATCGACCGTAAGGCGTAAAATGGAGTCTTGAAACCGGCCCAGGTACCGGAGGAGAGCCGCAACCGCTGCTCCCGGCCGAACTCCTCTCTTGATAGGGGACTTCCATCCCATCTGTCGGTCCCCCACGTTCGGCCTTTGTATTTATTTCCTTATCTTGCCCTGCCCTTCCTCACTTTGCACTCTCACTCCTCCTTCATCCTTACCTGGCGAAGTACATAGGCGTCGCGAGCGATCATCATATTCTTGCCATTGCTTGTTGCTCAAATTTTGATACCCAATTCGTCGCTTGTCACCATGTCGCACCTTCCTTCAGAGCCCGAGTTCGAGCAGGCATACAAGGGTAGGTCGATTGCGTCGACATCTTTGCTTGAGACCGAAACTGACGTTGCTTCGCAGAGCTGGCCCTCACACTCGAGAACAGTTCGCTCTTCACGAAAAAGCCCGAATACCGCACTGCGCTCAAAGTCGCTTCGATCCCAGAGCGGGTGATTCAGTTCCGCGTTGTCTGGGAGGATGACGCCGGTAATCTCCAGGTCAATCGCGGTTACCGCGTGCAATTCAACTCAGCTCTTGGCCCGTACAAGGGTGGCTTGAGATTTCACCCCTCGGTGAACCTGTCCATGTAAGGAGACTTTGACGGAAGGGAAAATGAGAGGTACATGGGAAACGAGACAAAGCTGACTGTGAACCAGCCTAAAATTTCTCGGTTTCGAGCAGATCTTTAAGAATGCCCTCACTGGCCGTAAGTGACACAGAAAGCATGGCAAAGTGACCAGCGTTTGCTGACCGTGCTTACAGTCATGATGGGCGGTGGAAAGGGTGGAGCCGACTTCGACCCCAAGGGAAAGAGTGACGCCGAAATCCGTCGCTTCTGCGACGCCTTCATGCGAGAGCTCTGCAAGCATATCGGTGCCGATACCGACGTTCCCGCTGGCGACATTGGCGTTTCCGGCAGAGAAATCGGCTTCCTCTTCGGAACATACCGCAAGCAGCGCAACAAGTTCGAGGGTGTCTTAACCGGCAAAGGTTTGGACTGGGGCGGCAGTCTGATCCGCCCGGAGGCCACTGGCTATGGCCTCGTCTATTACGTCGGGCACATGCTCGAGTATGCAGGCGCCGGGGGATGGGCCGGTAAGCGCGTTGCCATCTCGGGGTCGGGCAACGTTGCCCAGTACGCCGCATTGAAATGCATCGAGCTCGGTGCCACCGTCGTTTCGCTCTCTGATTCGAAGGGCTCGATTGTCGCGGTTGGTGATGGGCACGTCACGGCAGAGGATGTTGAAGCCATTGCCAACCTGAAGGTGAAGCGTCAGTCGCTTTCCACATATGCTATCAGGGACGGTCTCAAGTACATTGAGGGCGTGCGCCCGTGGATGCATGTTGGCAAGGTTGACATCGCCTTGCCTTGTGCCACCCAGAACGAGGTTAGCAAGGAGGAAGCAGAGGCTCTGGTTGCCGGCGGCACCAAGTTCATCGCTGAGGGCTCAAACATGGGCTGCACGCTTGAGGCTATCGAGGTCTTCGAGGGCAACCGCCGGGAGAAGAAGGGTGACGCCATTTGGTACGCGCCTGGTAAGTGTTTCCCGCCGTTGCAGCGGCCGCAATTCGAACCCCCCGTTCCCACTCGCCCCCACCCTCCAAGCCGGCAGGCAGTTGCCATTGCTGACACATCTCCATAGGCAAGGCTGCCAACTGCGGTGGTGTGGCCGTATCCGGCTTAGAGATGGCCCAGAACAGCCAGCGTCTCGCTTGGACCAAGGAGGAGGTCGACGACAAGCTCAAGGACATCATGAAGAACGCCTTCCAACGCGGGCTCGACACGGCCAAGGAGTACGTCGAGACGGCCGAGGGCGAGCTCCCCAGCCTGGTTGCTGGCAGCAACATTGCCGGCTTTGTCAAGGTTGCCCAGGCTATGCACGAGCAGGGAGACTGGTGGACGAAGGAGTGAGGGTTTGGAACCGGTTACGCTGGGCGGTAATGAGTCAATGACTGGTCGAGGCGTGCCGGTCGCCTTGTTTTCTGGGCCACTGCCCGGCATCAGGACTGGGGCTTTTTTCCGTCTTTGTCGTCCTTTTGCAGCGGGCGTTGGTGGTTCTGTGGCGCTGGAGTTGGAGGGCCGGATTCAGTTACGATGATTCCCTGGGCTACCTGGTACTTCTCATGGCGTGCTGCGGCTTCGTCTTTTTCCCTCTCTGATTGGAGGCTCGGTGAGACGCTCCGGGTAAGTTGCGGCACAAGCGGGAAGGATGGCGCGCTTATGTTTGTCGGTACCTTCTTGACATGGGGGCCTGGAGGACTGGAAAGGAGAGGGCTGTGACCCCACCATTCCTAGCCTCGAGCCAAAGCCATCCCTTGTTTCCAGGCAACGTATGTAGACGATAGACCGGATTATATGGCAGATAGGGAATCATAATGAGATGATCGTGAATTACAGGCGTCCTTTGACTTAATCAAGACAAGGCTAGATGTATGCACATATTTGTACAACACATACCAGGTTGATGGTCCTACTCTGGGACTCTGCGCGCTTCCTAAGCATTCCGTTGTTGGTTGAGATCTGTTCCTGCAGCCTGCAGGCAGCGAGGAATCAGATGCCGAGCTGCACAGGTGCTACGGGCGGCACTGCAACCTGGAACTGAATGGATGAACCAGGAAGGGGATTCTCTCCCCATGTACTGTACAATACTTCATACGATACACCACTTCTGTTGTAGAACACTTCCACGTTCCACCGACTACCTACATAATCTTTAGAGTTTCATACACCACCTGCCTAGAGTTTCTCTTCGTGTCTCGTAGCACCCGCTGCTATGATTAGCCTTCCCTGACGGCTGGGCCCAATGAACGACAGGAGACGGGAGCTGAACTCGGATTTGAAGTTCCGAGCCTTTCAGCCAGCCAATGAATCACTTGACTTCCTGTTACTCAGCCGAATCACGAAGGTATTCTTTTCGTTACACTTCTCCGGAGTTACTATTGTTGATCATCAATTACGGGATGTCAAGAACTTGGTTTCGAGATTGCCTGCGGCAACGGCATTAATTATGGCGCAATTGCGTCAACATCGCTGCCCTTCCCCTTCGCAGCCACCCGGGCGGCGCATGATCGGCGGCCTAGGGCCCTCAGGCCTCAATGTCTAATCGGACAGAAGATTCGGCAGTTCTATTTCGCCCGCCTAAATGGATGTGCTTCGGTATTGAAAACAAAATCATCAAGGTTGATGAGATCGGGTGGTGAGAATATCAGGTAAAAGTACTTGAGTGTCTCAGACAAGAAGAAACTCTGCGTTTGACGGTCAGACAGGATTCCGGTTCTGAGGGCAATTCGGTGGACAGGCGCCTTACCTCCATTGAATCGAGCTTAATGGTCTCGCCCTCGACCGTGACATCGGCAATAGCGGAATTGGCAAGGGGAGTCTTCGTTGCTTCCATAAGAGCTTCGAACATACGCCACGCCAGATCCCGAAAGTCTGCCCTGCCCGTCATCCTGTACAGGAGGAAGACACTCTCGATAGCCTCTGGCCGGAGAATATACCGCGGATCCCGGGCATCCTTAAACCCCTTTCTCAGCTTCGTGTCGCCCTCCTTTTGCCACCGTTCCTCGTCCCATAAGCATGGTCCCTCTATTGAGGAACAAGGGATGAGGTTAAAGATCTCGGGCATCAAGCCGGTCGGGAACGCATTGTATGCCCACGCACAGCCTCGGGCTAGCCGTTCCCCGATGGAAATGTGGTCGGGAATATCGAACAACTTTCCGCCGAGAGCAAACATGCCCCCGGCAAAGCACGAGAGGTGCTGTCCCTCCGGGACATGGTCGATACGGTCTGGGTGGACGTATGCATCACCAACGAAGAGGACATCTCTGCCCTCCGTGTCGTCCTCGGCTGCCATAGGCCGGAACAAGAGGTGCTTCTTAGCAACCTCCATAGCAGCGCGGTACATCTTGTCGTAGCTGGGGATCTGGCCACCTAACAACGCCGCCATCTTGGGCAAATACTCGTACAGGGAGTCTGCTAACGCGCCCATAGTAAAGCCATTCTCTCTATCGACGGCTTCGTCATGGAAATTAATAAGCTTCGGCCACATGCCCGGGAGCTTGGACTGGTCTTGCGTCCGCTCAAGGAAGTCGGTGATACGGGCGACAGCATCGTAGTATTTGCTATCACCCGTCAGGAGGGAGAGCCTTGTGAACTCGAGTGAAAGCGAGCATGGGCTTGCCGATGGGTCGTTCGTTCCTGCAGTTTGCAGCCCCTGCTTCGCGTCCTGGAAGTTGAGCCAGAAGCCCGGTATACGATTCGGCGTATCGAAGGCCATATAGAGCATATTGCCCAACTCTATGGCCTTCTCTAGCAGAGCCGGCTCGCCGCTCAAGTCGTAAGCACCAAGCAGTCCACCGAGATGGCGAATTGTGGTTTCGAACACGTTGATGGCCGTGTCGGTGGTGTTTGCCCAATCCAGCTGGGCGGCGGCGGCAGCGGCGGCAGTATAGAATTCGTCTCTAAGATCCATTATCCAAAGCGTGTCGAGCGAGTCCACCAGGGTTGCTGCCCAGCCGCCGAATGTAGTCTTTCCCCCGCCGCTCACCGGAGCCAGCTCGTCCCTCAGCCAGGCGTGTGCCTTGTAGCTATCCCAGCACCTAACAAAGGCGGCGCGGACGGCCTGTTGGCGGCGTTGCGTGGTCGCATCGTGCACATAGCCCGCAAAGGCATGTTGGACCGGGTGAAGGTGCTGCTTTGGACGGCCGGTAGGCAGCGGTTGGATGGAAGACACGGGGTATCGTTGGGGCACCGACGTCCAGTCGAAACTGCTTGGTTGGAAGCGAACCTTGGGATGAGTCTTCTGTAACGGCGGCTGCCCGGTAATGAGGTGCTGTGGTCCAGACGGCAGAAGGACGAGCAGGGCGAGTAGGAACACGGCGGTACCAAGGATCAATCGGCCGACGCGGTGGCGAGCAACGGCCATGGTACGGCGAGCAAATCTCACGGAAAGGAAACAGCAGGGCCAGCCTCTGCTATAAGCCATGCCCTTTTGTTGTTGTCCGCATCGAGAACAGCGTCGAAATTCTCGAGAGGCGGAGATGCGTCATTGTGCTTGTCGGTGTTGAGAGGATGCAAGGGAGTATCCGTATGTACTTCGTAACTCGCCAGGTGGCTAAGGACTACCTTAGGGTCGAACACCCTAGCCCCTGCAGAAGAAAGCGGCTGTCCCGCGCTTCCTCGGCCAATCAAAATACCTATCGTGCCATTTTTGTTCGCTCGCACCGTTAATCGGCGTCGCTCCCCGTCTCCGTGCCGGGCTTTCGACGTCTGGGAATTCGAGGTCGTCTGCCAATGTCGACAGCGACTGAATCGCAGGTACGGAGTACGTTGATGGAATCTTAAGATTTTAAGTACGAAGTGGTGGAAGATATGGAGTAGGTGGTGGAAGATACGAAGTACCTAGGTAGGTGGAAGATTTAACGTGGTTGAAGATTCGGAGTCCTGAATTCGAAGGCAGAAGGTTTGGGGTGTTCGCCGGCAATAACCCCAACCCTAAGTGAACTACTGTAGTGCCCCCTGAAATGCCATAGTTAAATTTAAGAGAAGGGTCCGGCTGCAGCATTTCGTCCCGAGTTCGAGACGCAACGCTCAACGCGATTTTCGAATCTCAACGTGGACTGGGTTTAGATCCCGTGTTGAAACGATGAAACAAGCGGCTGTCCGCATACACGAGGAGATGCGCATGGACGAGGAGATGGCGGAGAGCTCTGGGCTTGTCGCTTGGTGCAACACAAACTCTCGTTCTGCAATTGGCGACTTTGAAACCCACACAGCTTGGTGTTGATACTGACATGTCACAGCCAGACACCGGTTATCCTGCCGGGTCCATACCCACGGCCACGCAAACACGCTCAGCCTGAGGGATTCCCGCCGTGGGAACTTGGCCTATTATTGTACGCCCGAGATCCCCATGGCGCCGTGCGCATGCTCTCCATGGTCGACAGCCGCCGGTGGGTTTCAGATTTCCGCATGGTTGGTCCTCGACTCTCCGCACCGGAAGCCTAGCGAGCCCGATGCGGGCCGCGGGCGCTTTGATCGGGACCCTGGGTGTAGAGTGCGGTTAAGTATCCAATGACAGTCAGCGCCATCCCCTCGGGACCCCCTATTGCCCGCCCACGTGTTTGCGTAGCCGCCGACGTTGGTAGGAGCCCTACATACGATACAATGAACATGGCGCGGACTGTCGTGATGAGCCCCGAAGGTTTGTTGACTATGTTCCTGCCCGACTATCGTGCTCAGGCCCGTTTATTGGGGTAGGCTCCCGCCTCGCCCTGGATCCTACCATCTCCCGCTGATCACCCGCTTTCCAGCTTTCACGTCCTGGCGGTCCTTACGGAGTTAGTACCTTTACAGTGAATGTTGAGTCTCATCATTGCCCTTTGGGCCGGGCACGCCCTCAGTGCGGCATGTGATGGTACCGTCGCCTCGCCGATGGCGCTTCCCATCACAGATACCGCCGTCGACCCTAACATTCCCGACTCCTTGATGAGAGGCGTACCAGCAAAGATTGGCACCCCTCCCCAGAATATCATGGTGCTGCCATGGCCGTAAGACACGACTAGCGAGAGGCCACTGTCAAGTGTCAATGACTGACCTCGTGCTGATTGACCCAGGGACCTAAACAACACCTACATCTACGACCAAGAGGCGTACTGCGACCCTTCTATCATATGGAACGACAAGATCTGCGAGATTCGGAGGGGAGGCTACTTTCTCGATGCCGAATCAACCAGCTTCACCAAATACTCGGACCTCGTCGCCTCAGGAGGCGCCACTCAGGAGCTGACAACTCGGGGAACCGAGCTGGGTGTGCGAAAGCTATTGTCAACCAGCCTTGCGGGTACGGAACGCTTCGCCGCTGGCACCGGCAACCTCACGACCACGCCCATTGGCATTCCGCGCATGCGCTGGGACAACGGCTACACCACCCTTCACGCCCTTGGCCTCGGGTCCAACTCTACCTTCCTAAACGCCCTGGTCCAGTCCCGCCAGATCCCGTCCCGGGTTTGGTCCATCTTCTGGGGACGCATGTGGACCGGCAGCGCCGACACCGACATGGACGGGTCGCTGGTGCTGGGCGGCTATGATCAGGAGAAGGTGATTGGGCGCAACGTGACGCAGCAGCTCGACTACAGCGAGGACACCGGGTGCTGGACGGGGATGTCGGTGACCGTTTCGAATGTCTTGGTCAACTTCAGGAACGGCACCGACTTCAGCATCATGCCGCGCAACTCGGCCGTTCCGTGCTGTATTGTGCCGCAGCGTCAGTTCGTATGGGAGGCCCCCGCCGGCATCGTGAGCGCGTTCGAGGGAGCGACCCAAATGACCAGTATCGGACTGTCGTATGGGTTGCACTGGGGTGCCAGTCAATACAATGCTTCAGGGAACATGTAAGTTCACTGCATTCGTCGCGCCCTTTCTCGGGCCTGTTTCTCCCCGTATCTATCCGAACCACTTCCCACAGCCAAAGTTCCACTTTGGGTTAACAATATCATTTTCATGTCCTCAGCTTCGATGGTGATTTGACCTTCATCCTCTCCAACGGCCTCCAAATCCGTATTCCCAACAACCAGCTAATAACACCCTTCATCGACGTCGATCGAAACGGCTCCCGTCTCGTCCACCAAGATAGACGAGAGCTGCTGGTGGCCAGCGTGATCGATAACCCCACAACCCTAGGCCGCTATTTCTTCACGGCGGCATACCTGATGGTGGACCACGATGCTCATACCTTCACCATGTGGCAAGCCAATCCGTCGACGAAAAGCAACTTGGTACCCGTCATCAGCAAGTCAGCCGACAACGAGGAGAGCGCCTGCGGAGGAGACGGAGGCGCCGGTGGCACTGGGGGTTCGACTGGCGGGGACAGCACCGGTAGCACTGGAGGTACAACGAACGGGGCAGACAGCGCCGATGAGCGCGCGAATGGGTCGTCTTCACCCAGCACAGGCGCGATCGTCGGAGCCGCAGTCGGGGGCGTAGCTGCGCTGGGCGCCCTCGCAATCCTGGTTTCCGGCCTTGTTCGGAGGAAGAAGAAGCGTGCGATGATCGCTTCCAGCTTGCCAACGTCAGAAACCTCCGAATTGAAGCCTCAAGCCGGAGGCACAGCTGAGCTCTATAATAACCCCGACAAGCCTGGCCCCTGGGAAGCGCCGGTGCCCCCTTACTCGCACTGTGAATTGCACGGGATGTCGGCCGTAAACCACGAACAGGGACACTGGTCGTGGACGAACCGCCGGACGTTGGGACAGTCAGACATGGTATACGAGTTGGGCAGTACCGAGACGCCGCCTAAATGAAGAACTTGACGGCTTCCTTCGCTCGAATGGGCAGTATCCGTGTCTACTAACCCTTTCAGGGTCCATTCATCTGCACCATACCGGCTGCATATAACCATTGGCAATTCCCGATGCAGTTCGCTTCCAGAATGGTTGATACGCGCAAGCCGGAAAACAGAGCATTGGACGCTGCGAGGACTGATGGGTATATTGTTGTCCGCTGGTCGTGGTGAAGGTGACAACCCATAACTGGCTTCGAGGTCCAGGGGGATGTCCACTAGTCGAACGTTACCTCGGTGGTATACGGGTTGGCACCTTGGACAAGGATTGGAGAACCTAGGTTCAAACAAAACAACACAAAGCTCAAGGACACCTTGCCCCGGCTGACATCATCTGCAAGTTAACTATCTACAGTCGGTCGCCGGGGGTTAGAAATCTCTAGCGGAAGACGGTAATATCGGCTTCCGGGCGTGTCGAGCTTAGGTTGGGAGAGTGGTTCCACCAGATATCCGGGAAGTTTAGTAAGAGTCACGAAAACGTGCCCTCGCAAGGAAGCGTAGGACATAATCAGCAACCCATCGGATTTTAGAAAGGTATAGATTGGTCCGTTGATATTCTAGGGAACGCGACTGGATTGTCGTTGGAAGGAGGATCACAGAGGTTGCCGGACGGTATGTCACTAATGATCTGGGTGAGAAATTGGGGAGTCTAAAGCATAGATGGGAGTTCAGATGTACCACTGCCGCGATCTGTTAAGAGGGGTAGTCGAGAGGCCGATTTTTGGGTGCAAAAGTTTGCCTGCACTAACAGCAAATTGGGTGGGGACCTTACCTATAGAGAATGCCGACGTCCTGCAGTGTGCTCTCATCCACACGGCATGACCCAAGGGATTCAAAAGCCATCCCGCTTAATCCCTCCCACAATAGTCCCAGTAGGTAGTCCTTGCACCAGTACCTTCACCTCGGCCATGATCACCCTCATCGCTAAATCAGTCCAGTCGCCAGCGATATCTCCTAAGTGGCTCGTATCTTTCAAGTGCTTCGTTGTTGGGAACCGAGGAGTTGCAACTGTCTTTGAGACCGGTTGAACCAAGTACCAGTTTGTCTTACCGTATGGTTTCAATTCCTCTCCAGCCGTTGAGCAATTTCAAGCCGCTTAACTGCTCGCTGGCGCCGTCAAGCTGAACAAAGCCGTTTATCACGTATACCTACCGCAAACTTTCCGTTGATGGAAATGGGCTTGCGCCGCTAAGTAGGGCTGACATGGACGGGCCGAGCCAGGCGGGACTTTTCTCTAAGCATGGGTCCTGCCCCTGCGAGGTGCCTCGGGTCATCTGTGTCATCAATCTAGTGACGCATTTATGTGGCGGCCAATTGATGGGCAAGCGCAGTTCCCGTACGGGTACCCATACACAACCTCCTTCTGGGCTGCAGCACCCAATGAGCTGCGGTAATTCAGCGTGTTCAGGTAGCTGGAGGGTAGGTCGGTCGCACCCTCTCGACATTAGCGACGGTCTTGCCGAGTGATGCTCCAGTTGCAGTTGCGATTTGCGCTCAGGAGGGGATTGGTTGCCGTCCCAAAGGAAGCCTATCACCGTACATTATCACGGCACCTATCTTTTCGTTTCCCATCCAATGATAGCAACAGCGCAAAATCCGACTCAGGGGTTGCGGCAAGGGCATCTTTTTCCGTGACCGACCCCACATTCAGCCCAAGTCGCCGCCGGCATTGCTACCGGTATGGTCGCTATCTCAGGCTGCATGCAGACGAGGTACATACAGACCCATTCAGAGAGGACGGAGAGGTTGGCACACATGTTCCTGCAGACGGGAAGATGTATGTATGTATGTCTGTACTTGTACAATCCAGTGAGATAGTCGAATTCACCGAATTCGCAGTCCGCTAATTCGCCAATTCCCGGGCCCCTCCCCCAGGAGGCGCGACTCGGGTCGCAGCAGCAAGCAGCCATCTCTGTTCTCAAGAGGAAAAAGAGTGGACGCCTTGCCGAGAGCTATCGTACCGTCGCAGGCGCCACAAGGCAGCAACGAACTCGATCCAGGGATTCCAGGCAGGCTGTGACCACCACAATAGCCCATGGCCGTGTCTTGCCCGACCCCTGCGGGCGTGGATGCCATGGTTTCCGAATAGCTCGCAAAAATGGACATCGAACTCTGACCATTTCCGTGCTGATGACGCTCCACATTTTCTCATTTCGATACTACCACTGCAGCTCACCTTTCTCAGCCAATGGCCACTCTTGCCCAGCCCAGCCCCAAGGACAGCTGCTGGCTGTGCCCTGTTCCGAGATGTGCGCCATGCATGGAACATCTGCGGATACTACTACATTCCTGGCTTCTCCACAACTCCATTACGAAAATGGAGTGTCTCCAGGTCTCTCCCGCGTTGCGCGTGGAACTATGGCTGAGCGCCGGCGGACGCTTGTCCCGGAGTATGGGATAGTCCAGGGCCTGGGTTATCAAGATATCATGTAGACCTTGCCCTATTTTACAAAGCCTTGCTGCTCTGGTACTGTACATACATGAGTGGGTGTTCGGGAGTGTTCGAGTCGTCTGCTCTACCGGTAATATCTCTCCCTGGCATCTCTCTACCATCTGGCCGACCCTGAACCGGGCTCTTCCTTACGCCAGCACTTGCGAGACTAGACAGAACACACTTCAACCGTTGGCTGTCCAAGTCGACGTAATGGACCGATCCTCCACTCCGAAGCCTTCGGGGTCATTGCGGGTCAATGGCCAAATGTCCCCTCCGCTGACTCCCGGCATCGGCATCGTCGATAGCCAGGCCCATTTCACAAGTCTCCAGGTGCAAAGGCCAGAATCGCCCGCTCCAAGTTCCTCCCATTCTTCCTCAGGGCAGAGTGCCATGTCCAGCCCCGAACAAAAGCCCTCCTCAACCTTTATGGGGACATCCTTCAACGACTCGCAGCCCCTGGGAATCAGCCAAGACGAGACATATCAAATCCCGATCAACGGAGTCCATGAGCAGGAACCCCATCCGTCGAGCCACACAAGGGCCAAGACACGCTGCTACACTGACGGCCGTACCGAGAGGGCATTTCCCCGGCTGTCCAAGCCCGTCGAGCTCCTCCGAAGCTCCTACGATGTCGTCGTGATAGGGTCCGGCTACGGCGGCGGAGTGGCCGCCTCTCGTATGGCGAGGACCGGCCAATCCGTGTGTCTATTAGAGCGAGGGCGCGAGAAGTGGCCTGGCGAGTACCCCACAGGCTCCCTGGAAGCAGCCAAGGAGCTGCATTGCTCGGGCACGCTCGCCCCTGGCGTGTTGCCCGGCAAGGGTGTCGAGAGCGGTGACCCTACCGGCATGTATCATATGATATTCGGACGGGGACAGAGCGCTATTGTTTGCAACGGTAAGCTGGTTCCCTTAATTCCCAAGAGCTATGTCCTGGAGACTCTAACCGTGCCGGTAGGTCTTGGTGGAACAAGCCTCATGAACGCCAATGTGTTCATGGAGGCAGATAAGGAGACCCTGGCCATGAAAGTGTGGCCCCCTGAGATCCGGAATAATGTGGATGGTCTAGACAAGTGTGAGTCCAGCTCTTCCATCGTATCACAGCACCGCTTTTAGGGATTGATTGTTTTGCTCACGCAAGCCGATACCATCCAGACTACCAGAAAGCAGCAGAAGTACTTGAGCCTGTCGAGTATCCGGCCGAGTGGCCGGAATTGCCCAAAGCGAAGGTGCTTCAGGAGCAGGCAGAGCTCATGGGCTTAGGGCACAAGTTCAAAAGGGTGCGCCAGACGACTCGCTTCCGCAACGGACCGAACAGCTGCGGCGTCGAGATGTCGCGATCGACCCTGACTGGCCAAGACGCGACCGGTATCAATGATGGGTCTAAGAACACCACGCTCGTCACCTACATCGCCGATGCCTGGAACTGGGGGGCCGAGCTATTCTGCGAGTGCGAAGTGCGCTACATTGAGCAGGACAAGAAGGCCGGAGGCTACCGCGTCTACTTTGCATGGCACGGCAGAAATAGGGGTTTGTTCAAGGCTAATCTCCATGGAGACCTCATGTGGGTGCACGCCAAGGAGGCCGTGTTCCTCGGCGCGGGCTCCATCGCCTCGACCGAGATTCTACTACGGAGCAAGGCTATGGGCCTCAAGCTGAGCGACATGGTTGGCCAAAACATGAGCGGAAACGGAGACATGCTTGCCTTTGGGTGAGTTATCAAGACCTTCGATGCACCAGCCTCTACGACACGTTTTTACTGACTATGATCACAGCTACAATACCGAAAAGACCGTGAACGGGATGGGACGACCGTTCCCCTCGCCCTATAACCCCATCGGCCCGACAATCACCAGCGTGATTGACTGCAGGGACGGCCATGAAAACCCACTGGACGGATTTGTGATCGAAGAAGGTGCTGTTCCGCACGCCCTGTCGCATCTATTCCAGGCAATGCTGGATCTCATGGGCGGAACGAAATCTCCTGCCAACGAAACCATCTTCGAGCGGGCCCAGGCAGCCCTGGCACGGTATGGAAGTAGATTCCTCGGGCCCTACTTCAAGAACGGCGCGGTCGAGAGAACGCAGGTGTACCTGATCATGTCCCATGATAGTAAGCCGACCAAGATGTCATACTGGGAGAGCCCACGCCGTACTGACAATCCTGGCAGCTAACCAGGCTGTGTTGACGCTGCAGGACGACAAGCCTATGCTCGAGTTCCTTGGCGTTGCTCGCAGCCACCACGTCAAAAAGCTCCACGATTTTCTCAAGAAGGCTACCGAGCTGGTGGGCGGCACCCTCGTATACAGCCCCTTCTACAAATGCCTGGGACAACAAATTACGGTGCACCCTATTGGGTATGTCCACAACCCACAAGCTATCAGCTTCCACTTGGGTTCAATAGTTTTTGCTAACCGTTAAACCTACCTTGCAGCGGAGCGTGCATGGCCCGAGACAACACCGGTAGAACAGGTGTGACCAACCACGTGGGCCAAGTGTTTACCGGCGACGGCAGTGAGACCTATGACGGGTTGATCGTTACCGATGCCTCGGTGATACCAACGTCATTGGGTGCCAATCCATTTGCCACCATCACCGCCCTCGCTGAGCGTTCAGTCGAGGCATACGCCCAGTCCAAGGGTCTCACCATCAGCCAGGAGAAGAATGGCATCCTCGACCTGCTCGGCGAACCGCAGCATGCTCCTAGGCGATGCAGGCCGGAGCAGAAGCGTGAACACCGTGCGACGGTTGAGGAGCAGGAAAGTATCAAGGAGGCGAACAAGGTTATCCGGACGGCCCGGGACCTCAGCGCGAGCGGCATCGGGTTCACCGAGGTCATGTCTGGCTTCATCCACTACAACAAGAGCCTCGTTGAGGACAAGCGGGAAACGTATGAACTCGCCCACCGGATTGCCAAATCGCGGTGCGAGAGTGCTCGCTTCTTCCTGAGCGTGCAAGCATTCAACACGAAGGAAATGGTCAGGCACTCACAGCACAGGGGCATGTTGACCGGTACCTTTGTGTGTCCGGCCATCCCTGGATCACCGTTCATGGTGCAGCGGGGAGAGTTTAATCTCTTCATTGTCAACAGCAAGGCGCCGGGTACGCGAAACCTGACCTACGACTTCGACATGATTGGCGTCGACGGCAGGAAGCTCCACTTCCACGGCTACAAGGTGGTCGACTCGTCGGTGGCTCTGTCTCCTTTCCAGTTCTGGAGGGCTACCAGCACTCTCTATGTGACTGTCAGCAAGCACGTGCCGGGCATGTGTGCCGATCGAGACGACGAAGATGCCTGGCGCAAGGGCGCCGTCCTCGCCAAAGGCATCATGCAGATCCAGCCCGCCGATTTCCTTTCGCAGATCAACACCATGACGTCGACTGGCACCAGTCTCGTGAAGAAGGCTGTTAGCGCAGCCAGCTTCCTGACCTACTTCACCCGCAAGTCACTGTCGCTGTTCCTGGCGCCTCTCACCCCACTGCAATACCCGACTCCGACGTTCAGCGGATTCATCAACCACACGCCGCCGACCAAGTCCGTCACGGTGGTGGCCGCCGACGGTGTTAGCTCGCGTTTGCACATTTGGGAGCCAACACACGTTCCCGGCGGCGATCCAAAGAACATCCGGGATCTGTTCATGATCCCAGGCGCATCGGTGGACCACCAGATCTTTGCCCTGCCTACCATCCCCTACAACGCGGTCAACTACTTCACCCGCGCCGGCTACCGCGTCTTCGTTTCTGTCCACCGCATCGGCCAGATCATGGTCGCGGGCAACATGTGGACGACGTACGACGCGCGCCTCGACCTGAAGGCTTGCCTTGAGTACATCCGCCGGACGCGCGGCCCGCACAAGATCTACACCATCGCGCACTGCATGGGCAGTGTGGCCTTTGCCAGCGGGCTGCTGGACGGTACCATCCCTTCCGACTGGATCCTTGGCATCACCTGCAGTCAGGTGTTCATGAACCCGGTTTGGGGGCCGACCAACATGGCCAAGATCCTGGCGGGGAAGCCCCTGGTCCCCTTTGACAAGCTCTACAATCTCGCCGCGGGCAGCTGGTTCAGCTGCAGCACATGCCCCCGCGACACGCTCGTCCAGAAGGCGCTGAACCAGCTCCTACGCGCTTACCCGCAGCCGCGCAGAGAAATGTGCAACAACGCGGCGTGCCACCGGACGTCTCTCGTCTTCGGCCGGTGCTGGAACCACGGCAACCTGAACGAAGCAACGCACCGGCAAATCGACCGCTTTTTCGGCGGCGTCAACATGCGCATGCTCGACCTGCTCATGCGCATGGGCTTCGAGGGCCACGCCATGTCCAACGGGCCTCTGTACGAGCCGCTCGACACGCCCGAGAACGTCGCCCGTCTGCGCGGGATCCCATTCCTGCTCTTTGTCGGCCGCGACAACGCCGTGCTCTCGCCCGAAGCCACCGAGCGCACCTATGAGACGCTCTGCAGCGCCTTTGAGGACGGCGAGTACCGCCGCAGGGTCGTCCCCGGCTACGGCCACCTCGACTGCTGGATGGGTAGGAATGCGTGGAAGGACGTGTACCCCTTTGTGAGGGAGGAGGTGGACCGCGTGACGCGGGGCGAGGCGTACCGGTTTGAGGAGCCCGATGATGAGTTCAAGAGGAGAGTCCATGGAGGGGAGTTTTTGTATTGATATTGTACAAGGCAACGGGTCTGGGTTTGGAGTTTTTGAATACCCTCTCTGCTTTTCAGACTTGGTTGGATTTTGTGTTTTTGCACATGTATCGAGGATTTTGTCGATTCTGCGGGGTGGGTTTCATACCGTTACATATATATATGGTATATCCTGGCTGCTTTCATGATGGGAGTATGATGGGATTTAGGAGAGCGTCAGGCAACTGGTTGGTTATCGGAACGACTTAGCGGTTGCTATGGTTTCTTTTGGCAGGACCAAAAGATTGAAGAATATCCTTGTAGTCAATCTATAAGGCCGATGGGTTCCTTCTTGCCTTGTAGGTCACCGTGTCGAAGGCATTTCCATCCTTTTGATCTTTCCGAGCTGTACACTTTTGACAGCCCCCAGCACAATCGGCTCTATCCATACTTGCTGGAAGCGGGATAATAGCATTACGATAGACCGCTACACACACATCCTCCCAATCATCCTATCATGTAGTAGTAAATAAATATGCAAACATGCCCGCCAACGCCTTTGCATCCATCCGTCTTATGAACCGAACGACCCTCACACCCTCACTCAAACCTTATGCTTACCAAATAGCGGCCTGATCAAAATCGAACCTCTTCAGCTCCCGATTGGCGTCCTCGAGGTCCTTCTTCGCCTTCATGCGCATGTAAAAGATGGGACAGTCCTTGCTGCTGCAAATGACCTCGCAGTGCAGGCTGCCCTGGCAGCGCTGGCACTGCGTCCACAGCCGGCCGAACCTGATCTCGAGATCCGAGACCTTGTCGAGCGTCTTCTTGTAGAGCTCGCCGACGCGCGGGGCATCGTCGGCGCACACGGCGCCCATGCTCTCCTCCTTGCCCGTCAGCGGCTTCTTGCAGCCCATGCACGTCTGCGTCTTCTTGGCAAACTTCATGAGCCCGCCGACGGTCGGGGCCGCGACCGCGATGGAGCGCGTGTGGTCGCCCGTTAGGAGCGACTTGGCCTTGGTCTCGCCGAGGATAGGCTCGAAGATGCGGCCGAGGGGCTTGGCCAGCTGGTTATCGAGGTAGTATTTTGTGTCGATGGGCACGTTGTGCTCAAGGACGTAGATGGGGTCTTCGGAGCGCTCGAAATTCTTTGACCCGGCAGCGCCCTTCACCATGACGTAGGCCACACGGTCGCCGAGCGCCGGAGCTGAACCGGCATCTCGCTTCTTCATGCGCTGCGCGAGCTCGACGTGGGCTTGCTTCGCGGCGTAGTCATCCTTGGTCAGCGCCTTGGTGATCACGAGCTTAGACATATCAATCTTGTTCTGCAGGAGATCTGCAATCGTGTCCTTGACGTATCTAGGAATCGAGTCAGCATAGTGTTCATCTTAGCCGAGCTCTGCAACATACTCCTGGGCGCCTGGCACATCCTGGTCGATGAGGATCATTCTGAGCACCTTTTCGATGACGGTCTGCACTAGAAGACAGTTGTCACGTCGAACCGTTTCGATACCCTTGGTGTCCATCTTGTCGTACTTCTCCGGCTTCGTCCAGTACAGCCCAGCATAACGCTTCTTGTTGATAAGCAGGTAGGGGAAGTAGACCTTCTCGAACTCTAGCTTAATGGGTTTGATAAACTTGCCCGAGACGAACTGGGCCGCATCCTCGCCGAGCTTCATGGCTTCGGCCAGGTCCTTGGTGCCGAATTTGACCATGACGGAGTCGGTATCGCCGTATATGACTTGAGCATCGTGAGAATAGCCATTCGCAACGCAGTATCTCTGTTCCACCTCTTGCTTGGTCCTTTCGATCATCTGACGGCCAAAACTCGTCGTGCTACTGGCAATCTCCAGACAGGGCAGTTTACCGTTCGTTGCACCCGTAAGACCGTACACAGAGTTGGCGCTAATCTTCAAGGCCAGCTGGCGACCGTTCAGCACAGCCTTTTTGAAAGGATCTGTCTCCGCAGCTAGCTCGCGCTTCGCTTGCTTCCTGGCCGCGAGCAGCTCCTCAAGAATTTGGGCCAACAGCCCTTTTCGCTGCTTGACCGTGACGAACATGTCTCCGTTAGGGGTGACAATGTAGTCCTCGTCCTTCTTCAAGCCCCACTTCTCAACATCTTTCTTCTTGATCAGTGTGGTATAGCAAAGATTGTGTGCTTGCATGATGCTGGGGTATAGGGACGCGAAGTCCAAGGTTGCGATGGGTACGTCGTAGTAACCTCGGGTAGGCTCGATGACGGTGGCACCTTCGTATTGCTCTTCAGACGACTCTGATTTCAGGTTTGGAATGACCAGCTTTTGTTCCAGAGCCTTGCGGAACAGCTGGCTTAAGAACTTGACCTGCTGACCCCTGGCAAGAAGGAAGTTGAACGGGACACCTGTGACTCTTGCCATTTCAGTGTAGTTTTCGAGGCAGGACAGCTTGTCCATGAGCCGCTGAGGCAGATAGGCATCCTTCAGACAGTACAAGGCCAGCCTGCGTCTCGATTCTGGAGTGCCTTCGAATAGCTCGGTAATCATGGAGTGGTGGACATCCTCCTTCTGCTCGCCTAGAAAATGCGAACAGACAGAGTTCAACGTGTAACTGCGGAGCTGGTGATCGCGTTGAATGAGCTGGAGCAGGTCGAGCTGGAGCCGGCCGTTTGTGTTGGTGGCCTTGGTGTCTCGGTTGCCCATCTGCTTGCTGGAGAAGTTTGTCTCCTTTGACACGGATTTCACGAATGTACGGGACCAGTACTCAAATCCGTGGACCTTCAGGTGCTTGGCGCGATCAAGAAGATACGGAAAGTCAAAGTTGGCAATGTTGTAGCCAGTGATGATGTCTGGGTCGACCTTCTCGAGAAAGTCTCTCCATGCCTTGAGCATTTCCCCCTCGTCGTCATATGAAAGGATCTCGGTCGCGACGATGGGACTCGTCTCATCAAGACAAAAGACATTTCGAACGAATGGATTTTTCTCACCGTACTTGGTGACAATGTTCGCGATTTGTATTACTGAGTCGTGGTTGGCTTCGGGGAAAATGCCCTTACGGCCGGCGCATTCGATATCGAACGAAAGGATTCTCAAAGGCGCCATCTTTGACCACTCGCCGACCGGCTTGTGGGCGATCAAGTCTCTGTAGCTGATCTCGGCCTCGATCTGGCAGTTGGACTGCTTTTGGGCGACAAGCTTGTACCGGCCCGCCGGCGCTTCAACCCAGGCCATGCCGGCAATCTAGAGAGCCTGTCAGCTTCCGGTCTTCCGATCCCTGATAACGGGTACGGAAACGTACCGAGCAGTCAACCATGAATCGGAGTAAGTATTGGAGGTTATCGTAGGTCATGATGGTGCCGTCGACGCTCTTCCACATGCCCTTCCAGTTGGCCTCGCCTCTTTCGATGGCTGTGCGGACCTTGTTGATGAATTTGGGGTCTGTCACGGTAATTTTGATGTATGGATTCTGGACATTGCCCTGAAATCCATATATGTTTTCTCGCATGGTCAAGCTGACGGCATGAATGACGGTCTGGTGCATGGCGAGCTGTGTCTCCAGATAGGCCTGGAACCTAGGGCAATCTTCGGGAGTAAAGGACACGGGAGCCTGGACATACAGGTAGTGCTTGAAGTCCTTGACGTGCAGCAAAACAGAGTTGCCCTTGTCGGTAACGCCAAAGAGCTTGACAGTGGTCTGGCCGCCGGCGAGGGTACCTTCCTCAGCCTCGATCGCCTGGAAGCAGAGGTTGTCGTTGGTTGGATGGAAGTCAGTTGGCACTGGAGGGCGCTCCCAGTTCTGGTGCTTCTCGGCGTTGTTTTGCTTTAGGTCCGAGATATCCTGGCTCATGCGCTCAAGAACCTCGGTCTCAAAGGTGCTCTTTTGCTGGCTCGAGGCCAGTTTGCCCTTGCCGTCACTTTGGGAGCTGGCGAAACGGGCCGCAGGGGATGAAGAGGGGATTGAATCGATACGCCGCTTCTTGGAGGAGGCTGATGCTGGCGTCGCGGCGATGTTGCGACGGGCGCTCGACGCCTCGCCGAACACCCGCTTCTGCGGGAGCGTCACGGCGGGCATTGTGATGTTTGTGCCAAGATCTGCCGGGATCGGATGGTTTGGAGGGGTAAGAAATGATGACAACTTCTCAAGTCATGGGACAAGAGGGTGCGGAATTATGGCATTGTTTGCTGATCCCGAAGAAGTCGGGGGGTCTGTTTGAGTTGCAGGTCAAATTCACGTTCTGGTAGAAGTTGACGCGCTGCTGGGCCCTTGTTACGTGACGGCCCCACATTCTAGGCGCGACCTTTAATTGAGCAGCGGCGTCACGTCCGTACAGTGTACTGTACGTGGGTTCTTTGTACTGTACGAGCTCATTGAAGTTCTGTATCTTCCTTCCACATTGATCGCATCACAAAAAGACGCTGAGTAGACTCAGTTATGATGATTGATAATAAACCAAGTAAAAATATTTGGGAGCGAGTCTTCTGCGAGAAATTCGTTTCCCCAAGCTGTTATGTTTGAGATGGATCTTGGTGATATCAGCACGTGAGGTCGCGTTGCTCACCCCTAACCCTGCGGCCTGCGCAGCTTTCTACCCCGCCAACCAGACGCATCAAGCACCGCCAACTCTTGTTTACTCAATCACTGCCAGCGACTGTGTAAACAGGACTGCCGACGGATCATCCTCAATTCCTCGACCATCAGCTCTAGGAAACATTTTCTACAATCAGATACCGCGCACTTGCACTGCCAAATACCCCTAATGGCCGACAGACATGCGACATCCTCCCGCGCGCTCGCATCCGGCATCTCCAAACCGCGAGGAACCTCAACGGCATCGCAGCACAGTGTGCGCCGCAACCTCTTCCAAAGCCAACTCACTCGCCGACCAACCGCCAGCTCCTCGACGACCTCAGCCGAGACATTGCCGCTAGATACTCATCATGTTCAGCAAAAGGAGCACCACCCGCACCCGCATCAGTTCCATCATCTACCGCTCGAGTCCGGCAGCGGGCCTTCTCCCCAAGAAGACATTGTAGTACGCGACAAGAACGGCGAGATCGAGCTCGGCGATCCGCCGACTCCCCCGATCGATGATGCCGAGGAGCTGATGGCGCTCGAGGCGCGGCACGACGACGAAAAGGAGAGGCAGCGCTTGGCCGACGCCGTGAAGCAGCACCAGATTGGCCAGAACAGCGTAGTTGTGCCCGCCCAACCTGAAGGCAAGGAACCACTTTACCACCCCCCGACCGGCGCCTGTTTCGCCAGAACCAGACGTGTCGTACTATTTAGTTGTCCCCTTGGCTAAGACAAGACATATTTTGCATCGACTACAGAGCTTCTCGACGCGGTCAGGGCAAGCTTGAGGGCAAAGGTTGCCGCGTTAGCAGAGGATAATTGGATGTTTGAGCGCGAAGTGCTACCACACCGACATTGAGCAAGTAGGGAGGCTTGGAGCTGTTGAACCGCGAGATGCGCAGGCTTTCTTGCACTCAGAGAACCACCTATGCAGCTCCGGCTCTACCCCTGCCGGATCTACAGACTCCCTTGTGGGCACTCAATCCAAGCCTTCCGCCGCTGGCGCCTCAACCCGACGAGGCGCCGGCCCGCTGGGAGCACCACCACCACCACCAAAGAAGCTACCCATCATATCGAGCAGCGGATTGCTTTGCCTCGGCCGCTGGATACCAAAGTACATCTCGGCAATCATCTCGAGCGCCGTGTCCCAGACCCCGCCGAGCTCAGCAATATTGGCCGCGTACTTGGAGCGCAGCTGTCGGAACAGGTCGGGGCTGCCCTTTTGAACGGCAAGGAGGAGCAAGCCGAGGAAGTTAAGCAGAGGTAGGCTTGGGAAGATACGCACGTCGGAGCTCTGCGAACTGACGTCCTGCACCCCCAGGCTCTTGTTGTCGGCAACGAGGGTGCTGACAAAGGTTCGGTATGACGCATTGGCGGCGCGGACGTTTGCCACGAGCAGATAAGGGAGGACGGCGCGCGCGCAGTAGAGAGGTGCTGTGTGCGACTCATCCTCCTTGTACCATGTATACTCCATGCGGCTGAGCACCTCGGGGGACTCCTTGGTGCCTAGTATTAGGTGTCGCTCGGCATCCTCGGCGTCGTGCTCTTCGGCGTAGAGCGAGCCGACAACATGGTGCAGCTCCGGATCGCCGGCCGGATAGTCGCCGAACTTCTTTGACCACCTGTGGTGTGTAATAGCTACGGTCAGCGTTTGCTTCCACCTTAAGAAAAACACACATAACGACGCCATAAAATAAGGGAAAGCCCTCACTCAATCATTTCCTTGATATATTTCTTCCTCATGGGCTCCTCCGGGTTGAACAGGCGCAGGCATGTGAGCAGCTTGCCCTTGGACGCGCCGTCGGGTCGCTGCTCGGCCTGACGGTACACGTCGACCAGCAGGACGGCCAGGTCCCCGCCGCTGCCGCCCTGGCCCGCCCGCAGCAGTGTCTGCGCTACATTGGACAGTATGTCAACGGCGGCCGCCCAGTTCTGCTGCTTGGTGTAGCGCGCCGCCACCAGCCGCGTCTCCTGCGCCGCCTCGTACTGCTCCTCGAACTGACCCTCGGCGATGCGCTTCTGCAGCCGCGCTATGATCTTTTCGATCTTGTTTCCTGACATGGCTGGCGGCTGTGTTCGTCTGATATGGACTGTCCCTATTTCTATTTTTCTGCTGCTTCTCTGCAATTGGATCGGTTAGATGTGCTGGCCGGCCGGAAGGGCTGCGGATCTCGATTTGAGTGCGCGCGGGGTAGATTTGCGTTCTGCAGCGGAGACAGGGGCGTTCTTGGTTGTGTAGTGAACTCTTGACAGACCGTCTGAGAAGTCCTCCGGGTACGGCAGAGCTGTATCGGCGAGAAGTCTGTTTGTGAATGTTCAGTTGGGCTGTTCGAGTTCTGTCAAGAGCGGGAAGCTTGAGCTCCTGCTTGGTTGACCGTTGGAAACCATTGCTATGGGGCAGGCCCCGCATCGATTTGCTCGATGGGATTCCGCCAGCTGCGTCACCGCAGTGGGGCAGCGGGCAGCAAGGGACAGGGGTGGGCTAACGTTAGGTGCCGGAGGGGCCGGTAGCTGCTGTGAAACAGTCTCAACGAACAAGACGAGAACATATTCCCAAATAAGCCTTCCTCAAGGCAACACTAAGCGACGTTGGTGTAATGGTTAGCATCTACGCTTCCCATCTTACCTGGTTTGCGTAGGATTCGAGTTCGATTCTTGAACGTCGCAAAATAAGCTCTATTTTTGCTGCAGCAGGCAAGGGGTGCTATTCCTAAGTGATGGGATTGTTGTATTTTGGGTGACAGCAATGGAGAGGTTCATCCGATGATAGACCTCCACTGTACGAACAAAGACTCTCTTCAGGCATAAGCTGAACTTACTGTTCCTCAAGTACTCCGTACGAACATGATACTCCGTTGGCTGTATCTTCACTACCAACACAACACTTAAAAGCAGTTCAATGCTGCACCGTCTTGGGAGCCTGCCTTGCGCTAAGGGCCTATGTAGGCATGTATTCTCCCGAGTTCTTACAGGAGTCGTCCCCTCGAGAGTCCCTGTCCTCAGAGAGGAGATGCCCCGAATACTCTCAAGGAGGTTGCTCAGAATACCTAGGTAATACAAAACGAATCCACACCTGATGGTGGAATGCTAACGCTAAATCCGCATGGGATACGTGAGGGAGTATTCCTTGTGGCAAAGTTGGAAATCTACCGCGCGACTTCGTACAGGCGTTACAGGGTATCATCCATCACGCGTCCGGTGCAACTCCCAACGCTTTACCAAGGCGTAACGGCATAACACATGCTTCGTCCAAGTAGACGTCTTCATTACTGAAGCCATCGGTGCCAGAAGCTCTTCGTCCTCGTGTAATCATCTCACATAATCTATGATCATGTCATCGCAGTCCTTTCTTTCCTGCGGCCCGTTTCTCTCAGCCAACATCGCCCGAGTTTCACGCAACAACCTCCACATATGGCGGATTGAGCATGCCAGGGAAAGGCGGGGGACCGGACACCTGTGACCATTACCTCAAACCTTCCAGCCTCCGTCGCTTCTAAGCGCGGTGAAGCCGGTCATCGATACTGTCCTCTGTGCTGTAGTTGGCGAGGACATTCGGTTCTGCGGCAGCGCCATTGGTCATACCGTTACTCGGCCTTGTGATAAACGGCGAGTTTGGGCGCTCCTGCATCTCTGGGCCCTTTGAACCGCTGTTGCTTTTTATATCCTGGAGACTTACTTGGGCGAGCCGTGCCGCCTCGGGGTCTAGTGCCGGAGAAACATCTGTCTCCATGTCGACGTCGCTATCGTAAGGCGGAGTCGGTAGGCTTGCGCGTAGATCCGAGCTCGGTTCCCTCGGCTGGTCCGACATTTCCACAAGGTCCGGCATGTCATCTTGGTCCCCTGTCCCAACCGTGATGAAATCGTTCACGGGTCCAAACATTGAATCGTCATCGAACGGCGCGTCGCGCATATCATCGTCCAGATCCCCAACCGATGCCTGGTTAGTCGCCATCGAGTCCATACTCGAAGATCTCTGAAGCCGTTTCGATTGTGAGTCCGCCTCGAGCCCGGCGCTTCGCCTTTTTTCGGGCGTGTGGGGCAGCTGCTCCGACTGTGAGAGTTCCTGCTTGAAATGCCGGTTGTCATGCTTGACGAACGACTTCAACGCATCTGGAAGGGGTATTCTCTCTTCTTGTAGAGCCTTATCCGTCGCATACACCAGCACAGGCATGGAGCCGATCCCGCACCCCTCTCGCACGACAGTTTCGTAGGATACCGGCTGGACATAACAGTCAACCACAGCCCGAGCCATCTCGCAAAATGGAGCCACGTGTAAAGACATGGGAACAACTTACCGTATGCTCGACCGCTTGGCCTTCTGTCTTGTAAGAGAGCTTCAACCACTGACTTTCTCCAGACCCGGACTCGTCATGGGTAGCTATGGACTCCTGCTCCCGGTGCGGCGCGTTCACTCGTAAAAAGACCGTATCAGGGTCACTAACCACTCCGCGAAGCGTGTACTTGTGGGTTGGGTTCCACTTCTCATCGGCAGTTGGGACCGTCAGAAGGGCCGACATCTTTCGGTTGAGAGCTTCAAGTTCCCTCCTATGGGGCAACACGGTGCCTAACACGTCCTTGTTAGTGGGATCTGTAATTCCTAAAGCTGGGGCTCCACGTACTGTTCATAACATGGTCTATTTTGGCCAGCTCCTCTTCGAGCTCTTGAATCTTGGCGCTATAGTGACCGACAACTTTAGCCTCATCAGGCGGTAGACCAGGCTCGCCAACGTGCTCCGGCAGGTAGTAGTCATCACTCCTATCAGGAGACGCCTGCTCATGTTCCCTCCAGAATGCCCGATTTTGAATGTTCCGAATGTTTTCTTGGCACCTGCGTATTGCAGCCTTGATGAGTAGCCTACGATCATAAGTTTTCTTTGTCCGAGGATTGACCCATTTTGTTAGGAGTTCCTCTCTCCGGAAGCTCGTGTCGAATGCCGCCGTGACCGCCGTGATATCCCGTTGCAAGTCCCAGATGTTGCTCCCATGGTCTTTCAAATATCTGTCAATGTAGAATGTCTCGGGGATCTCGAGCGCCTTGCGTAGCCCGTCCTCCGCCTGCAAACGGAATGTTAGAACCTCTGAGGCGCTGGTTATCCAGGCCATCCGGGCCAGATTTGGGGTTTCCATCGCTTGTCTGGCTTCTGAAAAGAAGACGGAATCAAGCACATTATATAAAGTCTTGAAAGCGGCATCCGGCCCAATTTGAAGATCCAACAGAGCGAAATGATCTACGCTTTGGAGGCTTGCATCCTCAAATGCCACGACTTCAACGCTGGAGTCGAGTACTTGAACATTCTCCATGTTGCCCGTCTCTTGTTGCATGCTGAAAAGGCTTTGGAAGAAGTCTTTTTCCGTGTCGTTTGTCTGCTGCATGGGCGGATATCGCGCGCGAGAGAGCAAATCAGCACTGCCATAACTCCGTTCCGTGGCCTCAAGGAAGGCCATCAGTCGGTGAAGCTCGTCGGACCAGGGTGGCTGTGCCCAAGCTTGATCCTCGTTTTCTCGACCAGGGGGAAGGATGGCTTCACCTTTCCACCAGTTACTGTTGTTGCCGTACCCGTACGCAGGCGGTTCGCCGGTTCGAAGTAATACATTGCGAACAGCAGGAATTTCGTTGAATATGGTTAGAAGGGCTCCGATACGATGCCTGTCCCAACTGTCCGTGGAACATCGGAGTAAAACGGGCATCCCCGGCTTCCTCGCCCTCATAGACGGGCCCGGGTCTCTCCGATCGTTATGGAGGCGAACCATGGCCCACTCATCCGTCGCATAGTCCGGCCGATTGGCTGGGCCAAAGTATACCGAAGATTCTCCAGTGGAAGTAATACCCGATTGCTGCGGCAATGGTGGAGGCCTAGCCGGCGGTGGCGGGAGTGTTGGAGGGCTTTGCACACCCGACGCATGCAAGGATTCGGTGATAGCTCGCTGTAACTGGGCCTCCTCTTCCTGTCGGCTGCTCGGCGTGTCTGTGGTGTACTCGTTGGCAGTCATATCCACGAGTCGGCTCATAGGCGATCTATTGTTCGTTCTTGACGGCGGCCGCGAGGGAGCACCGGCACCATAGAAGTTATTCGGCTCGGTCCCATATATGACTGGGTTGTCGTCGGGTGGTTGGATCAGGAAGGCTAGACGGGTCGCGGTCAGAGGGGGACTTCGTGTGGTTTGCGGAACGGGTGTCTCACATGGGCCAGTATTAGTATCTATCTGATTGGGCTCACCCTCGCGGTTAGAGGAAAAAGCGCTCTCGTCCCAGCCATATTTTCGTTCAAACTTTGAAAAGGTCAGCACACGAAGACCGGACTACTGATACCAGGCGCAGCGAGCCGACCTTGTCTGCTGAGTCGAAATATTCGTTGATGACGGACTCGACATTGTAACTGGAGGCCTGAAGCGCGTTGGCGATTATGGCACGGTCACAGAATCCGGTGATAGCAGCGACCGTGTCGACTTGCGACTCATCGGGGAACGACATATTTGGCTTGTCCTGCCGCGGCGCTAGCTGCACCGTCTGAGGATGTCAAGTCTGTTTGATCTGGAGGTGTCAAGACGCCATCGGTGGGGTCTGGACGATGGCAGGAAGCGTGGCAAGTCGGCAGTGGGTCGGGGACAAGTTAGTTGAGTAAAGCAAGAGTGATACCGCAGCTCTCGAATTGCAGCTTAGGAGAATATTAAGATGGCTACTGAAGGTGCTAGAAGTCTAAGATTTTGATACCCGCTTTGCCGAGGCTGAGTCGACCAGTTCCATTGGGCGGCGGTATCTGGTGAGGAACTGAACTGCTCAAGCTGCAGGAAGGGCGTTGTTGACTAAAGAGCGCAGCTCCGACATGTCGCTGTTGCTGAACATAGGTTTGAGTTTCTTTGCGATCCAAGACATTGAACCTGGTTGCTGGTTGTCACTTGGCAGTGCAACGCCTGAAGTGTCAGTGGCCCCTGTATTGAGCTATCGTGCACGGACTACAAGCCCCCAGACGTGCAGCATGCGCTTGCCCCGCGATATCCATAAAGGAGGGGCAGAAACTTACCGTAATTACCCTGTAGCTCTCTAAATACATGCACAAGGGAGGTAAAGTGTCGTAACATACGGTATGTACATACGGTACGTACGTTACTGTAGTGTACAGTACCTCCCGATGTATGCCCTTTACAGTACCTACTTTACAAAGTAGAGCCGCCTCTGAACAACCAACAAGCTTCAGGCGGGTATAAACAGGAATGCAGTGGTCACACTGCCCTGCTGTTGTGAAAGACTATCAACTTGGCGAATCTATTAATGCAAGTCATATCCGAAACTCACATCTCAAACCTAATCACTTGGAACATCAAAGGTGACGGTACTGTATAGTGTAAGCGGGGAATCAAAGAACGAGGATTACCTATGGACTACTAACTGAGGCTGTCTCGGGCTGGCAGGTAACCGTCGGTAAAGGTGAAACGACAAGAGGATGACGCACGGAAACGAGAATATCTCACTCGTGCGTATTATCATCAGAGGGTTCAATTCAAGAAGCCAGTCTAATACTCCTATGCCGAACCTCCAAGCTTTGGTCCAGCAAAGATATCGCCAAGCCTCCTGAGATCGCTGTGCTCCGGTGACATGACACCCCGACCCGGAGCAAGCACTCCCGCTGAAGCCCAGGTTCTAAATCCATCCAGATCCCTGCGTTTCCCAGACGCGGAGATCCCGTAGAACGCCGGCCTGTGGTGGTCGCCAACGCTATGCATGTGAAAGATTGAGTAGGGCAAAGAAAATAAAAACAAGGAAGGAAAATGTGAATGGTGATCAGGGGGGACATGGGGTCGCTGATTGTGAGCAGTTTCACAAGATCTCGTCCTGCTCGCCCTCGTCTTCATCGCTGCCTTCGTGCTCCTCTTCCTCCGCACCATCATCATCTTCGAAATCACCCATCTCGTGATCATCGCCCTCATCGCCGGTATCGCTGCCTCCAAAGTCGAAGTCGCCATCACTCTCTGCCCAAAAGTCGTCATCATTCTCGGGCTTCGGGGGCGGTGTAGAATCGAAGCTTTTGGGCATCTCGAACCCAGCGGGAATATCCTTTTTGGACAGCTCGACCGTCTCACGCGCTTTCTGGTTGTACTCAGCCCGATGATCGCGGTACAGGACGCCGGCGTCAACGTTGGCAGGGGAATTGATCTCAGGGTCGTCGAGCAGCAGCAGAACGGATCGCAGAACGCTCTCGACACCCTGCAGCGGGGACCAGCGCTCGCTTGCGTCTTCGCCCGACATGAGATCCTCGCCTGGCGTATGCAGAATCGAGATGCAGAGCTGGCCATCCGGGTAAATGTTGGGGTGCGTGATGGGGATCAAGAAGCGGAACTTGGGCGGCTGATACGGGTACTCCTCGGTGAAGACCATCTCGGCCCTAAAGTAGCCGCCGTTGAAGGCGCTGTCCGAGTTGATGACCATGAGCGCAAAACGCCACTTGAGAATGTTGGTTGGCTCCTGTGAAGGGAAATAATATAGTCAGTTCAGGGTTGCTATAGACAAGTTATAGCACGCGGCAAGCCTACATCTTCAAAGTTGATCCACTTCTCTTTCTGCAGCGCTTTCATCTCACTCATGAGCCGGGTCTTCGCGCCCGACACAGGCGCGACCACGGTCGGTCGAGGCATCGTGACGAGGGTGGCAGCGTAACGAGATGTGAGATGTGAGATGTGCGTGTGAGACAACACTCCCAAGTCGTAAGGTCAGCGTGCGCGGACTGCCTCAGGATTCGCACTTGTGAGTCAAGAAACAGGCGAAGAAAATAAGGGCTCGCGAAGAAATTTCGAAAGAAGGGGGAAAGGGGATAACGGCTCGCGAAGAGGTTCGAGATCTCTTGAGAGAAGGCGTGCGCTCGAGGAGGCGGCGGCGGCGAAAGCGGCGGCGAATTAGGTGAATCAGTGAATAGCGTCACCCTATTCGCGACGTGAATGCTTACGCAGGGAAGATCGGAAGATCGAGGTGTGAGAAAATCGTCAACTGGGAAAATGTAGAAGGAGCTGGGATCTGCCGCTAGGGCTGTCTATATACCGTACCTGCCTCCCCACGTGTCGAAATTCCGTTGTTTCTTTATGCCTGGATCTTGCAGCTGCAGACCAAAGAGCAACTTCAACCCAACGTTCCTGAAATCGCCGATCCAGCAACATGACCCTTCCCTGGCCAAAAGTCGTTCACTTGACCACAGGGGTTTGGTGCTCGCCCCTAGCTGCGGCCTCGCCACGGCCCCACTCTCACTGCAGCCAGTGCTTGATAAGCTTGTCCGGACCCTTGCTCCCCTTGTCAACGCCTGATGTGAGCTGGATCTGACCTCGTGATGTGGATGGGATGTGAAATGGACCTTTTGAAGTCCATTGCATTCTATGCACATGTACACTACGAACCTAACCCAGTCATAGAATTCTCAAGGCTGCGTCTCTTACAAGTTCTCAACTTCATACACAGATTTCTCTCATCACAAGCAGACACTGTACGATCTCTTTCTACTCTGTACTGCGCATCGGAATGCAGTCTGTGATGGAATGTGATTGACATACCTACAAAGTACAAAGACCCAAGCAGTAATGCAATCATACCAGGGACCTAGTCTGGCTTCTTGAGCCATACACGGCCAAATCTTATGCATACGGGTATATAGGACAGGCACTCCCTATGCCACCGTTTGATGCTGTTCCGGGAATCCACCTCCAGAACTTACTTACACTTGAAGTCCGCTATCGCGATCTATCCCGGGTATCATCAACCGACACAACATGTACTCCTCCTATACATCATGCCCGCGAGTTGGGGCCAAAGATGCTCGCAGATGACAAGATGAGGGACCCGAGTATACTCCAGATAGAAACCACCATGAAAACCACGAAACACTGCGAAAGGAATTCAATCTAGAGGCCTTGGGCCCAACTTTCAAGACCCCGGAGATGAGGACGACGGGCGCCTCGGCTGTTTCGACTGCTGTGGAGCAACCTATCCCCCAAGGTCGTAGTATATGCACTTTCCCGTCCTGAAATTGTACACGAACGCATGGCCCGGCCCGCGCTTGCTTTCCCACTCCTCCCTCCATCCCTTGAGCATGTCATGTATCTCCCGCACGTACTTCTTCTCGACCGTGCCAACATTCTGCTCCACCTTGCGCCAGCTCTCCGGGTCCGACAGGCTGGTGGAATTGATCATGTCCAGGACCGCGTCGGATGTCTCGATGGCGGCAATGCGCCCTTCTAGAAAGCTCTGCACCAGTCGGGATGCGCTCGCCTGCGCTTGTTCGACCACGGCTCGCCGATTGAACTTCTTGCTCTTTGTCTGTGCCACTAGGACATGGACGTCCTGCTCGTGGTCGCCGCCGACACCACTACCGCCTGCCACGGCGCTGCCCGACTCGGAATGCGAGACCGCTGCGGTGCCGCGGAATTTCGTTCCCGAGCGTGTTTCCCTGTCGCGAATCTCGGATTTGAGCCAGTTGAAAAGTTCTTTGGGCTGGATATCGACGTCTGGGGCGTCTTTCCGTCCCATCGTCTTAATCTTCAGCATGTCGTGCTTGATGATGACAATCCAACTGTATGATTCGTCTCGGTAGCTGGAGAGAAGGTCTTCAGGAGAACGGGCGTCGCGGGCAAGCTCGGCACTGATGCCGTGCGCCCAGAGGGCCTGTAGGAGCTCTATGCCGGAGGACCGGAGAACGGACGGGTCAAAACTGGCGACAAGCACGTCACACTATTCTCGTGTCAGTCAGTTACACGATTTAGAGAAGGAGCTGCGGGAGTAAAAGACCGACCCGTTTGGTACTGAAAATGCCCTGCGTTTCCTCTTCCGCCGCCTTCTTGAGGAACGCCTTGCCTGTGGTTTTTGGAATCGGCTTTGCCAGTTGCTTCTCCCAGTTCAGACTGAAGCCAACCGCATGCCGCTCTCCGAATCGGTTGCCGATTTTGGGACGGTGTTCTTTAATCAAACTGTCGTATCTGCCGCCAGCTGCAAACACATCCTTGACTTTTTTGTCATACAGACAAGCAAACAGAATACCACCTCGGAAAAAGGCTTCGTTGAGACTGCTGAGCGGCGATATAAAGATCTTGCAGAGCACGCCGAGCTTCTTCGTGTATTCGTACACTTCCCTCAGGTGAGCCATCGTAGACGACGCTCGTTCTTGGTACACGGTCCCCTCAAACAGGTCCCTCAGTTTTGCAATAGCCTTGCTGGGCGTATCTACCTAGGATTAGCGGGTGCGAAGCCGCAAACTCAACGAGATTTCGCTTACCTCGGAAATCGAATCTCTGGAGCTCGTCGACGCTCGTGGCGGACATACCTACGACGGGCGATCTGAGCTCACTTCGAACCTTTTGCCAGTTGAAATTCCGGATGTTGAGTTTACTGAGTACCTCGGCAGCAGCTTGTCTAGCGCCAGCCTGGACACCACAGTATTCCAGAATCAGATGCAGTAGGTCAGAGTGGCCGAGGTGGAAGCACATCGGGGTCGAGGAAGTTGTAGGAAATGCCGCGACGATCTCGTCCAACACCTTAATGACCTCGGCCTCCTTCAAGGCAAGGTCCAGGGCATCGGTGGTGACGATGTCAAAGTCCACCTCTCCGTATACATCGGGATGACCGCCATCATGGCGGTCTCTGAATATATTCCCGAATGAGTAAGAGCGCTGGGGCACCTGGCCATTCGTGATCCTGCCAAGGGACCGAGCATGGCCCATGACCAAATCGAAGGGAAGCTGAAGTACCGTCCCGTTCTGGTCGAGCAAACGAACGGCATTCTGTCCATAATGCGACGAGGAGGGATAGAGACATGCAGTTGGGGCTTCAACAGCACCGTGACGCCTGAAGATTGAGATCAGAGTGTCCTTCACAACGTACTGACGCATGAGATCGCCAGGGCTTGGATTGGAAGAGGACATGTCCCAGGCATAGTCTTTTGCCTGCTCGATCTGCCGGGCGAATAGGGTGCTCAGCATCTTTTGGAAGTAAGGAGAAGTTGGGTCAGCCATCCCGGCAATGGCACGCTGTATCACCTCACTCTCCATCTGAACCGGCATCTTCCCGCTCTTGAGCAGCTCTGCGCTGGACGGGCGCTCTTTGGGGTTGTGGTTTAGCAAAGAGAGAAGAATATCGGTATGGTTCTTGTCAGTAGGCTTGAAATCTGATGGCAGTACTGGCGGATTTCGCCGTACATGCTCGAGGACCAATGCACGCTGCATCCCGAGCATTGGCGGATAGGACATCTCAAAGAGGATAATGCCCAGTGAGTACATCTATCAATTGTTCATTAGCATCGTGCTCTGCTTTCGAGATCACCAAAGGTCCCACGGGATTGCTTACATCCACTTTTGCAGTATAGGAGCCGCTTCCGCCTGTCCTCACTTCCGGGGCAACATAGACAGCCGTTCCGATGCTCCGAGTTTGGTCACCCGAGTCCAGATTTGGCGTGTTCTTGTCAACGCCCAACTGCCCACTCGTTGCCAGTCCGAAGTCCCCAATTTTCACATTCTCCAGGCCATCAGGTCCGACGCTGATGAAGATGTTCTCCGGTTTGAGATCTCGATGGACGATGCTGAGGCTATGGATATGCACTAATCCTTCCAGTATTTGGCGGAAAAGTCGCCAAATCTCTTGGGTTTCTTTGCTCAGGTTTCGGTTAATCGTGTCTCGCAAGGTCTGATAGTTGTCAGTCACGGGAAACATGATTATTCGAGCGTTACGGCAGGGAAAGGCGGAGAGCCCAAAGGTGAAAAGAATGAAGCTTACCAGTTTCTCGCAGTACTCCATGGAAATGTACATGGTTATCCGGGCCGGGCGAGTACTTCCCCTTCTGCTTCCTCTTCTGGTACGATGAACCGGGATAGCGTGCTGATCCTTCACAGGTTTGTGGTCCATAGATGAAGTATCCTCATCTGATGTTGAGGAACCATCGTCATCATCCTCATCGTCTTCCTCGTACTCCTCGTCTTCAACGACAGAATCGTATCCAAACTCAATCTCCGGAAGTCCGCTAGACGACATGAAGTCTAGACCTCGGCTTTTGCTCTCAGCGCACTCGATGTTGATATTCCGAGAAACGGTGCCTCTCGATGTCTCGGTGGCTGTTGTTTCTTCTTCGGTGTCTGCGAAGTCAACTGTCTCCTCGAGCCAGGTATTGTAGTATCGTACCACTGCCGGGTGATTCATTTGTGAGAGCAGCCTGACTTCTTTCAACATTTCGGACATCGTCTCATGCGATCTCCGTGTGACTTTTTTGATGGCATACAGACGCTGGTCAATCATTTTCCGGGCCCTCACCACCTCTCCAAAGCCCCCTTTCCCTAGCCGAGCTTCTTCTACATAGTCCTGAAGATATCTTGAGTGGATGGAACCGCGGTTCATGGAATCATGGCGCGCCGTCCGTGGCTGAGTCGTGGAAAAGGAGGTCAGTGAACCGCTCATGGCAGTGGTCTCGTCCTCGATTAGAATAGGAGCACTGGTCGCTAGAAACTCGCTAGAGCACAGCTCAAACGCACGAGGCCGCTTCTTGGGATCAGGCCTGAAGAAATTGGCAACCAATTCTTCCATTGGCCCGGACAGAGACAGTGACTCTATAAGAGAAGACGGAGAGTGGTACTTTTGCAAGACGCTGAGACCGAAGATCATCTGTAAAAATACTATCCCAAAATCCCAGACATCCGTCCTTTGAGTGTACTGTGGCTTTGAGACACCAGCGATCTCCGGCGGGAACCAATAGGCCGACTTTGCCGCTCTGGCGGCGGTCAGTGTTGTCACCTTGGTGCAAATATTATGCAGCTCTTTTTGAAAGCCGGCGTCAGCAATCTTGGGCACGATGTCACCTTGTGGCTCTCTGCAGAGGAGGATATTCTCTGGATGGATATCCTGATGGACAATGCCATGATTGTGTAGGAAGGCTAGCGCATCAAGGAGATCGACGGTCCATATTTTGGCCTTGCTGGTGTCAACGTGGCCGGCCAGCTCCAGCAACTCAGTAAGTGGGCCTTTGTCGCTGAGCGGACTCAAAACACTAATGCTCCAGATCGCAAGAGAGGAAGAATCGCTGTCGTTGATGGACCGATCAATCTTGAAATCAATTAGCTCGAGGAGGTTCTGATGGCGAAGCTTTTTCAGGGACTCTAGTTGCGTCTCTAGCGACAACAGCTGTTTTTTGAACTGAGCCGAATCTTTGCTCTGATCCTTCAGTTCGACTTGCTTCAAAGCAAGACTCGGGCGGACATTTCTGGCGGAGAGAACCGGCTTGACCTTGTATACCGTCGTGATAGGGCCTTCGCGATACAGAGTCTTTCCAGTTACGGTCTGGAAGTACAGTGAATTTCCCGATTTATCCATCAATTTGCAAGGCTGATCGAAAATGACAGCTACGTCGGTCTCCAATGGATCCTCTGTTGTTCGACCGGGGGATGGACGTTGGGTCCTGTTCTTCTGCCTCGACTCCTTGGCTTTTGCCCGCTGCCGCTTGAGCTCTTCCTGGACCATGTCACCAAGAACGCGTTCCTCCTCCTTTGTCTCCTCCATCTTTTTGCGCTCCTCGAGCTCCTTCTCGTTTTGAGCTAACCTTGCCAGCTCTGCTTCGTGGGCTGCTCGCTCTTCCTCCAGAGATGGGAGTTCTAAGCCTTGTGCCTTCTTTAGAGCAGCGGCTTCAAGAATGTCGCGAATGCCCTCGACGATTCGGTCAATCATCTCCTGCTCTTCTTGAGCCCAAATCTTGGGCTGGGTCTCAACAAACTTCTGGATCTTGAACTTTGTCGATTCCCGTAGGTCGCCCTCGTTTTTGATGGACAGGAGCGGAGGGGATTTGGGGTACGTAGCAACCAGAACGACTCCTAGCGTGACGGCAAGCTCACTGTCCGTCGATGCCTTGATCCTAATGTCAAAGGACGGCTCAGACTTCTTGAAGTGGCGTCAGCCATGGCGTCTCGTCGCCGAAGTTTGAGTCTATCGAGCGAGAACCTTACCTTCCAAGCGGTGTGTGTTGACGAGTGCTGCGTAAAGTCATCACCATAGATGGCCTGCAGCACCATCACCTCGTTTTCTTGCAGCTCTTGGTAATGAGTTTGCGATGCAGTGTTTCCCGGGCCCTTGAGCCCGGGGAAACTATCGTTCCCATTTTTCTTGGCTGCTTGCACTGGTTTCTTTGGTGCCATGGCGACTTGAAGCAATGGCTGACCAAATTGTGTTTTGGTACTCTGAGACAACTCGCCGGTGGCACCAGTGAGTTGGTTTACACAGCCAAAAGTTGGCTGTGAGAGTTTACATGTTTGAAACCATCGTGCAAAGAGTTGTGATAAGTGATAAGTCTTAAAACGACGGGATATCGTGAGTCGTCCTGTTCTGGAAGAACTTGGAAGGAGCACAGGTGCATGTGACTGAAGTTGTTGTTTAGACTTGGTACCAGCGGGGTTCATCAGCTGGCCCCACATAGGTATGTAGTACGGAGGTACGGATAACTTCAGATACAATACGAAATTACGAATACAACAGTACGTCGTTTGGAATTACAATACTTCGCATATGGCCCCACCTCAATCCGCGCTGTCGGCTGCAGCGACGCGCTTGGACCTAGCTTATCAATGCTCACAACAATAGTTCAGCGACGTTGACTGGCCCTATCGGGGGTCGAGTAAACAGTCCGCAAACAGCCTGCAACCGGAGTCTTGGAACCGTGTTTTACAGGTCGCAAAGCCCATCTACGAATGCTGGTCCTGAGTCTCGAAATAATAACTGAAACGACCGGACACATTTTGCATCGCGCTTTGGACGATTAGCAATGATTAGCTGGGCGCTGAAGCGCAATTCGGAGAGCGCTCGAGACGCGCCGGCTTCCGGTATGATCGAACCTGCAGCGCCGAGGAGATTGCAGTTTGCTTTGAATATGGAAACTCAAACACTTCGCAGATGATACAACTCAGATCGAGCAACCCGACACTCCTGCTCCCGTGTTCGCTGTGCGCGCGTTGAAGACAGCTCTGTTCGGCACCCCTGCGCCCCGAGACCGCCGGGCTCCGACTAAGCCTGCGAACGAGAAGGTGGCAACGCAAGAGAACGCCGATCAGGTTCTACAGGCCGATAAGTCGCCCGCGAAGCCTGCCGGTATTCTCCTCACTCCCGGCACCGGCACAACGCGTCGGAAACGCGTCTCATTTGGCCATGACGTGAAGCAAGGTTCAGGGGGCCGGGAGAGGACAAGCACTAGTGGACTCCCAGATGACTGTCCTGGCAAGTTTCCCAGTCCATGGGTTGACCGGGGCGCGGATTCCAGCACGTCTCGGCCAAAGACGAAATTGCAGCAAGCCCTGGAAAATTCACGGAATAACAGGACCAAGGAAGGCGTGACGGAGGAGAGGGACTTTGCGTATCCTCCAGCAGAGCAGCCGGAAGCCGTATGGGAAGAGGATGTTGACGAATCCGACTATGATGGCGACGTAACAACCGACCTCAACGAGCCCCACTCACGCTCTGGCAAATATTGGAAGTCATTCTTCGAGACGTACCATACGGATGCTAAGGCCGAGATGGAGAAGCTTGTCAAGTACAAGCAGCTCGCCAAGTCTTACGCAAGAATGAAGGATGCCGAGGCTCTCGACCTTAATCAAAAACTCAGGGAGGAACAGGAGAAGGTTAGGGCAATGGAGGAAAAGATCGCAGAAATGAGCCGCCAAGCCGCATTCACAACTAGAAAGAAAGGGGGTGAATACGACACAAAACTAGTAGAGGAACTTACCAAACAGACTGCGCTTGCCCCAGAATACAAAAAGCAAGTCGATGAGCTGGAGGCTCTTCTGCGAGAGGACGTGGATGAAGCTACCGAAGACAAGGCTCGTCGGCCGCGCCGAGTTGCATCACCCCGGACACAGCAGACACTGATGGAAACGCAGAGGGAACTAAGACGGGCGAGGTCACAGGCTCGGGAACTAGAAAAGTTGCAAGAGGAGCGCGACCGACTAAAGTCCGAACTAAGATTTGCGGAACAGCGGGCGACCAAGCTTGCCGAGGAAAACAGAAAGCTGTCAAAGGAGCTTTCACAGAGCGCGACTAGGATCCAAGAGCTGGAGAAGAGATTGGAGGACTCTAAGAGCTCTTACGACAGACTGAAAGAGGATGCGAAAGCCCGGTATGTCGAGGCGCACCAGGTGCTGCAGAAGAAAAACGAGAAAATCACGGAGCTTCAGGAGGAGATTGGCTCGCTCAAGAGAGAAGGAACAGATGTAAAACGATCAATTCGTACAATTCGGGCGAAGAGCTATGACGGCAAGGCCACGACACTCGGATCTTTGGAGACGGAAGACGCAAAGAATGCCCGAGAGTCAAATCGACCCAGCATCGAAAAGCGGTTATCTGTCCCGGCGTCGCTCGCCGAAACCAGGCAAAAAGAGCATCGCGATACAGACGGCCCGACGCACAGGCGTGATGATGATACTGCGCGCGCATCATCACGCACCCTGAAGGACAAGTTCGAAGTCGAGCCTGACACGAAAGTCCAACCCACATCCTCCGTACTCAGCGACCGAGGAAACCTGCAGGACAGCCGTAGTTCGGCATCCAGCGGGCGGTCCGCTCACGCCAGAGAGGATCAGCCGCATACCAGCCGGACCGACCGAGCAGTGGGGTCTACCCGAGCACGGGCATCGGAAGCAAGGGTACCCCCCAGTGACAGGATCGGTGAGACGCGCGACAACCGCCCCAGCAGGACGTCGTCCGAGCAGCTCAGGAGACCGGCCGCTCTACCACCCTCGCGTGAGACTGAAGAGCCAGACATTGACCTCGTGCAAGGAAGGTTTGCGCCTCTTGGAGGAACAGATGCGCAGAGCAGCGCTGTTTGGAGCACTGCGAACGCATCCCGAACAACCCTGCCTCCAGCCCGGCGAATAGCTGCAATTGCTCGGCTCCAACGCAAGAAGGCGGAGCGGGAAATGCAGCAGCTGATCCGGGACAAGGAGAACACAGGGTTGTAAACGCGTTAGGGCAGACTTAGTTGCATGGGCAAGGCGTTCGTTGGGCTGCTGTGTAGGTCTGGAATGCGTGGGTCAAGGGAAAGGCATTCTGTTCATGCCTGGATGGATAGGGTCACGAACATTGGCTAGCGGGATCATTGTATGGTGTTCGGGATATCCATGGGAGTCTTAGCAGTTGCGTTGTCTGGGGCTTTGTGGGAATAGCATTGTAATGGATTGTCATAATCTAGGACGGTATGTGCAAGATAAGCTACCTACCAGCTTATCGGTCATGTCAACTACATTCAATTCCGGTGAAATCGAACACCTGTAACTCACCACAAAAGAGATCATTGTCTGAGCAATGACTCGTCACGATGGACTCGAGAATTGTAAACGAGAGTTATTCAGACAGCACACTTGACAATGAAATTGCCGACCTAGAGCGAAAGCTAGCAATTGCCAAAGCCAAGCGTCCTCAACAACTCACCCCTCACTCTCATTCATCGCCAACAAGTGAGTGATCCCCCGAACATATTCTGACCCCTTAACCGGCCCAAACTAAACTAACAATACTCCAGACTCAACCCCACCCCTCCTCGCATCCCTCCACGACACCAGCTTCCACTTCCTCCTGCTCCTCTCCGACTCAGCCCTGCCCCTGGGCTCCTTCGCCTTCTCATCCGGGCTCGAGAGCTATTTAGCCCACCAGAAACTCGTCTCGCGCCAGCCAACCTCCTTCGCCTCCTTCCTGCCTCTGTCCATCTCCTCATACGCGTCCACGACCCTGCCCTTTGCCCTGGCCGCCCACCGCGACCCGGCGTCCCTCGCCACCCTGGACGACGCACAGGACGCGACCATTGTGTGCACCGTCGGCCGCCGGGCCTCGGTCGCGCAGGGCCGGGCGCTGTTGGGCATCTGGGAGCGGTCCTTTGCCGGCACTAACACTAGCATTCCGGGTACGGGGGTGATGGATGGGAAAGGGGAGGGAGGAGAAGGGCAAAGACAGAGGGAAGGGCTGGAAGCGCTCCGGGCTTTCTCCGCCCTCCTCAAGACCTCCTCCTCATCCACATCCACATCCACATCCACATCCACATCCACATCCACATCCACATCCCCACCCTCCTCAACTGCAACAGCGGCAGCAGCCCACGAGACGACCACGTGCGCAAACGACCCCCTCCCACCGCCAGCAGCCTCGGCGCACCTTGCACCGCTATTCGGGGCCATCTGCCGGGTGGTGGGTCTCAGCCTGGAGCAGACGGCGTACATCTTTCTGCTGGGCCACGTCAAGGCGCTGGTGTCGGCGGCGGTGCGGGCGGGCATGTTTGGGCCGTACCAGGCGCAGAAGACGCTTGCCTCGGGAACGGTGCAAGGGCTGGTTTCGGCCATGATTGAGCGCGAGTGGGAGACTAACGTCGAGGAGGCGGGCCAAAACGTGCCTGTTATGGACTTGTGGGTTGGCAGGCATGAGGTGTTGTATTCGAAGATATTTAATAGTTGATGTATTTTGTTTATATACAGGGGGGGTTGGGGGTGCATGCGGTACGGTTGCATGTTATGGTATTGGTATCATGCATTATACAGATCTAAGTGAAATACGTTAAAACACTGTAACACCCCCTCAGTCATCCTCGTCGTCGCTACCGTATGCTACTAACGGCCCAGAAGAAGCTGCCGATGCCTTTGGTTTTGTCGCGACAGCCACTTGAGCTGCTTGTAACGCAGCCAAGGTACTTCCGGAAAGAATTCCACCTGTCGTTCCCTCACCATGTCCTTGATGGTGTGCTTCCTCCGCTTGGACCGCTTCTGAAGCCTCAAGCAGCAGCCGCTGCTCATGCTCAAGCTCGTAGCCTTCCCTTCCTCTTGGGTTGACCGCGTTCGGGCCCCTTGCAAAATGCACCTCGTCGGGCGCCTCGTACCCTTCCAGGCCATAACTGCTCTCAAGTTTTCGCCTTTTCCGTGCCTCCGGATCCTTCCCTTCAATCTCAGCTACGTACTCGGCCGGCAGTGCTTTCCGGATAGCCTCTGCTGCTTGCTCCTCGATACGTCTGGCTTCGCGTTTCTGAGCCATTGGGTTAGGGTCCGCCGTCGCCCACCGAACGTTCAGGATTTCGTTATGGTCAAGGGATCTGGAACACACGTCAGCAACACAGGACAGAGACGCCGGGTTACCATGAAACATACTGATGGGCCATTGCCTCCTTTGCAAACTGAGCGTTGGCTTCATTCGTATACGTCACAAATGCCACACCCCTTGTATTGAGCACGCGGATGCGCTCAATCTGGCCCCATTCGGCAAAGTGCCGCGCAACAATCTCCTCGATGTCATCCGTCACATGGATCCTGCCAATGTATATTGTGCGGTTCTGCCGGGTAAAGCTACCCACGCCGCCCATGTCGTCGCGGTAGTCGCTGAACTTGTCGCGTCCGAAACAGTCGACATTCGGGTTGAAAATGTCGTGCAGGCCTGGTAACCTATGTAGATAATCACAGTCCTGGCCCTTGGGACTGTACCGAAGAGGAAATTAGTTTGCGCGCACCGAGAGATACAGCAAGAGTATCAACGTACCATATGCCCCTCGCGAAAAACAGACAGAAATACGAGCCGGGACGGGCATCAGCCCGCGTGTATCCCGAATCCTGGGCAATATTACACCTCCCCTTGGCGTGAGTTTGCGACAGGTATTTGTCCTCCCGATCGCCGCCAGACCACTTGTTGTACCAGATGTTGAAGACAGTACCCGTCTGCGGCGGCGGTTCCGATTTGACCAAGGCAGGATCGATTTGCGGCCTCGCTGGCCTCTTTTTTCGCCTGATAATCTTCTTCACCTTCTTCTCTGTCGGGGGTGCTACTTCGTTGCTGGCTGTGGCGAGCGCAAGCTCTTGCGCATGGTCTTGAGCGTCGTCGGCAACCGTCGTGGCCACATCGGGCCTGGTATCAACTTCTGCCATTGCAGGATCGGAGAGACTTTCGAAATATCGCAGCGTATATTGCAACGGTTTATACCTATTGGCGCAACCAGATCCGGAATGCAGGTCAAGTCGTTCTGGTTGTGAGAGGCAGAGAGGGTGGAAAAGAAGTCAACACACGAATGACGATGTTCGGAAGAGGCGCGTTGAGGTTGAAGAAACGGCAAGCTCAAGTTTAAGGACCCACTCAGGTTCCACTCTGCCGCCTTGGCGGTTTCTGCAGGACAAGGCGGTGTGGGCGAGTCAGGCTAAGATATGGCGCCCCGCACACCCCTCCCTTGCGTCCTTGAAATTCTGCCGCCTCAAAACGTGGGGTCTTTTGCCAGGGTTCACTGAGATGCACACTGCACATTGAGCGCCGACACAGCGAGCAATTCAGTCCCTTGCCAGTGGCACTTTGATTCGGAATCAATAAACAGAAAGGAATATCATATCAGCCTTTCGCCATCCAAAATGGTGAACATCACAGAGAAGATAAAGGAGTGAGCAGGATCCTATTTGTTCCCTGGTCTTTGAAAGGGAACACAGGCTGACGGAGGGCAGGATTGAGGAGGAGATGAGGAGAACCCAAAGTTTGTCCTACTATGCTGGCCTGGACGGACGAGGACGACTTGACTAACAGCATTATAGAAAACAAGGCAACAGGTACAAAACTCGCTGCGCTGTGCTCTCACATCGGGATGACTGCCTGAGCATGATATGCTGACGACTTGCGCCAGAATATCATCTGGGTCTCCTGAAGGGGTAAGTAAATACCCTGCTAACGGGTATCTCGAATACTATGTCCTAACATTCCACAAGCAAGTTGGCACGACTTCGCGCGCAGTTGTTAGAGCCAACTGGCGGGAGTGGTGGAGGGGGTGCGGGCTTCGACGTGAGCAAGAGCGGCGATGCGCGGATAGCCCTAGTGGGGTTCCCTTCAGTGGGCAAGTCAACGTTCCTCTCAAAGGTCACGAAAACGAAGTCAGAGGTAGCCTCGTACGCCTTCACAACGCTCACAGCCATCCCCGGCGTCCTCGAGTATGGGGGTGCCGAAATTCAATTGCTCGATCTGCCGGGTATTATCGAAGGGGCAGCTGAAGGGAAGGGCAGGGGTCGTCAGGTCATCTCGGCGGCAAAGACCAGCGATTTGATCCTTATGGTTCTTGATGCAACAAAGCGAGCCGAGCAGAGGGCACTGCTGGAAGCCGAGCTAGAAGCTGTAGGGATCCGGCTGAACCGAGAACCACCGTAAGTCTACAGCAGGAACCTCCTTAGCGACCCCTTCTCACACGCAAGCAGAAACATTTATCTGAAACCGAAGAAGGCGGGCGGGATGAAGATCACCTTCCAGTCCCCGCCAAAGGGTCTCGACGAGAAGATGATTCAGAACATCTTGCGCGACTACAAGCTCCTGAACTGCGAGGTGCTCGTGCGCGACGAGAATGCCACTGTTGACGACCTCATTGATGTCATCATGAAGGACCACCGCAAGTACATCAAGTGCCTATACGTCTACAACAAGATTGACAGCGTCTCGCTCGACTTTCTGGACAAGCTGGCGCGAGAGCCGCACACGGTTGTCATGAGCTGCGAGCTGGATCTGGGCATTCAAGACGTCATCGACCGGTGCTGGAAAGAGCTCAACCTGATACGCATATACACAAAGCGGAAAGGAATTGACCCGGATTTTAGCGAGGCCCTGATTGTGAGGAACAACAGCACCATTGAGGACGTATGCGACCGCATCCACAGAACGCTCAAAGACACATTCAAGTACGCCCTGGTCTGGGGCGCCAGTGCGCGGCATATCCCGCAGAGGGTAGGACTGGGTCATGTGGTGGCGGACGAGGATGTTGTGTACATAGTCAGCGGGTGGAAGGCATGAGAGTCCGACTGGGGAAAGGGGCAGAGGATGGGAAGAGCGTATCACATAGCGGTATAACATTGACCGACCATCATGGCCATACGAAGAAAACGTGGTAAGCCTTGTTACCGTGTAGATGTGTAGCTTTCTCGTCATAACAAGTCGTAACGACCCTCACTCCGGGCCAAGGTGATAATCAACGTCCCGTACTAGCAGACACACATTTGCCCGAACGCCCCCGGATGCCTGAACCCAATAAACCCTTCCTTTGTAGAGACCATTACAGAGAGATCTCTATGTCCAACGAAAAGAAAAGCCCCAAACCGAGAGACAAGAGACGACTGCAGGAACCGCAGCCAAGTAGTGAGAAGAAGCGCCATCAATGCTCACGACAGCCAGGCGGCAGTTGTCGTTAGGCGTGCTTATGCGACAGGTGGGTGGTCTCAGTTCGCCGCGCCCTCCGAGCGTGCAGGCGTGGTGCCGAGGAGTCCATCACCGCCGTTGCCGGTTCCGAGCTTCTTAGCTGATGCCTGGGCAAACAGCGACTTTGGCTTGACTCTGTGGTAAAAGGCAAACAGTCAGATGCATTGCATTCAAAAGCGTCATTCAGCATTGAGAGAGTTACGTACTTGCCGACCTGCTTATTTCGAAATGCGCTGAGCTTTGCGGTGCAAGGGCTCATGATGTTGTCCGACGGGGAGATGTACGTCTTCCTGTTTACCCATCGTGTGTCAGCGTCGGCGGGACGATTTGGAATCTTGAACAGAGCGGGGGCCAACGTACTCTCCCTTTTCCATCTTGGACTGAAAGACTTGTCTGTGGTACTCCATGCTCATAACATCGGGCTTCACGGGGTTTGAATCCGGCTCGAGCGAGATAGTTTGGGTTGAAAGTGCCGCGTTGGCGTCTTTGGCCATGAGAACGTTGGAAGACATGGTCTTTATATTTTCTAGCGCTTGCTCGGATGGGAGACGGAATGCTCGTTGGGTAGGCAACTTGAACGGGAATGTAACACCAGTGATGGCCAGGAGCGAAAACAAATAGCAAGTGGCTTAAGTGAAAGGAAGGGTAAACATAAGATCCGGCCTTTAGGAGCTAAATTGCCTGCTGGAATGCTGCACTGGCGTTGCAAGAGAGGTCTTGGGGGGAGACCAAAATTTGCCTTAATGTAGTGTAGAAAAAACAGATTGCCTGTTTGGGCAAGAACGACCCGGCAACGGCAGGGCCCCACAACATCCTCCTTGGCACCGGAGACGTCACCGTAGTGTACAAACCGCTCGATCGCATTGCGTTCTTACTCTGTGACGGCGGTCTGCTGGGACGGCAGTCCTCGGTTCTTGATGTATGAAGGGCTCGATCGCGTCTTGTCTCTCTTGTCCGCCTTATACCACGCGCAACGTCTCCGCTGTTGATTTTCGCTTTCATTGCCCTTGTAGGCGCCTTAAGCGACCCTAGATGGTCTTCATGTGGCCGAGAAGTTCGATGGCACACAGTTGAATCAGTTCCCAATGCTTTACTAAAGACACCACACCGTACATACTCCCAGACGCCTAGTCATAGATCCTCCCAGAAAACCAAACGTACATTTCTCTCAACACTCTGGTGCATATCATTTAGGTGCCTTATGCATAGCAAACAGCCTGCCTCCTCCAAGTCCCGACCACACGCGTGGAGGCTAGGCTTTTCTTTGCATGGTGTTGTAATTGACTCCCCAGCTTCAGTCTCCTCGTCGACTTTGCTGAGGACCTGACGCCCCTGTGGGACTTTCATGAACCGGATTTGCTGGCGCCCGCCGGCCCGCCGCCGCATGAGGCTGGCTGGTGGTTCCGGCCGCGGCTCGATGTAGTCGATGGATATGTCTCGCCACGGCGCGAAAGGTACCGGCAACGGCTTGAGGAAACCGGTTGGCGACGATCTTAGGGTCTTCGTCTTCTCACACAGCGCGCAGGCCCGGGATTCACTATACCCATACAACTCGAACCAGCATGCACCCGCCTCTTCCCTTAATGTATCCATCATCATCATCCTGGTTGTTGACTCTCCCATTTTGACGCTCCGGCTACGCCCACCAAGCATTTCCCTTCAAGTTATATCCCGACGCCCGGCTAGACCGGGTAATAGAGTGTCGAGTTGAGAAAACGCGAAGTTTTGGAGCGCGAGGTCTGGTTATATCCCAGTCCGAGTATGCATACTCCTACACCAGAACCACCCCTTCGGGTCCGAGCAGACCATCAATAAGAATGAAACAAACGCAGTTGGCAAGCCTCCATTGGGACGGGAGCCGACCGTGACGGCGTACACTCAGCTATAGCCATGGGACGTTGCGTCGCGGCGCCGGCGGTATGGGATCAAAGTCCGGAGCCCTGGCTCTTATCTAACTGGCCTTGGTGTTCTGTTCCCGTACCTCCTCCTCCTCCGCTGTGAGATCTCGCGCTTAGGTAGCCCAGTTCATGTTGCTGGCCATCGAGAAGCTTAGTTAACACCGCGCTCTATTAGACTGACGAGCGTTAATCAGCAGTCAAGGGGATCATGGTGGTTGTCCTTTCCCTCCTGCCACGCTCTTGCGGCGTGCGTCAGGAGGAGAGTATGTCATTTCAATGATAATCGCCGTCCCGATGAGTTCCACCGCCTGAGCTTGGGCCTGAACCTGGATCTTTCATTGCCCGGTCCTTGTCGTCTTCCAGGGGCACGGGGTATGCCGCTGCAGTGGTCGCAGTGGTTGTTGTTCCGGCTGAATCCGTCCACGGACAGGTCCCTGCACTGGCAGCACCATCTGTAGCGCTCCGTGTTCAGCCTGCTCTGCATCAGAACCACGCCATCTGTCTTCATGGATGTGTTTCTTCTGCCCATTGGCAAGTAGGCTGATCCTCTTCGGAATTGTCACTACTATTGTTGAACCTGAGATTGAAGGAGGAAAGAAAAGATAAGGTAGGCAAGGTAAGTAAGTTGGGCTTGAGCTACCAGGAACAATAACATCTTCTATAAAGGGGTTTTCAACTGCCGGCTTGGCTCCATCGACCACGTCGGAGAAGTCCACGATCGCTTCGAATAGTTCTCGGACCAGCTCCCACAGGGACTCTTCATCTTACCGGGAAGTCCTCGCTTGCATGACCGGCCGCCTTGCCTTTCCTGTCATTGCAGGCGCTGTGGTCGTTGTAGACGTTGGGCTCGGCGGGGCTGCCGCGGCTTCTGCGACTTTCCGTGTGCTTCTCCGCGCTCCCGGCCGTAGGTTAGCAGGTCGACGGAATCGGACTTTCTTTGGCTTTTCCAGCTTCTCTTTTTCAGTCTTTCTTTTTCGAGCCTGGCTTGCTCGATGAGGTTCTGGCTGAAACGTCTGAACGGTTGCTCCGGCTGCGGTATCGCTGTTTCTGTTCGCCAATCTGCTGAAGGCGACGTACTCCTGGGCAGCCTACCTACTTAGGTAGTCTACCGGCTCACAGACGCGCTGCCCTCCGTGGGACCGTGGCACTTGAGACAGCAGCCATCGCCATGGATCTGCACCACTTTGATGCACCTAGGAGCATAGGCTGAGTCTTTCGCTAGGCGATGGATGAAGTTTCGACACTGCAGCACCTCGAGAGGTTCATGTTGCGCGGGCGTCGCAGGCTTCTGCGGGACCCGGAGAGGTAGCTCGGACGGTTCTCTTCACATACGAGGTACGAAGACAACTGGAGGGATCAAAGAAGTCCGCTGGGAATGGAGTGCAGTGAGGGCAAAGAACCTTATAAATGAAATTCGTTCATGAGTCCCACAGTAGAGCAGGCTTCCTCGTTCTGAGATCATTAGCGACCCACGCATCACAATCCCACCGACTGGACCCAGAAATCGTGAGTTCCACAGGGAGTTTGAGAGCTCCACCGCCCGCGACTTGGACCTCGAACAAAGCCTGAACATGCCGCGGTGTTCTGTTTTGTTCTAGAAATCCAGGTTGCATATAGCGATGGTTACTGCACCGACAGTCAACAGACATGAGAAAACGTAGAGGTAGCTAGGGTATTGAGCTTCCTATGCACATCCAGGTCATCCAGGTTTGTCGTGGACTCGTCTCCTCCCTCCAAACCTTCACCTGGCGGTAATGGTATAGAGAGGGCGCCCAAGGTATTGTTTGGCTTGCTTCTGAGCAATGGCCTTGTTCGAATGAATAGCCTGCTGCCATGCTTGCGGTGGACCTTAGCCTCCCGCTTTTGCTGGAGCTCAGCCTGCTTAGCAATGCGCTCCTCCTGGCCCTGAGCACGCTGGGCTGAGCGCTCCTCTCTGATCTTCTTCTTTTTGTTCGGGCGCCAACCCGGTCGTGGATAGGTTGGTAAACATTTGAACTGGCTGTAAAACTGGGCTTGTCGCACTTTGTATAGGCACTGCAGTTGCCAGAACTTGAGTAGGCTGGTTGAACCGGGGGTTCTCATCTGAATTTGAAGACCCAACTCCAGCGCCTCGAGTCCCTGTCATCTCCATCAGAGCCTGGCCGAGCGTCTGGTGACAATAGTACTAAGTACCTACTTGCCACTTCGGCAGCCAGCTAGTCAACTCAGTTGTCCAGCATTGCCGTATCGAGGGGTCAGCTATCCTTCTTATGCAGGTGGGCTTGCGGAGTCAGGCTGCCGTCGATGCTATCCATGGACGACATTTTGGTATAAAGGGGACAGTGGCGGATTTGATGGATAAGTTCCATGTCTGAAGAAGATGTGTACAGGAAAGGTGGATGGGAATGAGTTGAAGAGAGTGTGGGAGCCTTCCGTTGTGAGGGCGCTCTTTTTGGAACCGGCCGACTCGTGTGGAACGAGGACAAGTATTGACAACATACGGCGATATGGACCGTTCTGAATAAAGCCAAATGTGCTAGGCCCAGGGGCAAATAGTGAGGAGGGAGCTTTATGATATATCTACCTAGGAGCTGATCTAAAGAAGAAGGGTCATGAAAAGGATCATATTGGCGGGTTTTAATGTAACTGCATGCTTGTACCTTAAGGTGACGAAGAGAGAGATTGGAGTCAAGGGAATTTCGTAGGTAGACCACTCAACAGACTAGGGAAGGTTCAATTACAGTAGCAGGGTGAATGTTTTTGTCGGCCTGTAGGTTCAGGGGATATATCCTGTGACCCCTGAGAAAGTATGAGGATCCATACTACAAGGAAACCATCCATGGTGGTCCTTGGGCCTGGCAAATATATACCTAACACAACAGTTTACCTCCTTCTTCCATACCTACTCTTTAGTTCTCTAGGCAGTTGGTGCTTGCTACCCGTTGATGAGGAAGAGGATGTGCTTGTAGCCCCTGTCCTGCTGCTTGTTGATTTGGTGTCCGTCGGGTTTGATTTCTGCTTCAAATTGTTTGTTGCCCGGCCAGAGGCGTCACTTTGGACGAGCACGAGTGCACTTGTCTACAGCTTGTTTACCACCCACTGTTGTTGTGTCGATTGTGGGCGTAGGTGGTGGTTCCTGCACCATTGATTGCACTGGCAATTGCTATTACATGACAGGCAGTGTCTGTTCTTCACAAATCTGTCTTGCGCTATATTCCATTCAGTCCCTCCGCTTCCCAAGTACCTAACTAGACGCCAATCGAACTTGAAGCGTCCCGTCAGAGGCCGGGTCAACGAAAAGGGGCTTTCATTGATGGTCGACAATCCAACTCATCGTCTGCTGACGGGCAATCTAGGAGCTCATTGCATTCAAAATGCTCAGGTTGTTTTCTCCCAGACACCAGCCAAGTCCCAAAAGTCATTCATAATCGCCGTTTAACAACCTCTGACACTGAGAACCTCCTTGAACCAGCACAGCCACGATACCATCCTTACCTTACCCAACAGTTCTCTAACCACCTCTGTCCCGGACCAAGTATACCCTCAGCCAGCACAGCCACGATCCCTTACCTAGGTTACCTGACCCAACACCACCTACCGGCTCATGTACCCTGCCGAGTAACCGACAGCAACCCGGCCCCACCTCCCTGGCTTCCTCCATCCGATCCCAATTATATTCCTTAGTACTAGTGTAGGTAGTATACATGAACACAGCCCGGTAACCCACAGAAGCCCCCAAGCTCCTACCCGCTGCACGTAACCTTCCGCGGCAGCCGGCAGGACCCCTGAGCTGCGCCGTTGGAGTGCTGTATCTGTGCTATGCACGGGGAGGGCTGTGCATCTGGCGGCTTGCCACATACTCCGTACATAATACTCACTGACACCGCCCGGTAGATTGGGAATCGTGTTGTTCAACTTCTTAAATACAGCCCTACACTCTGGGGCTAGCAGCGGACATCAGCATAACACTACTCGAGTTTGTTTGATATGAGACCCCCTTTTCCCTCAAGACAAGACAAGGATGTACTGCACTCCCCCACACAGCAGTCCGCACCGGACAAAGCATGCATCATACACATATATTAGAATAAAAGGAGAATTTGGGTTCGTATTTCACATGTCTTTCGGGCTGTCCATCCGTCAATCCGTCCGCCAGCCCAGCCGACCTGGTTGACCTGTGCTTTAGGTTCCGCCAAGTCCAAGCAGAAGGCCACGCGCTCATCAAAGAGGACAGGTTGGGATATATCTCTGTCTGTCACTGTCCTTGCTATTCAATGGAAGAGGGTTTCAGGTATTCACCCGCCACTGTCTGCCCAGACACCCTACCCCCGCCTCTCTTCCCCTGAGTCAACGTCCCCAAGGGATTTGTTCCATTTCACCAAACAACGGTGACGCCAACTCAGGCGCAACGGTTTGCGTCCCTTGCAGCCAGCTAATGCCCCCTTAGCCGCAACCAACAACCAAGTCATGTGGGTATATAAACTAATTCGTCATCGCTTGCGATCACTTGACAAAACATCACTACCATCAGCGGCGGCTCATCCATAAGGGAAAGAAAACAAATATGCCGGAGACTCACGTGCTCAACCTCCTAGACAGCGACTGAAGCTTCTTATCGTTTTCGGCCTCGCGGGCGGCCCGCTCCAGGGCCTGGGCGCGCTCGGCGTCGTGCTGCTTCTGCACCTCCTCGTGGCTTGGGGGCAGGCGCTCGTTTTGCAGGTCGACCTTGCGGGCGTCCTCGAAGCTGCTGATGGCGTTCTTGATGCCCTCGGCGCCGAGCATCAGGGTGCCGGCGGGCAAGCGGCCACCCGACACTGTCTTGAGTTCCGTCACGCGCTCCGACTCCTCGCGGAGCACCTGGAACACGCGCGAGAGGCGCCCAATGGCGAGGATCTTGTTCTTGATCGCCCGCCTCTTGTACTCGATCGAATCGGGATCCTGGCTGCCGATACTCGAGCCCGACGGCAGAGGCGGCGAGACGGGACCCGGCGAGGTCGTGGCCGAGTCCTCGCGCAACTCCTCCTCGGAGCACGTGCTGAGGATGGCGATGAGCATGTCGGTGATCTTCTCGCCCACAAAGGGCAGCGACCATGTGAAGACGTCCATAAAATTGGGAAGCCAGTACGGGTGCGGGGTGCAGTTGAACTGCCGGATGTTCATGACATTGTTCTCGTACTTGAGCACGGCTGCCTTGTTGTTGTAGACGTCCAGGTAGTTGGGCGCCGAGAATATGGTCATGACGCTGGGGAAACCGGTAGTACGCGTCTTACGGTACATGCGGTACCCTGCATCTTGCGCTTCGTGGGCCCGGATGATGGACAGCAAGTTGTTCTTCTCGAGGAAGTGGCAGGCTGCCGGGTACGAGAAAAAGTACGAACACCCGCGCACATGGTTGTGCAGGAAGTAGTCCGTTGTCTTCTCCTGGCCAAAGTCTTCCAGGGGGTCGGCCCACAGGATATCACACATTAGCCCCTGGGTAGGGGGTTCGCGGAAGCGGTCAATCTGTGGGGCGAGTTAGCGGGAGCCACTAGACTGTGGGATGCAGACATACATTTCTCAGGTCGTCCAGAGTGTGGAGCTCTGGGCTGAGACCACCGTGGATGCAGAGGAACTGCTTGTTCATAACCGCCGCCAGCGGCAGGCAACAGAACGACTCCATACACGCTTCGTAGACAGCCTCGGAATACTTGTGCTTGCATTCGAGTTTGAAAGTAAAATAGTCGGTCAAGTGGCGGCACTCGTGGTTGCCACGCAGCAGCCAGAGCGTCTTGGGGTAGTGAATCTTGAGCGACCACAAGTACAGGACGCACTCTATGCTGAAATAGCCCCGATCAACGTAGTCGCCTAAGAAGAGGTACCTCGTCTCTGCCGGGTCGCCGCCGACTTCGAACAGTTTCATAAGATCGTAGTACTGGCCATGGACGTCGCCGCACACTGTGATCGGGGCGTCCATCTCGAGCAGGTTGGGCTCAGCGCGAAGGAGCTCGGTGCCCGTCTTGATGATCCATAGCGCTTGTTCCTCGGTCAGGCGACCCTCTCGGTAAAAGTGCTGCTTGAGGAATTGAATGTTGGGCTTGGTGCGACTCTCGTCCTCCCAGAACTGTTCATCGCTGGGCTTGTACATGGCTGGCGCTTGCACATCTATGCGGTGGAGGGGGGGTTAGACAGTGTGTCATGACCAGGCGCGAAGCCTAAGCGGCAGTGGTCGCGTGCGGCAGCGGGGGCTTACCTTTGCAGACTCGCTCCATGGTGCTGACCTGAGTCCCGTCCTCCATGGTATGGATGGTGAAGTCGATTTCGGGAAGCGGCTTCTTCTGTTGAATGGCCCGGATGGCATTGTCGACCTGCTGGGCACGACGCTCGTCGTGGACGACGGGCGAGCTGGCGTCCTCGACATCCATGTTGAATCTGAGAGGCGTGCGTGGCGTGCCGGGCTGGGCCTGCGAGAAAGGGATATTCAGAGCGGGAGGCGACGAGAGAGCGGTCGGCACGGTGGTTTGCTCAGCGTGCAGTGCTCGGCGTCGAATGAAGAAAACGAATTATCCCCTGTGTCCCGCAGCGAGTGGATCTTCTTTTGAACTTGAGGGTAAGGTGCGAGATGGCAACTCGGAAAAGCGACGAGGTATTGTATTGTGTGTCGGCAATATGCCAGATCCCGTCCCTCCCAAAAAGGTTGAACAGCGTGCGAAACCAAAAGGATTTAGGGGCACGTAGGGCTGAGAGTTGGGCGGCCGACTGGGGAATGGAGAGGGCAACCTCTCAACTCGGAGGCGGGATTGCGAGGTGGGAGCTCCAAAAAGCTGCAGTAGATGGGTGGGGTATAGTACACGTATTTACGGTATCTTTATCTCCTAACCGCCCCTCAAGCTGATGTTGTATGTATGTACGGATACTAGGGAGTAATTTACCTAACATGGCAAGAACGCCTCCCGAGGTGGGATGATGCCCTGCACCTGAAATCTAGAACTTTTGCTAATGAACTGCATCGTTGCCTGCCCGGTATCAGGGCGCTCAGTCGCTCCTCCCTAGCCATCCTCAGGAAGAGTACTTCTTGCCTCAATCCAAGTTTCAGCTGGTATAGTTTATGGGGTCACTTGTGGCCGCGCAGGCCAGGATATAGAGGCACAAGAGCATATCCAGGTCAACGGCTCATCCTGTAGAACTTGCGCAACTCCTAATTCCGCCTTCTGGAGCGGGCGCTAACAAAGCCTTGGTAACGTAAGTATGTACTGTACAGTACATTGTTATGCAGTTGAGCCTCAGCAGCACCTGTCTAACGATGGTAGGTAGATTTCCAAAGCAAAAACATTTCGTCTGGTGTTACCTTTGGAATTACACGGAAACAATACGTATTCTGAATTCAATTGAGCCGCAAGTCCACAGTTGGAATTCGGGTAATGACAGGCCATCTATGACCAGTCAAAAAGTGAGGTCTCTCTCCTCTTTCTGAGCCTCGGATCACCGACCAGGCATTTATGTGCAGTTAACTTCATCAAGGTTATGATCGTCTATTATCTCTATCCATCAGCAGCTGCTCCAGACAGATGACACTCGCCGCTCTGATGAATTGTCTTTCACCACTACCCGCTCCACCGTCTGCATGATGGGTTCATAAAAAGCTTGCAATAATTCCCTCTATCTAGTGGGAGCACATCTCAGGCTTTTCTATACGTCTCTTACGACAACTCATGGCAAGCAGTACCCGCCATCAACAATGATATCGGTCCCTGTGGTATACGAGGACGCATCTGATGCCAAATACAGATACGCCCCCTTGAGCTCGTTTGGCATCCCCTCGCGGCTGTCATCAATAGATCATTAGCTGCGCCCATTTCAAACACCCAAAAGCCCAAAATTCCAAACTCACCCCATGGGAATCTTGTCCTTCCAGATCTTCTTGGTCTCTTCTGGAACAAACTCGGAGATGGTGGTCACAATGTAGCCGGGCGACACCGAGTTTGCGCGGGCAAACCCGACCCATTCGACGGCGAGGCTCTTGCACAGGTGGACCACGGCGGCCTTGCTTGCGTTGTAGGCCGCCTGCAGCTGGGGGATGTTGACGATGTGCCCGCTCATGCTGGCCGTCGCGATGAAGCTGCCCGTCGTGAAGGGCGGGTCGAGCGGGCGGCTGCCGTCGAGCGTCGTGCCCTCGCGCTTCTGCCGCCTAAAGTGCTGGCCCGCGGCGCGCGCGCAGTAAAAGGTGCCGTCCACGTTGGCCTGCATCACCGACGTGTACATGTCCAGCGGCCCGTCCAGCATGGCGCCCTTGGTCCAGGCGATGCCCGAGTTGGCCACAAACACGTCGAGCCGGCCGTTGAATTCCGACACGATTGAGTTGATGGCCGCCTCAACCGCCTCGTAGCTTTTGACGTTCACTTGGTAGGCCTTGCCTGTTCATCCCGAATATATTTGGCTTAGATAATCTGTGCAAGTAGACAAGGTGTGTTGGCGAATGACTTACACATGACCCCGTACTCATTTTGAACCTCCTTTGCCGCCTTTTCAGCCTCCTCCTGCCTGCTATTGTACCATATCGCGACATTGGCGCCGGCTTCAGCGAAGGCTTGGGCGACGGCCAGCCCGATGCCAGATGTGGCGCCGGAGACGATGGCTGTCTTGCCCTTGAGGGAGAACAGGGGCAGGACACGGTTGGACTGCGGGGGAGCCGTGGCGTCGTGGGCGAACTTGCCGTCTTTGATTTCTGCCATGGCTAGAGTGTTTGTTGTCGGGTAGGATGGCTGCGGAGCGAGTCAAAAGAAGTTTGTTAAACTCACACGTGGAGGAAGAAGGCGAGATGTCACGGCAGAAAGGCAGCGTGTTCAGATCCAGAAAGACACCTAGCAATGAAACAGATCACAGAGGAGATTACTCGGCAGCAAACCGAAGGACGAAAACGAAAAAAATGATGACGAGCGAAGAGACGGAGGGCTGCATTAGATTGCCCCACGCTCTAACACCGGCACCCGATGGCTAGGTACCTCAGTTGGACCTTCCAGGTTAACGTTGGGTTGAACGCTGGAACCATCTATCAACCAAGCGGATCCGATCGCCTGGCCTCCTTCTAGTAGATAGATACCAAGTGGGAACATAGCAGCACCTCGCGAAGGGGGAGGGACAGCCAGAACTGTTCCCACGGCTAGTACGGCCACTTGTATGTACCTGGGTTGTTCGACCTCCCCGACCAGCAGCGGCCCGAAATGTGTCTTGACAAGAAGATTGCTCTATAGGACCGAAAAGGTAAGCTCCAGCGGTCAGTATGAAGAGAACGCAAACCACATGGATACCAAGCTAGGTACACAGAATCGCCTGCTCCGGAGCCGGAAGTCGGCTGCCCAGTGTCTGGCGGGGATTGACCGAACACCTCACGACAAACCCCTCGATAGTACCCTGCAAGATAATGACGTATAAGTGGGACCGCCCTCGAGTACAGGTACTTGTACCTACATCCGTCAATTGTGCTCGCGACCGGTGACAACTTGCCGAGGAAGTCCCGGCACAAACTTCCAAGGGGAATGAGGCACCTTTGAATTCGGTCGCCCGGAACATTTGTGTCACTCGGTCTTTTGGATGATCAGGAGATGTGGCTCTTTGGGGGACTGGGACTACCATAAAGGGCGGGGTTGTTGGCCACAAGTGTGGATCTCCATGCAGGAAGGGCATTCAAGTGGCAGTTTAGGTGAGGTATCTCAGCGAGTCAGCGTACCTAAGGTATCTCAGGAGAAAGGGCTAAAGCAGGCTAGACTACTAGTACCGGCATGCACTGCTCACTTCCGCTAACTCATTGATGCATCGACAACCTCGCCAACTGCTACCCAACCACCATGTTAAGGACATGTTGGCGCGGGAAGTTGGTATTTCTCCACCGGGAGATAAAATCGTCCCGGTTGACTAGCCGGCTTGTCAGCTACCAGGCGCACATGTTTTTCAATCTAGCACTTGGGACGACTCACTATACCCTCCACAGATCCGCCTGACGCCTGAGAAGGCGCTTCGCCCATGGAGCACCCGCCAGTTGTCGAAAACTAGACCTCCGTTAGCCGAGAGCATCGCGTGCACAATATTCGAGCTATACTTACTGAGGACCTTTCCAGGCTCCAGCTGAATCCAGCACTCCACGTCCTCACTCTTCAGAATGTCATTCCATGCCCGAGCAGCCTCGTACCACTGAGCAGGTGAGTATTTGTGATTAATAAACGAGACCACTCCCCTGTCGGCGTTATTCCACCGGATCCTGAACAGGCCTCTCGGTCTAGTTCTATTCGGCCGATGCTCCAAGACGGGGAACAGGATTTCCGGTGTAATGGTTATGCCCGGATTACCGCTCGCGTGCCAGCGAATAGGGACCTTGCTCAAGATGTGGTAGTATTCGGGGTGCCTCTTAGCGAGGATGTGGGCTGCGAAGAATCCGTCAACGAGGAGTGACTTGCCCCCCGAAGCTGTCTCGCCGGAGCCAGCACCCGGCGCGGGCTGGTGAGAGAGAAGGTGGAACGACTGCAGCCCGGCAGGGTCGGTGAAGTAAGTGGTGTCCGTGTGGGCCGGCAGGGCGACGTTTGTGTACGCCGTGTCGGCCATGGCGAGGTCCGGGACGAAGTCGTAAAATCCGCCGTAATGTGTGTGACGAATGAAGGCGATGCGCTCAAGCAATTGCCGCGTCTTATCTGGGTCATCATAAGGCGTGTTTTCGACCAAGATGAAGCCCCATTTCATCTGACCAAGGCGTTAGTGCTCAGGCCAAAAGGGGGGTGACGATTTCCAGAGAGACGCAGACCAACGTGTTTGTCAAGCTCGCAACGCCGCTATCGGTCTTCATGACGCTCTCATAGGAGATTGTAGGAGGGTTCGTTGCTGCCTCAGAACCCCAGAGATGCCGCATCTTGACCCTGTAAATGTAAGCAGGAATCCGCCGTATGATTTTCAAGCATTGCTGAACACGTACACATAGTCTTCATCGCGGCGCACGTTGTGGTTTGTATAGTGAGTGAGGAACTCCATGTCGTAGCGGCTTCTATGGCCATCAGACCCTAAGTCCAGGTCAGCGCAGCCTCCCCAATTCAGCTGGTGGTCACCAACAATGCACCGTGGCCCCATCATCTTCTTGCACGATAGTGTTCGGCCGTATATCAACCGGGATCTACCACTTCGTAAGCCAAGGACAAGGCAAGCTGGAAACTGAAGATCCCAAAATAGCCGCTTACAGCAAAGGTATCCAGGTTCCGTTGCATCGTGTTGGGATCTACGCATTCCGCGCATCGGCAGTTGTCTCTGCCCGCCGGCGTCAGCAACATCATCCTCGGTTTCGCTGTCACTGTTGAAGGGAGCTCACCGCAGCCAAACCCAGTTGTCCCTGCAGACATGCGCCGTGATGGCTCGATTAGCAGGGAAAGCCCTTACTACAGAACAAGGGGACACGGTGGCCATCAGGCTTTGACTCACTCCAGGGAGCGCTTTTCGTTTCTGCCGGTAAGCTTACAATATACCAGGGGCGGTTCCTTGTCCTCGGCCTTCCTGAAGATTGTGGGCGGTACATTGTACTCGGTCTTCCTGATGATTCCAGATGAAGTCTTGGACGTGCTTTGGAAGCGCCGATACTTCGACGACCATCCAAGTCGACTCCAAAGTCGAGTTGTTGAAGCCAGTATGACAGACGGCCTTGAACACCCGAAACTATTAGCTTTCCTGTCCGACTACTGCAGATAGTCTCTGCGAGGTCACATAACACATTGGCGATGCGCCATCGTCCTCGCCACAATGTTCGGCTTTGACTGACCTCATAAAAACACTGCCTTGAAGTGGACCAGGCCTCAGGGCCCGGAGCGATTTCATCCTGCGCCTACGCTGGCTGAGAGCGTTGATCTGTGTCGCCAAGAATTTTGGTTGAGAATCAGTCGAAGTTCAGGAGAGAGCTGCGAGGTTATCCGCAGCGACGGTACCGTACGCCAAGACCTGGGGCGTTCCCGTCCCGCATCAGGAATCTACATTCCTAGGATAAGGTAGGTACCAACGGGTATTGTTCCTCGACAGAATGCTTTAGTTCATGCGACCCAACTCCTTACAAGACAAAGAGACCCAGGATGACCGAAACGGTAAGGGTCCGGTGAGCCTGGGGTTGGGCCGATATTTTGGATTCCAGAGCCAACTCTCCCATATCCCAGTCGGAGAAACTCCAACATTTTGGTATTGTACCTTGACCTTACTCTTCTTGACCTCAACTTAAAGCTCCCTAACCTCAACCCTTTAGCTACCAAACTTGAACCTATCCCAGAAGGAGCCCTCAGGTTTTGACTGCGCAGAGGCCGGCTGTGGTGACAGAATCATCGTGTTCCACACCTCCACACCATCCACAAAAAGCCGGTATTTCAGACTGCTGCTCCGATCGCCGCCCTCTAGGTTCTCAATCGTGACCACCCCGAATTTGGAGTTACCCGTGTGAATATATCTGGAGCAAGCATATCAGTACCCAGTCATTCAATCCCAATCAAAGAACCCCCAAACTAGGAAGCAAGTAGTAGTACTCACCTAACCTTGACATCCTCCTCATCCGTCTGCCGATACGTCGGAATCGGCGAGTAGAACTGACTAAGTGGACTAACCGAAAACTCCCAAACGGTAGCACTCTCAGGCCACCTCCCGTCCTTGGGCGGGGGGAACTTTGTGGCGGCGAACTCGTGCCTGTCGCCCGAGAGCACCACGACGCCGACCCCGCGGCTGGCCACGTCCCACATGGTCTCGAGCACCCTGCGCCGCTCGGCGAGGAACCCGCCCCACGTGTCGCGCCGGTTGACGGGCCAGTTCTTGGTGAAGGGCACCGACGACGCCACAATCTTCCACTTGACCCCCTTGGGCTCCGGCCGGCGCAGCCAGTAGAGGAAGTCCTCGAGCTGTTCGGGCCCCAGCATGGTCTTGTTGGTGTCGTCAGCGGCCAGGAGGCCGTTGGCGGACCGGAACGAGCGCGTGTCCAGCAGGAAGAAGCTGGCCGGGCCCTGGGTGAATTCGAAATAGGTCGCCCCCGTGCGCGGCCTGAGGTGCCCTGCCTTCTTGGCGGGCGGCGGGTTGGCCGCGGCTTGGTAGTTACGCCACGGGCGCAGTGCGGCCGCGTACGCGCCGGTCGAGTTGGCGGACCAGTCGTTGGCGATCTCGTGGTCGTCGAGGGTGTGAATCCAGCTCAGATTCTGGCCCACCAAAGGCCACTCCGGGGAGGCGTAGATTTGGCGGTACTTTTGGTAGTAGTAGGACTTGTCTTTGGACCAGTACCGCGGGACGTCGGCGTAGATGAAATCGCCGAGGAAGAGCATGAACTGGGCGCGGAGGGAAGGCAGGACTCTGGCAAGGTGCTTGAGCCCAGGGATCGAAAGTGGGTGTTGGAAAGGATTGTAGGGCAAGCGGGGAACGATGCAGGAGGTCGTGACGAAGGTGAACGGGCCGTAGTTGGTCTCCTCAGCGTGGCCGACTGGCGGGGGCGCGGTGAACTCGCCGGAATGGTTGTTAGACGTTCGCCATTCGTAGGTTCTCCTCTTTGCATGGTTCAAAGGGATGCGCACAACAGCCGTGTAGTCGGTCTCATTTGTGGTCCATCTCACTCCGCCCGCATCTTGCCACAACGGGTTGTCGAACGGGGGTAACGGGTCCTTCATTCGGACCTCGACGGTGACAGGCATCTTGGACCAATCCGGCTCCCGAATTAGAAGATTGGCCTCTTTCTCGGACACATATCCGAGCCTGACGAATGAGAGATCGTCAACGGGGTGGTAGCGCTCTCGGAAGAGGCGGTCGGCAACGAAGCCAACGCAGAGGGTGCTGAGGAGGAGCGTTGCGATGGACAGGGGCAGGCTTCGCGGATTTGGGGCTCCCGTCAGCAATGTCCGCCAAAGGTTGAGCGGCCTGTCCTGGACGGAAATGGTTTCCTTGATGGCAATGTCCTCGGCCACAACCTGCTTGTCCCCGTTGGGGGCCCCCGAGTCTGGCATAGCGCCTGGCATCTGGGAAGCCTCATTTTCCACCGTGGTTTCGGTAACCACAACGTCAACTTCATTGACCAGTTGATATTTTGGCTCCTTTCTGTAGCCCAAGATGAAAGCCGGCAGATACACTGCAAAGAGGGTGAATATGACGGCTGGGAGAGCCTTCTGGAGGTTAGATAACGTCTCCTGCTTCGCGCTTGGAATATTCACTTACGGGATGCAGCGCCTAAGAATTCCATGTCAGCTGATATAGTCAGATCGAATCGATGACACCTCGACCAACAAACTTACCCATCTCAAGAATACATAGCTCAGTGCCCTCAGCGCGACTGAGGCTCCTGTCGCGATCTTGGTGTCTCTCGCCTCCATTGTCACTGTGGCCTCTGGTTTCTCCCAAAGTGCCTGTGTCAATATTTCATTCGTATCTTGTCACCTTGATTTATAGGAGCATTGCGATGGTCAGAAGTCGTGGGCTGATTTAGATGTTGAAGCCGAAATTATGAGTGCGACTTTGCTGATTTTACGGCATAAAGCTCCTCTCAAATGAGAGTGAATGATGTATGTAGGATAATAAACCGATTGCTCTTTGAGTCCTCTTTGACTTCTAGGGTTCCTTTTCTATTCACAGCTTGCAGCTTGATCTTGCATGTGTCGGCTCAAGCCAGGTCTTTCAGACTCCTGACGCAAGCGGTAGTGAGTGTACTTGCTAGACTCTGATGTCACCATCCGCAAACGGGACCCGGTTTTGCTGCAGTTGGGCGTTTCAGAGCCTGGGTGACCTGGCGAGATTTGGCTCGGGGAGCTCGGGCCACTTAATGTGGGCCTCTCTTTTGCCAAGCCTGCTCTTGATGCCTGGTCCTGAACCCTGACCCTGGGATGGGACTGCAGCCAGCCGGGACTTGGTTGTTCCGCTTTGAGGCTAGCCAAGCCTTGCCAATCGCATCCGTGTCTTTGGTGGTTTGGTCTCGCGACAGGCGAGCTGTCCTGAAGACCACGGCGACTTAGGTATCGCACATCAGGACGCTTTCTTCAACACTCGGCACAATGCAGCTGCCGCTACTGTCGTACGGTCTCTGGGCCATGCTGGCCGCTCAAGTGATAGCGACAGCATTAACGTACCAGTTGAATGCCAACGAGAAGGCTTGCTTCTACACGGCGACAACACAGCCGGATGTGAAGATTGCATTCTACTTTGCGGTACGTGATCCAGACATGGCAAAGCGCTCTTTATCCTGCACGAGTTGATGCTAATACTGCCCCATTCAGGTGCAATCAGGTGGCTCGTTTGACATCGATTATGAAGTGACCGGGCCGAACAACAAGTTCATCATGCAGGGCCAGAAGGAGCGGCAAGGTGACTTCGTTTTCACCGCCAGGGAAGTTGGCGAGTACAAGTTCTGCTTCAACAACGAGATGAGCACCTTCGCCGACAAGTTTGTCGACTTTGAAATTTCGGTCAGCAAAACACCCTTAGCAGTCTCGATCCGGTCCCTCCCCTTTACTGACTGGCCATGCTCCAGGTCGAGAACGAGGCGCGAGTTACCCTCCCTTCGAAGCCAGGCACCGCCCCTGAGCAGACATCGATGCTCGAGGAGTCCCTGTTCAAAATCTCGGGCCAGCTTTCGACCATTACCCGCAACCAAAAATACTTCCGCACTCGCGAGAACCGCAACTTTAGCACTGTTCGCAGCACCGAGAAGAGGATCATCAACTTCAGCTTGATTCAGATCTTGCTTGTTGTCTGCATGGGTGCCTTGCAGGTCTTTATCGTGCGGTTCTTCTTCCAGGGCGCGAGAAAGGGTTATGTATGAGTCAGGCATCGGTATGGCATGCTACGAAAACTTGATGGGATGGGCAGGTGCAATTGCACAATATCGATAGGCTGGTCTTGCATGAGAGTTTGTATCATTGGGATGGCTCATGCTTGGGGGCGGGATGGTCTCCTGAGGGCCCTAACCGTTATTTAATTCCGGTGCATATGATGGTCATCACTGTGTGCGCAATTTCCTGGGAGTTAGAATGGCGAGATGCTTTTGTGATGTTATCTTTGCAAGTTGTTCATCCAGGTTCCCTTATCTGATCTGTACCTGTACTCCTGAATACCGAATTACGAGGAAACCGCCAGCTTTGACGGGCCGCCACCACCTGTCTTGGAGATGACACGCCGATAAGCTGATAACGCATTCCTCATGCAATGTGCCGTCAATCAACCAGGAATGGTCCAGCCACTTGCACTTGCAACCAGAACTGGAACTTTTCCATCATCCTCTCCACATCCACACTGCCATCTTCAACCGCGTCCCACAACAACCGGCCTGCAGCAATGGCCTCGATAGCGACAGGCCTCTCGCAGGCTCTCCCAAAGCCCAAATACAGCGCCGGCGAAGAGCAGCGAGCTCAACAACGGGGACCCCGAATTGTGGCTGCTGGCCAAATCGACGAGACCCAGATCGTATTGAAGGTTTGTACATCTAGTGCACAGCACATGCGTGATTTGACCGCCAAACAAAGCGATGCTGACCGTGGCCTTCTCCTGCAGAGAGTCGGACCACCCCCGTACCTCCAGCGAGCCGGCTGGCGCCCGCGCACGCCCGAGGACTTTGGCGATGGCGGCGCGTTCCCCGAGATCCCTGTGGCACAATACCCGTGGGGTAAAAACAACGCCGCTTCCAAGTCAAACGCGCTAATTGTGCAGGTCGATGCCGAGGGAAAGGTAGACTACAGCGCCATCGCGCGACAAGGACACAGCAGCGACCGTATCATTCACGCGTCGTTCAAAGACTTGATCCCACTGCGGCAGCGTGCCGAGGCCGGTGACCTCGACCTGTCGCGCCCCAGCCAGGAGGAAGTGGCGGCAACGGCGGAAAGGACCAAGAATGCTCTTGCCGCGCTGGTCAGCGGCGCCGTGGCCGCTCAGAAACCCAAGAACGTCAATGTGGGGGGGAGAAGAGAGCCGACATTTGTCAAGTACACACCCTCGGCGCAGATGGGCGATAATTCGAAGAAGCAGGAGAGAATTATGAAGATTGTGGAACGGCAAAGGGATCCAATGGAGCCGCCAAAATTCAAGCACAAGAAGATTCCACGAGGACCACCGACTCCTCCGCCACCAGTATGTCTTTATGAAAGAACTGCGTACCACCAAAAGTTCATATTTACTAACTATGAAACCAGGTGATGCACTCACCCCCTCGGAAACTCACCGCAGAGGATCAGGAAGCGTGGCGCATCCCACCTGCCGTGTCCCTCTGGAAGAATTCAAAGGGCTACACGATTCCCTTGGACAAGAGGCTAGCAGCCGACGGGCGCAGTCTACAAGATGTCCAGATCAACGACAAATTTGCTCAATTCTCAGAAGCTCTCTTCATGGCTGACAGACACGCCAGAGAAGAGGTTCGGCAGCGAGCCATGATGCAGCAGAGGCTAGCAGAGAAGGAGCGGGCGCAGAAAGAGGAGCACCTCCGCCAGTTGGCGCAACAGGCACGCGCGGAAAGGGCGGGCCGCGGCAGAAGGCGATCAGCGTCGGGCTCGCCGTCCCGGTCCCGGTCTCGCTCCTACAGCGGCTCCGAGTCTGGCTCGGAGACGGACGATTCGGAGCGCGAGCGGAGAAGGGCTCGCAGAGAGAGGCTCCGCGAGGAAGAGCGGAAACTGCGCCAGTCCCGCATGGGCGCGGAGCGGCGGGCGCAGGTGCTCGCGAAGGAGATGGACCGCGACATCTCGGAGAAGATTGCCCTCGGGCTGGCCAAACCGACGCAGTCGGCCGAGAGTATGTACGACTCGCGGCTGTTTAATCAGTCCAGCGGATTTGCCAGCGGGTTCAACGAGGATAATCCTTATGACAAGCCCCTGTTTGCCGCCCAAGATGCCATCAGCAGCATCTACAGGCCCAGGGCCAATCTCGAGGACGACGATGAGGCCGCGGGCGACCAGGAGATGGCGCGCATTCAGAAGGGCAACAGGTTCGGGGAGGCACTGGGCAGAGGGACGTTCAAGGGGGCCGGGGAGGCTGAAGCAAGGGAGGGACCCGTGCAGTTTGAGAAGGACACGACGGACCCGTTCAATGTAGACAAATTCTTGTCCGAGGTCGCGCAGGGCACGACGTCTTCTAAGCGGGGCTATGGTTTGAACGAGGAAGATTCCCGGCAGACCAAGAGGAGCCGGGTAGACGATGACGATGAGTGAGGGCCGGGCACGGCATATCCGGGTATAGACTTGAGGGAGTTGGGGCGTCGGGTACGGTTGCAGACACCAAATGAGCCGGCAAGCTCGGCAGCTTAGTTCCCGGTTCTTCAAGTTGGAGGTGCAACATCGATGAGTAGTGTACGGAGCTCGGCTGCAATACTACCTACAACCGAGACAACTGGCTCAACGCGGTCTACCTAAAGCAGGATAACGCCAAGGGGGTCGTTCCGTATACCAAACTGCAGCGTCAAGGGAGTTTGTTCCGCGCACCGAGCTCGGCTGCAATACCACAAATACCCATTCGATATGGGATCTAAATTACCTAAAATGGTACTTCCAACCGAGACAACTGGCTCAAAGCAGGATATCGCCAAGGGAGTTGTCCGTGTTTGTTGGATGCGCATGGCCTAACGTACCATAGGCTGCCAAGCTATCTATTTGCCCTTGCATTTACTCGCGCAGAGGTCTTTCGATTCATTTGACAAGCGACAGCAAGCTACGCATGGATCTTGTGTTGATATAATGCAGGCAGCAAACCAAGGGTTACAAGGAGTCGACTAAAGGGACTATCCTCGGGTCTGAAGCGACTGTGTCAAGGCCTGTCTCATCAATTTCCAACCACTGGGTAGCCTGGTAAGCCGGTGTTAATTCCGGTCGCTCTCGGATTGAAACCGGTCGCTTTAGCCAGTCCTCGACATGATTCAGGCTGATGGGAGTGCAGTGAGGCGCAGCAAGGTTGTTGGCGCGGACCATAGCGCTCGCTGTGACCCTAAAAGTCTCTATCGGACCGTGATAACGCATTTCCCGTATTCCAGAACGGTTTCCTTGGGGGCTATAGGGCAATACGGATTGGGCAGGTCAAAGTCAGTCAGTAGAATGAATCATAAGCTAGAAGTCGCCGTTAGAATTCGCAACATGCGAATCGACACTCGTCCGTCCCGCAACCCACACACTCCCAGTCAAGAAGGGGCCGTATCCTGCTCCAAGCGGTAAAGCTATGGCCAAAGATTCGGGGGTGATGCCACAGAGCTACGAAGTCGGGAACCATTCATCACCCTGGAACCCCAGGACGTGGTCCCGGAGGGTGTGGACGATCTTGATCACGGCCATTGTCGTGATCGTGATCGTTGTTGTTGCGACGGTGGTGGGCGTCAATGCCACTCGAAACAACAATAATGGTCCCAGCGGCCCCGACCCGAACCGGTATCCCAATTACACGAGGCTTGATTACACCCTGGCTGATACATGTGAGTTGACTGTGAAGTGATTCTCCGAAAAGGGGTTCCAGGAAGCACAGGGAGGGAGCTAATTCACTCCTGAACCGCTAGACTCGGGCACAACCTTCTTTGACAAGTTCAACTACTTCGCCACGTGGGATCCAGGTATGGCCTCTATGTGCGAATGCTTCTAGTCCAGCAGGCTTGACTGATAATCCTATTGGTAGCCGGGGGATTCGTTCACTATGTCGATCCGGAGTACGATGCGAGATACGTAAGTCATCTTCCCCTTGCCCAGCAAATCCCTTCATCTCTCACCTCAGATACTAACCTTCCTTCAAACAGAACCTCACCGTCGCGACGGCTTCCAGCGCCATCGTCAAGGTCGACACCACCGTCGGCCCGGACTCGGAGCCGGACGCCTCGACGGGCCGCTTCTCGGTCCGGCTCGAGTCAAAAGCCCAGTACGGGCCAGGCCTGTTCCTGTTCGACGTCAAGCATACCCCGTACGGGTGCGCAACATGGCCAGCCTTGTGGCTAGCAGAGTTTGTCCCCCCCCCCTCCTCCCCCCCATCCGCTTTCCTAAACAAGATGATGCCCCTGACACACACCAACCATCACCAGCCCAAACAACTGGCCGCAGAACGGGGAAATCGACATCCTCGAGTCAGTCAACCAAGCCACCACGGGAACCATGGTCGCGCTGCACACCACAGCGGGGTGCACCATGGAGAACATCCGGCGGGAAATGACGGGCGCGGCGGGGCAAGCGGACTGCCACAACGCGACCAACGGCAACACGGGCTGCGTGGTGAACGGGCCGCCGGCGACTTTCGGCAAGGAGTTCAACGACGCCGGGGGCGGGCTGGTGGCGCTCGAGTGGCGGAACGAGGGGATCCGCACGTGGGTGTTTGCCCGGGACAAGGCGCCCCTGAAACTGGACGGGACGACGGCTGCGAACCCGAAGCCGGACCCGAGCACCTGGGGCCCGCCGCTGGCCGATTTCCCCTCTACGACGTGCGACGTGGCCGCGCATTTTCGCAATCAGAGTATTATTGTTAACATTGACCTGTGTGGGTATCTCACGGAGGCGGTCTGGGGCTCGTCGGGGTGTAGTAAGTCGCCCTTTGTTTTGTATCATCTGCGTCATGGCAACCGGGACGCTAACCAGGAGCAGGCCCATCGACCTGCCAGGAGTTTGTTGCCAACAACCCGTCGGCGTTTACGGATGCGTACTGGGAGTTTGGGGCCTTTCATGTGTACAGGGTGCAGTGAGGAAATACCAACCAGGGAGGTTGATGAATGACCATGGATGGATCTATATATCTCTTGTAATGCTTGGTATGATATATCATGGATGACTTTGCCCAATCGATGTCCCTTTTGACTATCGGTTCCCACTGCTACTAGTACACGATTACTCCGGCCCTCGTCTACCATATAGCCCATGTCTAAGCCAACTCAAGTGGAGATTGTGCGCCCCTTCCGGCAACGACAGGTATCTGCCCCGGCCCCGGCCCCCGATCGAGTCTATACATACATCCCGCTTGCAAACAAAAGAGCCATCCCAGATATCCCGCCCCTAGGTCTATGCAATACAGCCCGCCGAACGCCAATGCCATGGAAAATGTCACCCAGCCCCCCAGCTGTCCAGCTCAGCCGGGAAGCAACCCCCCCTAAAGGCCTTACAACACACCCTTCCCGGTCTCACTCAACCACCACCAACCCTCGACCTCCCTCACACAGATAGTATAGGTATCAATCCTCATCCTTAGGCATCCTCATCCAGGCATCAATAGCCGCACTGAACGCCGCGAACCCCGCACACCCTAACGCAGCCGCCTGGGGCCCTCCGTTGCGGGCCAAAATGGCGCCCGTCGCACAACCCGCCGCGACACTATTCCCGAGATCGTTCTTGGCCCGCAGCCCCTCAATGCCGCACTCGATGCCGCTGTACAGGGCGCCAATGGCCCCAAAGTTCTTGGCCGAGCTCCACGAGCGCGCGCCCATGTCCTTGAAGCCGTTCGCCAGCTGTTTCCGCAGTGGGAGGGAGGATATCGAAGCCGGTGTCGCGGCGGCGCTCGCGCCGGGTAAACCCGCGGCGGGCGCGGGGGAGCCTGGAGCGCCGGGGGCGCCGTGGAAGGGGGTGTCGTAGGACATCTTTTTGTCTGTGTTAGCTTGATTTGATTCCAAGGCGCATTTCCACGCCGAAAGGGAGGGGGTTACGCACCGAAGCCATAAACATGCCGAACAACCCGCCCATAGCGAAACCCATGGCGCCGCTCATGACCGTCTTGGCGTAGCACGATTCCATGGCATTGCTAAGCTGTAAATCCATCCCATGTTAGCAGCCAGCCTCCTTCCTTAGCAACCAAACATACTTAAGAAGAAGACATACCCATTTTACATTCGGATCGTTGGGATCAAACCCAGGCGCGCCCGGTCCAGGGGCCCGCGCCGAGGGGATCCCAAAGACACCACCACCACCGCCACCGCCGCCGGGGAAGTTCATGGCCAGTTGTGTTGTGATGCCACCGGGAAAACTCGGTAGTACTCCCCAATCCGTTGGTCGAACGCCTCAGAGTACAAAACGGGATTCGAGGCCTGGCGACTGATGGTGGGAAAGAGAAAGGGACCCCCTTAGCTTGCCGTGCTGAGGAAAACGAACGGCGAAATGTCGTATGCTTTCTGCCGCGCTCCGCTACGTCGCCGTCGCAAAGATCAGGAATGAGTGGACTGAGGTTGTGGAAGGAGGGTCTGTACAGTAGGGATAGCGGGTGAGAGGTGGGCAGTCTTGGACGTTATCGGCCAGAAAAGTTGCTTATCAGCCGCCCCAACCGTCCCTGAATCTTTGTGCCAGTTGCCACCGCTTTGCTTGTGACGCCACAGTATTCGGTAACGATAACGATACGTGTACTGTAATATACGTGCATGCGTTACAACGATATTCAGCGACGATAGCTATGTGATTAGTGCCTCATATGCTTGTTTCGAAATCTTAAAGAGTCAGCAATGCTATGCCCCTCAACCGTCGCCGTAAGGGGTAATGTTAACCACCTACTAGTGTAGCATTGTGTACTGAATAAACCACCAGCCTCTGGCCAGCTACCTTCAAACTGCTTGCTATCTTGGTTATGGTTAAAACACCCCTAACCATTCCTCCACCCAATCTCTACTCTTACTGCCACATAACCGCCTTCCCTATTGCCCGCTGCTATCCGTGTATCACCCACGGCACAGCCATCTCGCCCACGATAGCCACCAGTAGAAAAGGATAAAAGTCCAAGAAGAAACGTAACCAATACAGCTGGATCCCGGAATACCACTTTTGACCCAAAAACAGCGGTCACTAGGCTCAAGACACAGATACACCATGCCCGTACTGCACCAGAAAATGTGCCAACAATGCATCCCCAATGCAATGTCTAGCCCTTGAGAAACAGGTCAACGCCATTCCGCACTGATCTCGTCCGGTCGGGATGGTCCATGCCCAGAGCATCGTCCGGGTTTGCGGCCACGTCCCAGAGAATGTCATCTGCCGCGGCAAGCGTTAGCTCCAATCCAACGCCCATCGTGAGGGGCTCATCTTACCATCTGTTAGATATTGCGGTCTTGAAAACTGCGCCCTGCGGACCACGGCGAACTTTATCTTCTCGAAGCTCTTCCCCTTGAGCCCCGTTCGCTTTTCTAATCGCTTCTTGGTCTCGGAGAACGGTTCTCCTTCCCTGAGCAGGAAGCGGAACGGTATGCCATGCGGCCTGCTAGGCTCGCCCTGGAATTGGAATACCGATATGAAGTGCGTCTGATCCTTGACCTCGGCGTCCTCCGGAGGCATGCGTTCAGCTATCACCGATGTGTAATCATTGATGCTGATCACCGGATAGTTCCTCTCCAGTTCCCGGAAAAACTTATGATTGCTGATCTCGTAAATGCGGATCCGCCCTGCTTCCTCTTCGCTAGGGATTTTCGCCTTCTTGACTAGGCATTCAATGAGGTCTTCCACTTGGCCGTTCTTGGGCACAAGAAGGTCGAATTGATCCTAGACATTTCGATATTAGCACAGGCAAGTGGTTGAAGTTGCGTAAGGAATCCCTGCCCACCTCTTTCGTGATACCCTCGCTAAGGAGAGTGACCTTGATGCCCTTCTTCGTCTCCAACTCGGCAAGGCTCATGTCGAGGACTTCAAAGAAGAGCTCGTCGTTCCGCTGGTTCATGTTCAGCTGACTATAACCTGCCGGGTTGAGGATGCCGCCGAGCGTCTGGTTCGACCCTCGCTTGACAGCGTTCCTGGGGTTACCAGAGCTTGCATTGATCGTGTAAAAGCGGAGGTGCGTCGGCTCGACTTCCAGCCGCTCGCCAATCTTTTCCGAGAGCTTGTCATAGCTGATCTTGGAGTTCAATACCATCTCAAAACCCGGATATGTTTCCGCATCGCATTTCTGGGGGTGAGGAAGGAATGTGACCACCCTCTTATTCAGCAGGAAATCGTAGTACTCTCTCGCGTCTTCAAGCCGGTCCGTTGATCTCGATCTAAACTACGTCAGTGAATGCATCTCCCTCACAGGTCGAGCTTCGTGGAGCTTACATGTCACGGGGGGCTCCTAGACCTAGCATCGGCTTGCGCTCGTGGACCCGCTGGAAGCAAACAATGTCGCCATCCTGGAGTTCGGAGACTCTGAGCGTAACCTTCGCTTTCAAGCCCTCAATCATGTTGGGTTTGATTTCCTATAGAGATATTAGCAACCAGCTTCAGCCGGAAAAACGATGGCTTGCTTACCTCCCAGAGCTGGATCCTCTCGTCGCTAGGGAGCTTATCACCCCAGCCCATTCGCTTCATGATGATTGGCAGCAGATCCTCCACTTTCTTTTCCTTGCTGATGTAGACATGGCCAATGCCTCTCAGGGTCTGAGATTCGACGTCGAACCACTTGAGGAAGAGCAGGATAAGGTCATTTTTTACGACAACCCCATTCGGTAGCCCGGAATATGCCGGCCAAACCGCAGCGCCCTCAGCGTTGACCTCCTCAGCAACCTCAACCCACACACGCAGCGCCTGATCCCTGTGAGCGGATGCCTTTACGTAAACTTCTTCAACGGTCGGGCGGAGGTCCATGACGGGTTGATCCGGGCGAATCGTCTTGTTTTGGCGGTTAACCATGTGCCAGAGCCGAACCCGTCTAGGGTCTTGCCCGATATCGGCCGCGATGTGGTTTACCAGGTCTTTCATTGTAGCCGTGCGAAGCACTCGGTAGAACCGTGGTGCTGCGGGATCCTGCTCTGGCGCTGCGTCAAAGTTCGTGAGATCGGTGCCGCCATGTTGTTGAAAGGTTGCTTCGGTAATCGCCTTCACGCCGAGATAGAGGTGCTGTTCTTCTCTTTCTCTGCGCCGGGCCTCTCGCGCGGCCATTTCCTCCTCGAATCTCTTCTCTGGATAGAGGTCAACAACGCCAAGCTAGGCTGGCTTGATCATGGTACTCACGAAGATGTGCTGGGGTGTCTTCTGCTGTTACCGGGCAGAGGATTTTGTCGAGTCTCGACTTGCGAATGTACACCAGCATGTATGCGCTGTTAGGTCGCATAACGGGAACCTTCTTATCTTTGAGTGTCCGGAGCGAGCCGTTTGGCAGCTTGAAAGGGCCGCCGAAATTCTCCTCAAGAACTTCCCGTTTCGTAGCCCTGGTGACGCGGTCGTCGTCGTACTTATACCACCAACCGTCCTTGTTTGGCTTCAAAAAGGCGTAGTAATGGCCCGCATTAAGGTCGCCGCTATGTACCAAGACGCCATGAAGTTGGTATTCCCATGATTCCGACCTGTCAGCCTCTTTGTCCAGGTAAAGCGAGGCGTCAAATTCCTCTGGAAACTCGTATCGATCATTGATCTTCATCATGGCATCGCGTTGTATATCGTACTCAAACCGCTTCAGCTGCAAATGGAGCACGTCAGGGAAACTCATGAAAATCACGCCCTTATTGGCATCTTGCAGCTTGTACTGCTCGCCCGCGTAGTACTGGTTCTCGCCATCGAGCTTCTCCACCTGGATATAGTCCTGGAAACTGTCCAGGAGATTCTCGTTGCCGCTGACGTTGAGCTGGACATCCCAGAAGTCCTCGACACGGCTGGACTCGTACGGCACGTTGATGCAAGAGATGTATGTCTTGATCTTGCCACTGAACATCTGCGGTAGTGCCTTCTCGAACTCGGTGCCCTTCATTTTATCCTCCATTCGCTCCATGAGCTTCCGCGAGAGCTCTTGCACATCCTGTTGCTCGAAGATGTGCCGCGTCTCCCAGCCAAATGATTTGGTCAGTTCATTCGTCCCTACGGCTGTATTGGAGGTTTGCAGCTGGTAGAACAGCCTCTGTAAGGTGTAGGCGCTATTGCTCATGCTCTCGTCGTGCTGTGTGGGGATCCGGTAGATGGCCTATCCAGACGTTAGCTCGGCAGCCTTACGGGGCCAGCTTAGGCAAGTTACCTTGCGAAAGGCATTGGTAAAGTATAATGATTGCAAGAGCGAGTTCAGGTAGCACGTTGCGCCCTGGTTCTTGAGCCCAACATATCCCGTCTCTTTCTTGGAATCGTAGTTGTTGAAGTTATGCCACAGGACGCCGGTTTCATCCTCAACAATCCTGACGAACGCGCTGATCTTGGCGCAGTCGTTCTCGACAAGGGGCCGATCGTGGTTCTCCCATACGTTGTTAAACATCTTTCTCAGCTCCAAAAACCTCGTAAATCCCCAGTCACTCTCCTCCTTGGTGAAGCGGTGGTGGGCACTATGATGCCAATAGATGGACGGATCGTTCGGATTCCACAGCACGAGCGAGAACTGTACACACATGGCCCAATCGTCGGGTATACTGTTAATGCTATCGAACCCGTGCTCGAGGTAGGCGGAGCAATGATCGAGAACATTGTTGCCGTGCGGAAAGAGAAGGATTCGCCTGCGCCGGGGCGTTAGCGTTCAGAACTCGGCACAATCGGGAAAGCGCCGTGTTCCTTACCATGGAGAGCCGCCTGCATGGAATACCGGGCTATGCTCTTTCTTGCTCAGCGTCCGCCACCCCTCCAGCGTCCACGTGAACACCACATCTTCGAGGGTTCGGGGCTCTTCAACCAAGGGCGGAAGCACGTGCGGCTTCATGGCCTCGTCTGCAGGAGGAATCAGCGCGTGAAGCAGAGACAAGCGAGCATATGGCTAACATACGGTCAGTCACAAGGGGAGTGGTAGTCTCCATGCCATCGGGGTTTATGATGGCGACATCTTCGGCCTCTGCTAAGTTTGCCTCGACGACATGTTCCTCAGGGGCGTCGACCATCATAGTATTAGGTGAAGCGGCTTCGAAGGTCAGATCGTCGTCCTGGATGTCCAGATCAGCGAACTCGTCGTCCGGCGGGCTGGGAATCAAAGTATGGCCGTCCATTTTGGAAGGTACGTGGAGAGGGGCGTTCTGGCGAGCGGCTTCGCGATATGGATCGAGACAATTGAGGGATGTAGGTAGGGGAGGAAAGTGCAAGAAAGAAAAATGTCAGCGGGGTTGGGCTATGGACAACCTCACGCGGACAGGCAGTAAAAGAAACGAAAGCTGTCTTCCAGATCGATTCGAGTTCTCGGTGCTTGCTCAGGGAAAGGAACTGACCATCTTCACGGGGACAGGGCTGCCAGAATGAAGGCACGAGCCGCAATGGAAGACAGGTATGTAGGTATATGGAGCGTCTGTCAGGAGCTCCTGCACGCTGAGAGGGGCTTGAAGACCAAGGCACTGCAACTGTCGGGCGATCCGGCAAACGGCGTGGCGAGCAAAGTTGCAATGCTTAGTACAAATATAACGTTAGAAGTACGATGCAGCCCTGGAGATGTTGCAAGCTACTGCCAAAGAAGAGCAAAGCCAGAGAGCGCCAGGAAAGTCTGAAAAGACAAGCAACGCGACCGTGGGAGGGCTGGAAACGTCTAAGAGTTGTGCACTACCTCGCTCTTTTGCTGGTGTTGCGAAGCAGGCGCAGCACAGGTTTTCCATTTTAGCACACATTTCAATACAGGTAGCTTGACTCTGGTGGTGTCAGCAAGGTACCCGGCTACATCCCTCTTAGTAAGAGACATGTGCGACGGTAGCCAGGGGGTCAAGGTAACTCTCTAACTGCGTTGCCCGAAGGAACAAGGGTCAGTTATTGAACCCCTCCAATGACGTGGGGTGCCGAGGATTTGCACTGGAGTTCTAAAATCGCGGACCTGACGAACTTTGCCGTCTCAAACGACCCCTATGCTACGGATACAAACTAGTACAACTTGTATACCGCTAACTGTTCGATTGTCTAACTCTGAATTATGAAGTGGTCCGATATCCGCTAAAGATTCCTTGTTACACAGAGCCGGCAGTTAGTTGCGGACAATGAGAGTCGGCGAGACAGGAAGGCAAGAGCTGATGCGTCATACAGTTAAGTTACTAGCTTTAGCGTCATGATGCCGCTTTGTTTCCAAGGCATTCAATGTTAGCCCCGTACCTCTGCAAGACTGTCTTTGAAGTTCAGTGTCATCGACAAACTAGAGGTTTCGGAGCCGATGGAAGTCGAGTCTGAGACAACATAACTCTGAATGGAATCAGTTGAATGGTTTGGTAATTACTTCGTATTGTTAGCACAGTATTTCTGCATGAAGATTTGCACTGTCTAAATGTACATTGTTCCTACTTAGCGGCACAACCCCCTTTTGCCAAGCCGTAAACTTGCCGTTGAATTATGTAAGCAGTTGCCAACCCGCTCAATTCGCAGCAGCCGCTGGCCATTCCAAACGCTTGATCTTGGGAGCGGCTGGTGCCAGGAGCAGTTAAAAATGCCATACGTTTGGAATTTACCAAGCGTCTTACTGAAGCAACGGTTGCAGGGCAGCTTATACTTTGTAAGCGGTTGCTCAACGGCTGGAAGATGGGAGCGGCTGGGCAACGGTTGTGAATGGGGATAGCTCTGTAAGTGGTCGGGTCCCTGACTCCTTCCTTTATATAGCTAACCTCTAGGCAGCGACCGTCGCCAGGCAGCCGTGGGCTTGCCTGGGCTCTCTTTGACTTAGCGAACTTCAGGTTCAGGTTCCTCCTCCATCTTCCTCAATTTTCGATCCTGGGTGCCATGACTAGTCCGGCTCCCAGAGTCTCCTGCTCCCAGGTCTCCTGGCTCCCGAGGTCTCCTTCTCCCAAGGTCTCTCCTGGCTCCCAAGGTCTCTCCTGGCTCCCAAGGTCTCTCCTGGCTCCCAAGGTCTCTCCTGGCTCCCAAGGTCTCTCCTGGCTCCCAAGGTCTCTGGCTTCCGTGGTCTCTGGCTTCCGTGGTCCCTGGCTTCCAAGGTCTCCTGGCTTCTACGGTCTAGCATCCATTCCCTGTCTCTGTGTGAGTTGTACTCTGGCCTTGGTATGTTTCTGCCCTCTGATCGACGTTACTGCTCACTGTGATAGGTATGCCCTTTGCGCTGTGCTGTCTGCGGCGGACCGGCGGTACGACCAAGGCGGTGTAGGCCGGCAGTTGAAAACAGAAGCGATTTCGCAAAGTGCCCTGGAATCGCGTTTTCTAGCCAATTCAGCGATCCTGTTTCTAGCGAATTCGGCCAACTCAACTGCCCTGGCAAGTCGACTCCCTAGACTTCCCAAGTTACAGAGTCCCCACGAAGTCGCCTGCCACCTATGCAACATTGACTTACAGCCTTGGAGGGTAGATAACTAGTAGTCTAGATATCTTTAAATTGATCATGTTCGTTAGTCTATGTAGTGCAGTGATCTGGGTGTACGGAGTAGGAGTGGTACTGTATGTATGTACGTACCCCTGAGCACGGGCCCTACCCTCCTCCAGCCGCTGGCATTTCCAAGCCGCTTACTTTCCCAGCCGCTTACTCTTACCAGCGGTCAGTACAACGGCTGAATCTGGAATAAGCCGCTTACTTAACCCAAGCGATTGAGAAAAGTATGCGGCAAACTTTTAGTTGACTGAGCTAAGCGGCTGAGGACTCCCAGCCGTACTACATCGGTGGGCACGCGGCTTACAAAAAAAGGGTGGAACCCCTAAGTAGGTCCACTGTATTGTGGGGTGAAGCACCTGAGCTGCCTGCACTTGTACAGTACTTGTACTGATGTATGTACAGTACTCAACCGACTGTCCGTTGCAACACCATGGTCCTGCTGCGACATCGCGAGATGACAATCCACTGCCCTCAGTGTCTGTGATGACTCGCCTACGGTTGAATAAACAGTCCTGCTCCTCAAAAGCTCCCAGGTCTTCTTATCCCTATGTGTAAGCCTGACCACCAGGTACTTTGGAAGTTTGGATCTAGCGTTGGCCAGCTCGCTTGAGAACCAAACAGCAGATGTAAACCAAAGTTGCCTTTTCGCTTCACGAATCCTTCTCCGAATTGCAGTCATCCTCGACAGGGGAAGACCAAATTGATCGCCCAGCCGCGGCTCTCGTCGCATGGCAGCGGCGGTATGTTTCGCCTTTCGCTGAAGCATGCCACGGCCCACATTCGGCCGGTGACGAGGACGAGGGAGCTGGGTGTGGCATTTCGCGCCCACTATTCGCATAATCATGGGCCGATATGGCGTCCTATGTCTGTCCTGGACGAGTTAGACTTCCCCCGCCTCCTTGTTCCTTGCTCTGCCATATTATTGTGTTCTGGAGCACACGCTCACACATTTCTGGGACAGATGGGTCGCAAAGGAAGCTCGGCCTATTAGTCTGCGCCAACTGATGGTGTTCGGCCGCTCATTGACTGAACCGAGACTGATCAGTTCGGCCAACTATGTACGGACTGAGTTGCCAACAAGGCAAGTTCTTGCCCTGTTCCTGAATCCAGAGCCCCCGTTCTGATGGAGCATGCCGCCTCAGAATTGCCCACCGGATTCGCGACATGCAGATACTGCCATATTCTGTAGTCACGAACCCCCACATGAAGGAGGTCTACGAGCTGTACTACACTGCTTTCGACACGTTCCGGAAAGTCAAGGAAATCAAGACGCTCCAAGACAACGACCGCTTCTGCGAGACTATCCGCTCCATGCTCAAAGCCCATTTGACCGTCATACCAAAGCTAGCGATGGGTGTGCTCGAGTGTAACGGCTTGATGGACCCGGCTGAGCTCGACAAGTTCATGAACACGATCCTTCGATCTGTTGGTCTGCCCCGTTTACTCCCTGCTCATGATCCGTTCCACGAGTAACACTAAAGGCTCTCAGCGCATCTCTCGCCGTGTCATTGCTGAGCAACATCTCGCCCTGACAGACACCTTCCACGCCCCCTGGTTCTCACCTGGCGCCAAGCTCCCCGAAACCGAGTTCATCGGCGAGGTGTTTCTCCGGTGTGTCGCCAAAGACGTAATCGAAAGGTGCGGCGCCGCCATCAGGGACATCGCCCAGCGCGCCTACGGCCCAGACGTTATCCTCCCCGAGATACGCATCGACGGCCACCTGGATGCGACTTTCCCCTACATCCTCAGCCATCTCGAGTACATCATTGGCGAGCTGCTCCGCAACTCAGTGCAAGCCGTGGTAGAGAGGTCTCAGCAGCTCAACAACAAGGGCGACGACACAACGCCCCTGAAACCCCCGCCCATAGAGGTAACTATCTGCGAGAGCTCCCAGCACGTCATAATACGCATCTCGGACAGGGGCGGCGGCATACCCGCCGACAAGCTGCCCTATCTTTGGTCCTTCACCAAGGGGCCGGCAAGTGACAAGATCCTGGCCAATCTGGAGCAGGTGCCCAAGATGGCTGCCACGATGCAGGAGCTCCAGGTGGAAGGGCACTATCACGGGGGCGACGACCATCAAGGAGCCGCCGATTCCGTGGACAAACATGGCCAAGGCAGCGGTGGTGGCGGGAGGAAGAAGCACGAGAAGGACGGGCCACAGGCCAACGTGACCAGCTCGCTGGCGTCGCTCTCGAGCCGGCCGCCTAACTTGCGGCTCGGTATGGGCCTTCCCCTCAGCAGGGTATACGCCGAGTACTGGGCCGGCACGCTGTCGCTGCATAGCCTCGCCGGGTACGGCGTGGATGCCTTTCTGCAAGTCTCCAAGCTCGGCAATAAAAACGAGCAACTGACTACGCGGGCGAGCATGGATGCAGTGTAGGATTAACGTAATATGCCTACTTGACAGGTTACAGGAGTATTCATGGAAGTATCGGCACTCGGACGCGGCATAGCATAGCTCAAACACTGATTCGAAGGGAAAACAAACAAGCGAAACACCAAAACAGTTACTTGTTCGCTTCCTGATCGAGAACTGGCAGCCTTTCTCATTATCTGGTATCATGAAAGGGGCGGCTAAATTACATCATGACTAAGTCGAATAAGGGGTGCTCTGGTAAAATCCGAGTGGAACGAGGACCAACTTGGATGAGATTACGGCGACGGTCCAGGTTCCTTCTGGAGACTTCCGCCTCGTCCTCCCTTCTTTACAGATCTGACGCACCTTTTTCGGTTGCTGTGGAATAGTTGAGGACAATGAATAAGGGGAAAACAAATGGGAAAAAGGCTAGGCCATGGGGAATATGTCAACCAACACCTCTATTGAGCACCGCGTGGTGTCTCCCTTCGCATAGCATATTCCCTACCAAAGATGGAATGGTATGCTAGGGAAAACAAGGTTGAGGAGTTTTTTTCTGCCGCTCGCAGGGGAATAGTGAAAACGACTCTCTCGGGGGCAGAACAGCAAGAAGGGTTGGCATAACCGGATCGTTTCGCTAGACCAAACGGTACGGGCAAGAGCAGGCCATGGACGAAAACGCCCAGGGGCAATTTCCAAAGGAAACTTTTCTAGCGACGGCCGTGGCTGCGAACGGCGTTGCCCTGCAACGCCTCGAGCTCGCTCTCGAGCTGCTTGATCTGGGCGTGGGTCTGCTCGAGATCCTTGTTGAGGCGGTCGCGCTCGGCAATGAGTTTCTGCTCCCATTGCCGGAAACGCTGCTCCTCGATCTTGACCTGCTCGGTGAAGCGCTTGCGCAGCGCCTCCTCCTCCTCCTTAAACTTGGGGTTGTCGAGCTTTCTCGGGCGGGCCTCGCCAAACTTGCGCGTCTCCATCTGCTGGGCGCGGTAGGCCTCGTAGTGAAGCTCCTCGGTCGTGTGGATCAGGTCCAGCATGTGAGTGCGGATCAGGATGGAGCGAAGCTTCTTGAAGTCGCAGTGGTCCTCGTTCTCGACCTCGGCGACACCCCACGAGTACTGACGGCCCTTGACGATGCGCCCGTCGTTTGTCTTGACGTCCTTCTCCGAGCCGATGACGGCGAAGGGCATGGCGGCCATCAAGCTCCTCGCGTGCTGCGCAGCCGCCTCGTCGTCCTCCTCAATCGGCGGCTGGTAGATCTTGATGCTTTGGGCTTCGATAACGGCACGGATCTGAACATGGGATTAGTTTTGCTCTACAGTTGGCATAAAAGGGGCCTGGCCGAATGCTCACTCTCTGCTTGAACTTGGCCAAATCTGCCGGGCTGAGTGTATCGGCCTTGGCAATGACTGGGATGAGGTTGACGCGCGAGCACAGCCGCTTCATGACCTCGATATCTAGAGGCTTGAGGGTGTGACCGGTAGGTCGGATGAAGTACAGGCAAGCATGCACACGAAGATCGATCTTGTCTTGGCGGCGGGGCTGCTGCTCCTGAAGCATGTAAGACTCGTGCTGGTCGTCGAGGAACTCGATGATGGGCATCCATGAGTCGCGGTTGTTGACATAATCACCGAAACCGGGTGTGTCAATAACAGTCAGGCGGACTAAGCACCAGTCAGAGTTAAAAACCACGACACGCATGGAGGGTACGCGTCACGCATCCGTACCCTTGAAGAACTTCTCCTCCAGCTCAGCCTTGGTAATCTCGATCTCAACTGTCTTGTCGACCTGCTTCTGATGTCGGCGCTTGTGGTCGGCATAGTTCTTGATTGTGGTGGAGAACAGCGTGTTGATGAAAGTCGTCTTGCCCAACCCAGACTCGCCAGCAACCTACAACAGGGTCAGAATGAGCCGTGTCTGCATCAATACAAGTGTCCCGACCATGATTGTGAATGCAGCTCCCCTCTTGGCAACAATCTTGTGCCTCTGGTTGGGGAGGTTGGCGATGCCGATGGGCGACGCGCTTTCGGCGGTGGCAGGGGCCATCTTGAGTTCTGAGCCGACGCAGCGAGTTATCGATCGAATGAAAGAATTACAGAGGTAAAAGGGATCGGATGTCCCGCCGCTACAACAGCAACGAATGCAATTGGGCGCGGATGTCGCAGAAGCAGAAAGATGGGTTGGGTCACCGGTGGTCAATGGGAGAGATGGCGGAGCTCATGTTCTTCAGGGGAATTTGGCTGTCAAATTTCCAGGGTGCCTCGAACCCGAAGTGTTGTGCACGGAGCACCCATTCACAGAAGGAGAATGGGGTCAAAATACGGAGTGGGTCCCTTCTCCCCTTTTCCACCCACCTTCCCCAAGTCGGCCTGGTGGATCTCCCGCCAAGCAACGAGTTGCCGGCCGGGCAAGTCCCGTCCTCGCATCGGAACCTAGGAGAAAGGATTTGCCGTCCCCGCTAAAAAGTTCCCAAAAGACGGGAGTTCATGAAATTTTGGCAGCGAGCGCCGGCGACGAAGGATACTTGATAATCATTCATCCCACTTTGGCCATTGATTGTAGCCTTGCCCAAAGTTGATGATTCTGGTGCCAAGAGAATGGACCAGAGGTGATTAGCAGTGAAGAAGTGTGACCATGAAGACGGATTTCAAGTTTTCGAATTTACTGGGAACAGTGTACTGCCAAGGCAATCTGCTGTTCAGCCCAGACGGTACCCATCTCTACTCGCCCGTTGGGAACAGAGTCACCGTCTTCAATCTTGTCGAGTAGGCACTTTGCACTTGCGGGCCTCTTGTTATCATCGCTAACCCAGGGCTAGCAACAAGTCGTATACACTCCCATTCGCCCACCGAAAGAACATCTCGAGGATAGGCTTGACCCCGCAGGGCAACCTCCTCCTCTCCGTCGATGAAGATGGCCAGGCAATCCTCACGAATGTCCCGCGTCGCGTTGTGCTCTACCATTTCTCTTTTAAATCGGCAGTGACGGCGCTTTCATTTTCTCCCTCAGGACGGTACTTCGTGGCCGGTCTCGGGAGGAAAATCGAGGTCTGGCACGTCCCATCGACTCCGGACTCGAACGTCGAGGGTGATCTCGAATTTGCGCCCTTTGTACGCCATCACACACACACGCAGCACTTCGACGATGTCCGGCATATCGAGTGGTCGAGCGACTCTAGATTCTTCCTGAGCGCTTCCAAGGACCTAACGGCGAGGATATGGAGCTTAAATCCGGAAGAAGGGTTCACCCCCACCGTCCTGTCAGGTCATAGACAAGGCGTGGTGGGCGCTTGGTTCTCCAAGGACCAGGAAACCATCTACACCGTCAGCAAGGACGGGGCCGTCTTTGACTGGAAGTACACAACAAAACCGGGCATGGACGAGGATGAGATGGTGGATGATTCAGATATGCGATGGAGGATCGTCAACCGACACTACTTTATGCAAAACAGCGCGACCCTCCGATGCGCCGCTTTTCACGCCGAGTCGAACCTGTTGGTCGCTGGCTTCTCGAACGGCATCTTTGGGCTGTACGAGATGCCCGACTTCAACATGATCCACACGCTCAGTATCTCGCAGAACGAGATTGACTTTGTGACAATCAACAAGAGCGGAGAGTGGCTGGCTTTTGGTGCGTCCAAATTGGGGCAACTTCTGGTATGGGAGTGGCAGTCCGAGTCCTACATCCTAAAGCAACAGGGGCATTTCGACGCCATGAATGCCTTAGTTTACTCACCCGACGGACAGCGCATCGTCACTGCCGCTGACGACGGCAAGATCAAGGTGTGGGACATCGAGTCCGGATTCTGCATAGTGACGTTCACCGAGCATACAAGCGGTGTCACAGCCTGCGAGTTTGCCAAGAAAGGGAACGTTCTCTTCACCGCGAGTCTGGACGGTTCGGTCAGAGCGTGGGATTTGATTAGGTACAGGAACTTTAGGACCTTTACGGCGCCGGAGCGGCTGTCGTTCTCGTGCATGGCCGTTGATCCAAGCGGAGAAGTTGTAGCCGCAGGGTCGATTGATTCGTTTGATATCCACATTTGGTCTGTGCAGACAGGGCAACTGCTCGATCGACTTTCCGGGCACGAAGGCCCGGTCTCGTCCCTTGCGTTCGCACCTAACGGGGGCCTCCTTGTCAGTGGCAGCTGGGACAGGACAGCGCGGATATGGTCTATCTTCAATAGAACGCAGACCAGCGAGCCTCTGCAGCTGCAATCAGATGTTCTCGATATCGCTTTCAGACCGGACTCGTCGCAGATCGCCATCTCGACTCTGGATGGCCAGTTATCATTCTGGTCTGTATCGGAAGCCCAACAAATATCTGGCGTCGACGGTCGCCGCGACGTTTCGGGTGGCCGCCGAATTACGGACCGTAGGACCGCTGCGAACGTGGCTGGAACAAAAAGTTTCAATACCATCCGCTACAGCACCGACGGCTCATGCCTCCTGGCGGGCGGAAACAGCAAGTACATCTGTCTCTACTCCGTCACTACAATGGTGCTTCTTAAAAAGTTCACGGTGAGCGTCAACCTGTCGCTCTCGGGTACCCAGGAGTTTCTCAACAGCAAACTGCTCACCGAGGCAGGGCCGGCCGGCCTCCTTGATGAGCAAGGAGAGGCATCCGATCTAGAGGATAGGATAGACCGGTCATTACCTGGTTCCAAACGGGGCGACCCCTCCGCAAGGAGGAGAACCCCCGAAGTAAGGGTAACCGGGGTGGCCTTCTCGCCAAGCGGCTCCGCATTTTGCGCTGCCTCAACAGAAGGCCTTTTGATCTACAGCCTTGACAGCACCGTGCAGTTTGATCCATTTGACCTGAACATGGAGATCACACCAGCATCAACGCTCGCGGTGCTTGAGCGGGAAAAGGACTACCTCAAGGCTCTTGTCATGGCGTTCCGCCTAAACGAGGCTGGTTTGATCCAGCGTGTCTTCCAAGCTATCCCGTACACGGACATTGGCTTAGTCGTGGAGCAGTTTCCAACCGTCTATGTAGCGCGACTGCTGCGCTACGTGGCGGCCCAGACAGAACAGTCACCTCACGTCGAGTTCTGTCTGCTTTGGATCAAAGCCCTGGTTGACAAGCATGGCGCATGGCTGACGGCGAACCGCGGCAAGGTTGACGTGGAGCTCCGTGTCGTAGCGCGGGCGGTGTCCAAGATGCGGGACGAAATCAGGCGGCTTGCCGACGAGAATATGTACATGGTGGATTACCTCCTCGGCCAGGCAAGTGGAAAGAAGACTGCCAGTTCGGATACCAAGGCGCTTGGTTGGCGTGATGAAGAGGGCTCTCCCATGAAAGCATTGCCCTCATCCAACAAGGGGCTAAGCCTAGATGATCTTATCCAGCAGGATATTGCCGAGGATCAGGAGGAATGGATTGGGCTAGAATAGGTAGGGATAGGAAAGGTGTTGTACAGGATTGATACCACAATGAGCATGGATGGTCGTTCACATGTGTCACGGCACGGTGGCCTTGTCGCCTGGGGTTGGAAGGAAGATTACACCCACCCAACGAGCCGCGCGCATCTTCCGAGCCATGGCCTACAGCTTGACATCTTTGATATCCGGAATGTCCTACAGGCCTGTTAGCTTATCGCGAACCTACTTGGGGACTGAGCGAACGAACCTTCCATGCCTCATCCAATCCACAACTGCGCACCCAGCGCTCCCCCGGAGCCTCGACGGAATCGACGATTAGATGGCATACCTTGGTCCACAAATCGTCTCCTTTCACTCTCGGCCAGTCTTTACCTTCGTCTTCGTACCGTTTGCAGATGTTGTGGCAGACCACGGCGGCTCGACCGAGCTTGATGGCGTGTCCGTCGTCGGGAAGGCGGTGCACCCGGGCGATTATCTCTGTGCATTGCTCCAAGTTAGTGGCCACACTTTGAACAAACAAACAGAACAGAAAAACAGGTGAAAGCCATACCGGCCAGTGAGCCCCCTGAATGGGGTTTTCTTGGCTGGTACGCCGCCAGCCTCTCAGCCGACAATTCGGGCACTCCTCGCGCCGCATATTGAAGCAGGTCCATGCGGATTTTCCACTCGAGGAGCCGTGCTTTGGTCTCAGGCGGAATCCAGTCCTGGGCATTGAGCGTCACGGAGATTGGGCTCGCGTTGACGTGATGCCTGCCATGTGTCGCGATGGCGTCAGTCAGCTAATCCCGGACTCATGGGCTGGGCTCTCTTCCTTCTGAGAAACAGGGAGGCTTACATCAAGAAAAAGTCAAACTTGGGCTGCTTGCTCGGCTGGACGAGGGCGGCCGCCGAGGCCATGAACACGCACGCGTCAAACATTTCGGCTGTGCGCTCCTCGACCTCGTCCGGCGCGACTCTTACCTTGGCAGCGAGGCGGATCATTTCGTCTTTTGCGCGGGCGAGAACTCCGTCGCGAATCTTGTTGCTATCCCCTGGCTGCGCGGCTTTGGCAAGCTTCTCGTTTTGTCTCGCCTCCTGGAGGAGGTCTAGAATCGGGGGCATTTTCCGCCCACCGTGTCCGGCAAGCTCCGTGCCTTTGCTCGCTTCCTCCTCCGTGCCCAAGAGAAAAACCTTGATGTCGTCCGAGTGCACGGCCGTCTGCGCCAGCGCCTCGGCGACGATAGCTTCTTGGTGCCTGGCCGGGTCAGCTATACTCTTCTTACCTGACCATGAAGGGAATGAGAGAGGCAAAAAGTGCCCCGGTTCGAATCGTCCCATCACCGCCTGACCGACCAAGCACGATTTTCAGGGAGAGAAAAAAGATTAAAGAAAGAGTAAAAACTCACCACTCAACGCCATACATGAGCTGAATCAACGGGTGCAAAAACCCGGCGTACAGCCTCACAAGCAACTCATCCCCGCCCTTTTCCTTGGTGAGGAGGTAGTCCCTCAGTACGCGTTGCCACCCGCCAATACTCTCCTCCCCATTTTCAGATATCCTGGCCATCTCGCGCTGGAAGAAGCGGAGGAAATCCGGGTAGTAGGCCTCCTTGCCGAGGTACGGCTTTGCCGTTTGTGGCCAGTTACCTCTAGCATCACCATCGTCAGCAAAAAAGGGCAACGACGTCCTGTCGTGCGCCGGTAAAGCCCGCCGCTGGTACCCCTTGTTGTGGTCATAGGCGAACTGCAGCGCCGCGGCGTCGGCGCCGGTGCCGTACAGTGCGAGTAGGTGGTGGGAGATCTGGGTGTGTTGTTTAGTAGGCTGGTTGTGTAAAAAGGAAGGGAGGGGCAAAACAGGGGTAACAACTTACGTGGTTGTGGAACCCGTCGTCGTTGAAGAAGACGTGATGGTTCTGGTCGAAGAGTGGTTAGTTATATACTGGATTAGGTATTGTACTGTACCACTGGCACTCCCAGTCGCTGAAATTGAGGCCCTGGCGCAGGTGGCTTGGGTTGGTCTATTGCCTGTCTACTGGGTGCTGTAGAGAGAAGAGGGAGGTGAAAAGGGAACATAACAACCTCAAGGTCTAGCTGTAACAGCTCCGAAGCCTTTTGGGCAGCTTGCTCGGTTTGCTGGATGCGCCAGAGCCCGGTGCTCTCCGGGGTGATGTGCATTTTGAAAGGGAGCTCCGTGGTGGTGGCGGCGGCCATTTTGGCTTGCGTTGGGGGTGACGAGGTATGAAATGTTCTCGTTGGTCTTGTTCTGGTAGTGATTCCGGCAGGAGTACTTCTAGAAATGGTTCTCCAGGCTGCGCGAGCTGCTGCTGTCCGTCTGAAGCAGTGCATTCAAGCTCGGAGCTCGACTTGACTGTTGTAGGAACAATCACCGGGGGGGTCGAGTTTGTGGTAATACTGTTCTTGATGTTATTTAGTTTGCAGTCCTTAGATGCACTCAGAATTAAGCATCAGATGCACCTGCCTGTGCCTCAGCAACTTGAAATCCAACAATTCCTCACAACCAATGTGACTTCGAGATTTATACTACAGACTCTCAAGCTGCCTCGGCAGATGTGAAGCGGAGGGCGTACAAACGGTCACAAGGCGGAGGGGACGGTGATCACATAGGGACAAGCGCCTTTACTCCTTCAAGACCATAGCTCTTGTATGTGTGAGGTGTCATTGAATTTCACGAAGCATAGAAAAGTAGGACGCTATTCGCTGTACGAGTTATACAATGACATCATGCCTATTCGTATGCCCTTGATGTTCATCAACCACAACTGTACGGTACACACCCTACAACAGGAGGATTGATGGGCCTTACAAGATGCTAAAGACATGAAAGTATTAGGTATGCTCACTTTCACAATTCCCACCTTCAAAAACACAAAGCCCAGCCAACATAGCCATCATAACCAGTAAGCGCAGCGGGCAGAGCAAAGCCATGTTTCGCTCTTCGATTGTGCTCAATCAATTCTATCTCATCATGATTCCTATCAAACCCAACTCCGCCGCCGGGGGGTATTCATCTCCCGACATTTTATCTTGCCCTCAAGAAGCGCCGTCCCATCAAACAACCAGCCGGCCAACCCAACCCCAGTCCCTAAACCAACTACGACTCCGATTTTCCCATGTCTACCGCCCAGTCTCTTCATTCCTATGCGGGCTAGGACTCGTACGATCTTTCTTCGTCGACCGCGCATTAACCAGCTGCTGGGCAACCGTCTTGTCATAACCAATGATCCTAGTCAAGTAGAAGAGCCTGTGTTGTATCGCCGTCAGTCTCAAAGCTACAAAAAAACAATACCACAGCAGACTGGTAGACTTACTTGCCCTCGAGCATCTCCCGCTCCCTCAGATCTTCCCACCTTTGCTGGCATTCCATCCACGCGACGGCCCTTTTTTTGGGATCGATCCTTTTGACCTGCAGCCTGAACCGGCCGCTGACGGGCCTGTGGTCCGATACTCTGACCTCGTGCCTCCTGTAGTCCAGCTGCCGGATCCTGCCCGCCCCGTTGCCGCACCTGTACAGCAGGCGGTCGCACCACGCAGGGCTGCGCCTTTTCTCGCTCGTGTCGTAGTTGTCCGTGCCCACGTCATATTTGTACGTGGGCGCGAAGGTGATGGGCATCTCCTCAAAGGCGCGGAGGCGGAAGGCCGGATTGCGGCGCCGGGCGACCAGCAGCTGGTCGCGCTCGAGCAGCTTGGCGAGGTTGCCGGCCTTGACGGCGGCCACCACCGTGTCGCGGCTCATGGTGTCGATGCGGTAGTTCAGGTCGCCGTTGAGCAGGCAGAGCTCGTGGTCCAAAATCATGGACCCGTCGCCGCCGCCCACGTAACTGTCTATCCTCACGGCCGGGTCGCGCTCGGGGGGCAGGAGGGGCGCCTCCAAGATGGCGGCAATGTCGTTGTGCCGCTGGTTGGCCGACGTCTGGCCCGCGGCCAGGTGGCAGTTGATGAAGCAGAGCGATGTGTCGTCTACCATGAAGCGCACCACGATGGCGCCCTTGTTTCCGTGCAGCCCGCCCATGCCGCGCTTGACCTCGGCGCTGCTCAGGTTGCTGACACGCTCGCGGAGGTCGGCCTTGACGAATATGCACGTGAAGAGGCCGACGAGCGGCGCCGTGTGGAGGATGTGGTAGAGCCCGCCGTGCGCCATGTAGTCGTCGAGGCTCTGCGCGAGAAAGTTGCGCCAGTCGCGGTACTGGTGGCTCATACGCTCTTGGTCAGAGCCCTCTTTCTTCTTGGGCTTCAAGAAGCGCTCTAAACTTGTGTGGTTAGCAAGATTCAGGAGCGCCCCTCTCTGAGGGGGTAGAAGGGGGTCAGGCAACTCACTTGCCGTGGCCGTCTTGTCCTCCAAGTCCACAAGCTCTTGAAATCCAAACACAATGATATCAGGCGAATCGCTGCTTTGTAAAAGATCCTGAATAAAGGCTGCGTCGGATTCTGAGTAGCGGAGGCTGTGAGGTGTCGACGCTCCAGCGTTCCACGTGAGGACAAGCGCCTTGATCTGTTCAAAGCTGCAGTACTCGGTGTCTTTGCGTTTCATCTCGCCTTCGAGCCAATCCTCCTGGAGGAGCCCATCCCATGTCCGGAGCATGTTATCCGCGCCTAGAGACACCACCTGGCATCGGTCTAGCTTGTAGTAGCTGGACCGGTCAGCCACCAGCTTGACGACTGGATTCTTATGCGCTTGCCAGTCCTTCCTTAAAGCCCAAGGCGTCTGCCCCATGTCGTACACCGACATTTTGCCTGTATTATACCCAGCCCACATGTACCGACCTACTCCAGCCAGCGAGCTGATCTTGTACTGGCTGACGTTCATGACCTCCAGGCACGAGTAGTCTTTCCTCGAGTATATACTCACTTTCCCGTCACTGTGACCGAAAAATACCTTGTCCCGGTCCGAAGGGAGAATGGTGCCCGATGTGACTTCACCCGCGCCCTCCTGGACCAGCGGCCGTATCAAAACTTGGAACTGTGTCCTCCCGTCCAAGGTTGGCAAGAAAACCCGTATCTCTCTCCCAGTCGCATGCCACAGCTCATCCCCCACGACCATTGAGAAGGTTTGGCCTTTCGGCACCCGGTAGGATTGCGTTGGGCCTAGTGACAGATTAGGAACCCCGTTCCGGTCGGGGCCCCAGACATGTAATGTTCCGCTCTCGTCCAACGTCCATAGTTCGTTGAAGTGCCTATAAAACTTGATGACCTCGTGCCGACCGTGGGCGTTTGGCCTGTTGTTCGTAATGCTTTGTGAATAAATATCCGCCTCCAGTATTTCGCCGTTGTTGTTTCCAATCCAGACTCGCTTGCCTTCTTCATCAACATTTTCACCCGGTTTGAAGACTACGGCAGTGCCCCTCAGGCCCTCGCCCATGGCCAGGCTCATAAGAAGCTCGCCATCCTGCACACTCCACACCCTTGTGTAGATGCCGGTGGTGCAGACAACTGCGCCGCAGACGTCAAATACTCGGGTGTCGTAATTTGTTGCAATCTCGTGAGCGCCTCGGCCTATGTATGGCTTGCTCCGGTTTGTCCTTGAAGTGTCGGGATAGGCCGTGGTAAGGGGTGCAGCAGGGCTTCCTGATTGACTCTCAACCGATCGAGCATCAACATAAGTTGGCTGGCCCGCTGTGGCGCGGAAATCACTGGCAGTCCTGCTCGGTATCCGATCTGTGCCCAGGTTTGTGGGTCTCCCATTGAGGGACGGAATCGCTGGGGGTGCCTGCAGGGTGGGCGTCGAAGAGATGCGTTTTTGTGCCGCGCCAGGAGCCGTGCCAATATCAGGATGACTTGTGTTCAGTTCTGGCCGATGAGGTCGAGGCGGTAAAGAAGAAACTGCGTTTGCGGCACGCGCTGAGTTGATGAGGCTTACTGGCCGAGCTGGGAGCGCCGGCCGTTGTTCACCGGTAACCTGCGGCGAGAGCATTCCTCTTGCCACCCCGTTGACACCATCTCTCTCCATCCTCCTAGCCGCCCCTGACTGGTGAAGTTGCGCAGAGTCCCCTGGCGCTCTCTCGCAAAACGTCCCAGGACGCTTGGGCAACTTGGGCGGTGTATCTTCATCCGAAATCCCGCTGCTGCGAGGCGGGCTACTGAAGGGAGAGATCTTGTCGTTGGAACGGCTACGAAGATCGGTAGGCTGGCTCGGTGGGCTGCGGTTGCGGGGTTGCTCGAACAGAGAGAAGCGTGCTGCACCTATTAGGGGTTTCTCTGACCGGTTGATTGGGGGAGGAACAGGCCTGCCGCCTTCCTTCGTTTCCCGATCACGCCTCAACTCTGCGGACCGCCTTGGGGGAGGGGGTGACGGAGGCTGCGACGGCGTAAGGCGTGGTGACGACCTTCGAGGTTCGAGGACTGGCGAACGCGGGCGACCAGGGATCTTATACTGTTTCGTCGATGTTGCTGGCGTCGAGGGCTTGACCAGTGAATCAGTGGTCACGAAGAGGGGCTGATCGCCGGTGGGCACACCGCCAGCGCCCTTCTTCGGCGGCGAATGAGGGGGGTCGACCATGACGGACGGAGGACGCACTGGCCGAGGACTAATGGGCGGTGGAAGCGAACGAGTGGGTGACGTAGAAGGACTGATGCGCGTGCCGGCCGTGGCGATGGTGAGATTTGAGCCGAACTTATCCTTGGGCCGGGTTGCCGGAACAGGGGGTGGCGCCGACGAGGGGCTCGCATCTCGCTCGCGAAGCCGGCCGGGCTTCCGCGGCGGCACTGGCACCGAGGCAGACGGGGCGGGGGATGCGGTTCGGGAGGAGGTTCCGGGTTGGGCATCGCCAGGATTGTTGTTCAAGTTTTCGAACTTGGCCAGGAGTGAGGACACGGGTCTCTGGCACAGTAGCCACATGTCAGCTGCAGATAAAGGCAATTTCAGGGGTCATGGCGGGGGAGGGGGTTTGGTTCACTCACAATCGACGAGCCGTCAGGCCCATCGTTGTCTGACGGATCCATAGCAGCGGCGTGTTCGGATCGACAGCGGCAAGTTCGACGACGGCGTGCCCATCAGACCCTCGACCGGGGAACTCCTTTTCTCATAAAAACTCAGGCATCCGGAAGAGGGTCGAAACCGGCGAGGCCAGTGACACGGCAAAGGGAAAGGAGAAGAGAGATGAAAGTGTAGGTGAAGCAGACCTCTGCATCTGCAAGCAGCGGGCGATCCGCTAGCTAGTTACTGGATGTAAGGCACTGTCGCGCACTTAATTACAACCCGCCATTCGAGTGGTTGTGTCGATTCGGTTCGTGTAATTGGCAGATAAAATCCCCAGATTTGGGAGGGAGGGCAGGTCCGGTCCGGCGCACCGTTCCTCTGATGTGAGCCGGCGTGGCGGGTCTGGAGGGGTCTCTTTGAGGGCTGCGTTAGGTTGTTGGTGCGAAGTGGATGCCCTGCGTGGGGCACGCGCGTTCAGCCAGGGCAAATGACGATATCTCGGTGCCTGGGGGGCATACATGCCAAATTCAGGTCACTAACATTAACAGGTAAGGGATGATTCGTACCTAGGTGGTCAACACCACCACCAAACCCAAGACGAATGGGTGAATTGGCACAGTTCGGGTCGACGTGTTAGAAGCCCATTCCAATACGCGTCCTTTTGAGTCTTTTCAGGTGCTCCTTCATGCAGAACCCTGCGCAGACACGGATGTTCATTCCTTACCTTTCCACTTTCGTCTAATTACAAAGTAATTTCACACATACTCCGTACTCATTCTCCGTACTTCGTCCTAACATACACAGCACTTCGGCGCCGACGTGTCATGAATGTGAGGGCATCACGATGAGTGCCTCTATTTAGAAAATACTAATAGTACATATTTTAAAATCACAACTTGGGCGTTGTAATGGTTTGCAGACTGTCCGAAGTGTAGGAATGTATTGTACGAAGGCACGGTCAATTGGTTATGTTACAGTACTGTGGTAACGTTAGCTTTGTTTCACAAGACCAAACGTTGTTGGTTGTTTCAGCCTTGTGCGCCACAGGCAAGCCACTCTGGCATGGGACACAAGCTGTGGCACGAGCTCTTTAACCCCCTGCTTTCACATCGGCAAAAGAAGGCCGAGACCGTCGCCAAACCAATGATTTATCGATTGACATCACGCGATTTGGAGTACCGTTATCGACAGTGTTCTTTCTCAACCTTCCAAGATAACAGATAGAATCGTTGCTGTGATCTTTTTCGCAATACTCCCGCATAAGCAGAATCTGAATCCGGTGCCTGAATCCGTCCTCTTAACGACAATGAATACTGTCAGTCGGCCGTCTTTGCTTCTCTATTCTACTTCGATTGTTGCATGACGGAGCTACTCACACATTTCCGCTGCAGGTCAAGTCTTTCTGGTATGGAGCGCACCATGTCAGCCCACCGCGCCCGTCGTTCAAAGCTAATTGATATCAATTGCATGAAGGCTGGGCTGGGGTTCACTATGTGTCGGTATGGCAATGCTGCCTTCCCCGATACCACCTTCCGGGCCATCGTCCGCTGACGAATGAATCGCCGCAGCTGGAGGTGCGGCCTACTACTTCGCAAAGCGGCAGATCAATGCCGACCGTCAGGCCAGGCTTGAGGATCAGCGGAAGAAGAAAACCATGATTGATTCGCTCGAATACTCGCAGAACGTCCCAAGCCGACCCTTCTCTTCAGCAACCATGGGAGGCACTGATCCTGGCGTCGCCCTTAACGGGGGCCCACCTAGGACAGACCCCGTGGGCTCTCCAAGCCAGGAATCGAGCAGCGACCCAGCGCCAACAAGACATGCGCCAGCAACTGAGGGGCAGAGGGTTCTAGAAAAAAGCAAGTACGAGAGCAGCACACCGTTCCGGAGCCCCAAAGGCGATCGCTTCTCCTGAGGGCAGCAGAGGTTGGTGGAAATGTCTGTCAGGCATGATGGAGTTACCGGCAATGAGAGACAGCAGATAGTTGCACCGCAGATCGGGCATGGCTTGATGCCAACTTTCTCCCGGTCTCATATTGTATCGCAATTGCACACTGGATGTTTTACAGCAACTCGCCTCAGGGGACGGTCTGAAGAATCCGCACAAGACGGCGCCATTAGTCATGAAAACAGCACGTTGGCTTGTACGAAGGCGATATTGCTGTTGTTAATGCGGCGTTCACCAGACACTGGCTTCTGAAGAAGCAACATGCGGCTGTGTTGAAAGTCAAGAATTGGATGCGGAGTTAACCGTGATGTTAAAAAGAGCTACCCAGAGACACCTCGCTAGCTGCATAGACTGAAATGCGCCACAGCGGCCCCACAGTAAATCCTGGCTGGGGCGCTGGGGCCAGTCTCTCTTTAGACTCTTTCAACTCCTGGATCTGGTTGAGGTATCCGCATTCCGCACTCCCTACAGAGGAGGGATACGAAGTACACACCACAGTGACCACGCGACATAATCACGACTAATCGACAACATAATCGACGGTGCCCGGCCTGTGCACAGCTTTGAACTTCTAAAAAGAAAACAAAACTGTTGAACCGCACTTGAGCGAGAACAACAAGGAGTGCGCTTCTTACTCTGACCCCATCGGGGGGCGCGCGCAGATTGTTCTCAACAAGCAACCTCAAGGCTTTTTTGGCCCTTACCTCGATACGCCCAGCAGAGGACGCCAATATTGAGATGGCGTCGGCTGAGCTGATCGTGGCAAAGACGGCGCTCTCGGGGGCCCTCTTTCGCGCCGACCCTCGGCCCTGTTCGCGCGACGACATCGAGTCCCTGATCTCCCTGCTCAACGCGACCGTCGCCGAGTGCTCGCCCTCCAATGTCCAGGTTTGCTAATATGCTATGTCGCTGTTCCCGCTTATGAATCCGATGGGCTAAGCCGCGCGCCAGAGATGCAAGCAATGGGCTCTCAACAACCTGGTTCCCTCGTCCTCTCGGATCGCTCCCTTTGCAAAGTACCTGGTCGCTCTCGCCAAGTCGTTTGGAGGGGAAAAGGATGTCGCTGCCCTGCCGTCCAAGAGTGGCCGCGTTCCGTCTGCGAGGCGGCGCCGTCTTCATGTCTTGTACATTGTGAACGACATTCTCTACCACGTCAAGCACCGAAATCACGACGAGGCTTTCGCTCAGAAGCTCGAACCGACGCTCCCAAGTCTTGTCAGAAGCGCCGCCGCCTTCCACAACTGCCCGAGGCATGTCCGAAAACTCTACGACCTGATCGACCTGTGGGACAAGAACAAGTACTTTTCGAAAAGCTTCGTAGAACAACTTCGATCGGCAGTTGACGAAGGCCCGGTGTCTGAGAAGGAGACCCAGAATGACAATGAGGCCGACAATTCGGCCAGCGCCATCGCTAAAGCTGCCAAGAATGCGCCTTACGTGATGCCCTCAATGCATGGTGATCCGTCAACGCCCTGGTACGATCTGCCAGCGGGGAACTGGCTCCCAGTTCTGGAACCGAACAACACCCGTCCCATAAACCCGTCCATGATCAAACCTCTGGTTTTGGCAAAAGGCCCTGCCGACAGGACCCTCGTAGAGGCTGTCAAAAAACTGCTGCTGGATGTCGACAAAATCTATTCCAAAGAAGCGAATCTTGACGAGCCCCCGCCCAACATTGGCCGGTTGGGCGAACGTGTGGAAGTCGATGAGATCACCGGGGAGATCATAGGGGGTGAGACGTATTACGGCTGGTCCCGCGCATTTTGCGAAAAGATGAAGGCTCGGAAGCGAGATGCCGCTCGCCGGAACGAACTCCGGCACGGAGATGGCGGGGAGAAGCGAGGACGCCTCGGCTCATCGCGGTCATACAGCCGCTCAGACAGCCGATCACGCAGTTGGCGCCGAGATCATAGCGAGGTCTCGAGCCGCAGCTCTAGTAGGCCTGCCTTCAAGCGCCAGCGCCTGTCAAGGTCTCCGAAAGGTGGTGGAAGCCGCGGCCCTAATCGGGGACAGAAGTGGAGCCAGTCGCCGAGCGAATGGTCCGGTGGCAGAAGTCCCGGCCGGCAGAGGAGTCGCAGCTACCGACGGTCGCTTAGTCGGTCTCCGTCGCGCCCAAGATCCGACTCTCGCAACCGCAGCAGGGCATACCGCCAGCGTAGCCCAGGCTATCATCAGCGCGGAAGGTCCCGCTCACCGTCTAGAAGCCGGTCCTGGAGCAGGCCACGGTCACCGCCGCCTCCGCGTTCCAACGAGCCTCCTCACCCTGCTAGGAATACGTTTGTACACCCGAATCCACCACCTGTCAACTGGGCTCCGCAACACGCGCCGCCGCCGCCTCATGTCCCGCCAATGCCGTTCCCAGTCCCGCCGATGCCACCTCAGCCGGGCTTCACCGGAGGAGGCTTTCCAATCCCTCCGCCTCCACCTGCGAATTATCACGGTCAGTGGCCGCCGGCGCCGCCACCCCCACCCCCACCACCGGCAGCCCAACCACAGAACTTCTTTGCCGGCCAGAATGTGGTGCCGCCTCCGTGGGCTGGTGGATGGGGCGTGCCGCCTCCTCCTCCCCCTCCGGCGCCGCCGCAGCCAGCACCAGACCACCAGAACGGGTTTCGCCACCAGGGACGGGGAGCCGATGGATATCCAGGTGCAGGGTATGGTCGGGGTGGAAGATGGTAGCTGACTAGGAGGTAGGAGGGTGAAATTTCCGGCCAGAGAGTCGCCCGTGTCTCGAGTCTGTTTCTGGAGCTCCGAACTCCCTCCACACATCACACATGACGGGTTACCGAGGGGTTTATGCTCTTGTCTGCTGATCCTGACCCAATGCCATCCTGTATTGTAGTTTTCACATAGCTCCATGCGACGTGTATCTCGGACTGGCGGCGCCTACCAAATGATGAGAGGAGGTTGTACGTAGCCAAGAGCGACGCGTTGATCTTTTCAATCAAATCAAAATGTCAACAAACACGTGTGCAAACTAAGCTTCTGTTATTGTTTCCCGCTATGCCTCAAGTTTTATTCGAGATAATCGACCCGCTCCTTACAGCGATATGGAAGCCTTCTCCCTTTCCTATGTGCCTGAGTATGTCTGGACCCCATGTATAGTTGTTTGTTATGTATTGTATTGTATGTCCTGCCATCACCCACCGCCATCACCGACGATCTTCAAGCAAACAAATACCAAGTACCCGGGGGAACCAGACCGAGCCCACAAACAAAACAAACCAAAGCCCATCGAGCTACCCGACCTTGTATTTATTGACCTAGCCGTATACGAACAGACCCAACGTGATCCGCCCGCCCTTGCCTCTCTCGCTCCCTTTCCTCTCTACACTTCCGATCCCTCACTGCCCCCTTCCTCCCCGTTCTCTCGCCCCCCCACCCCCCTCTACCACCCACTACCCAACTAGCAGTAGCAGAGTAGGTCAGCGTAGACAAGCAAAACAGCGGAAGGGGACTCCCGCTTTTCGACCGATCTTTTTCTACATACCCGACCCAGTAGACGCAGATAGAAACAGAGGAAAATAAAAAGAACAGAGGTTATCTCAACGGCAAGCCACAAGGTGGTAGCCGAAAAGTAGCCGCAGATGC